TTTGAACAGGTGACAATGAATGAGAAGGTGTGTGTATCGTACAGTTAAATAACCGTTGACACAGGTATGACCTCACCTTGAGCACCGTCTTGACTAATGGAGCTATTTTCCATGATCACTGATGAAACCGACCCGCATTCTTGCGAGACGTTACTGCTCAACGGCGATAAGCGATGCGCAGCGAATTTATGATGTTAACCATATTTTGTGATTTTTCTTTTTGTCATCTTTTTGTTTGAAAGTGAGAAAATAAAGGCTGTCAAGCAGTTTGCCTATAATCGGCAAGATTGATTGCGGTTGTGGTTTGGAAAATGCAGAATTCTATGATAACAGATTGCTCCTATTAATTATACATTTCTTGGTACTTGATAAAGCATTTACAGGGAACGTTCAGTCATCAAACCACTTATATTTCATATACAACAACCACCTACTGCCTCCCACCTCCTCGATATCTAATTCAGAGAACAAAGCAATTTTTAATCAGTTTATCTTCACAACAACAGTTTTCACAAATGAGTAACCTGCAGAAATGAACCTTTACTGCGCACAGCAGTGTTCTACAAACAGTCGTGGATTGAAGCGACAAAATTATTATTATTTTTTTCTTGAGGGATTATTATCAGGCGTATGGAGCGAGGAAACTTGCTCAAGGTTTCACCCTGTCGGGAATCAAACCCAGGTCTCTCGCTTGTGAGGCGAGTGCTCTAACCACTAAGCTGCAGGACTACATAGAATCAACTTTATAATTGTCAGTCTTATAATGTTACAGTAGAGAAGTGGGCATTGGCTCCCACAAAGCCTAGGAGTGTTTCCCCTTTCCCTTTCACCTCTTACTGAATGGTTCCCCTGTCCAAAAGTACACAGTCACTACACTTTGCAGCACTCTGAGACATCCTCACGATATGACAGGTGTATCAAATGTAAGTATTATTATTATTATTAGTTAACAATTTCAAGGCTGAGGGAGCCAACCTGAAACACACAATAGTTTTTGCTGTTAGAATAAACAAATATAAGCTTTAAAACAAACTTTGCATTTGATGCAGAGTCTTTCACATGGGAAGGATGTCCCATACCATCAAAGAATACGAAGGAAGGAGATGGGATGATGTAAAGAACAGAAAGGAGAAGAACAAAAAGAGGAGAAAGGAGCTTAATAAAGCACGGAAATGGGAACAGGTCCTTAGGTCCACCAGCCCTGGTGCTCTCACAGAACAACATACGCAATCATAGACTTAACACCTAGTTTATCCCCAATGGGAAATGTCCTGCAGAAAGTATATCCCTGATCCCAAAACTAAATCCAGCAAAATCTTGCACATTCTGCATCTCCACTGCACAAACCTGATCTACTTCCCTCCGCAGATAAGAAAAATAGCTCTTGTTCCAATAAAGGACTGTTGGGTGAGGGCAGTGTATAAGGAGCGTCACCTCGCATCTCACCCACATCACATCGATCCTGACTTTGGAGTGCTTGATGCCGGCACTGAGTGCCAATAATGAGGGACGTTGCCTTTATCAGAACTGTATCCTCCGTGTTTGCCAATAAATTTGGCCACAAAATATACAGTCAATTCACTTTATGGTATCCTGTGAAGCGCTTTGAGCGTTCTCAAAGGTGCTATATCAAATGCAAGGATTATTATTATTATTATTAATATTATTATTATCCTCTTGGCTTGCTAATCAATCCCCCTTTGCCAATAAACAAAAGATTTGAAATTTTCTAAATAAGAATCTCCAAATACATCTCCAATACGTCGAATTTAAGAATCGTCCACAATTCCACGCGATGTTAATTATTAAGGCGACAGGGATTTAGAGATTTACTGGAGTCTTGTGGCTCAGTGGTTAGAGCACTCACCTCGCAAGTGAGTAGACCTGGGTTCGTATTCCTGGCTGAGCGAAATGTTGAGGAAGGAAATTACTCCGCACGTTTCTGTTTACCTAGCAATAGGAACCTGGTTGTTAGTCAATTGGCGGATCACTTTTTGGGGGATAATAATCCCTAAGAAAATAATAATTTGGTCACTCAATCCACGACTGTTTGTGGGGACGCTGCTGCGCGCAATTGGCTGCTGCGTTTTGCCCACGACTATGCAGTCAATTCACTTTACAGTATATTCTGTGAAGCGCTTTGAGACGGCTCGAAGATGTGAAAAGCGCTATATCAAATGCAAGGAATATTATTATTATTTTATTAATTTAATTTACAGATTTACTGGGTACAATTGAAGGGCTAGGAGTTTTAAAACATGACTAGGAATACCCCGTGATAGACACACACACCATTCCTTTAAACCTCCATAACAGATACCTGTCCAGACATTTTATCTGAATGAAACAATCTGACGTTTTAATATTAATTTTCCAGATTTTAAAAACGTATTTAATGTTACTCAATTGTTTTAGGAGGTGAGGGCAAAGGAATTATTATAATTATTATTAATAATGTTTAATTGGCTACCAGGCGAGGTATTATCCCTGAGGACAGCAATGGAAAGTATGAAAACTTTCTCTCCTGAACTGAACCGTAGTTTACATTTTTGGTTCAACTTAAAACTGCGTCTCGCAATTCTAAGTTGCCGAATGTAGAATAATTATATGTATATAATCAAAAACTATGTATTCAAAAGAATTATATATATTCACAATATATATACATTTGTGAATATATTCTATATATTATATATATATTTACAGGGTGACCAAAAAGTCGTGATACCACTACAATGTCTTACAAGTCTTAAAGAAATCATGTTTTTGTTTTTGCTTTAAATAATAGGGCAGTTATCACAACTTGCGGTCACCCTGTGTATATATATTTGAATATATATAAACATATAGATATATTTATATTCATATATATAACAATATATTTGAATATATATAAACATATAGATATATTTATATTCATGTCTATATAACAATGTATTTGAATATATATAAACATATAGATGTATTTATATTCATACATATATAACAATATATTTGAATATATATAAATATGTAGATACATTTACATTCATATATATATATAAATATACAAGGATGTGCAAGGATTATTATTATTATTATTCAAAAACGATATTCAAAATATATATATATTCAAAAAGTATATATATTCATGTAAGTATATTTATTCAAAATGCACACATATAATATATATACATATATATATACATATATTGAACGAAAAAGACCAGTTCGAAACGAAATAGAAACGAAATTGAAATGTGGGTCAAGGGTAAGTTTCGACAGAGACAAGTGTCTGAATGTTTGTCAATGGGATATCCGGATGATTCAAAATATGTTGACGAAATCCAATCCTTTCCAGGGAAAAATTCCCCCCTGATCGTGAGGTAAGGGACAGGTAAGAGAGGAGAGAGAGAGAAAATTTCCATTGTGATCCCAAGAGGTGTTTGTGTATAAAGAGAGGACCAAACATTGAGTGATCAGTGTCAAGTGAAAGGAGACAGAGATACAGGTAAGTCTCTCTCTCTCTGTGTGTGTGTGTCCTCTCTCTTCTTTCTGACTTGTTCTGGAAGGCAATTTAAAGTATTTTGTTTCACATCGTGGTTTCTGATCAGCAAAAGGAAAGGCTTTTCACATGCGAATCGTTTTGCGACTGGTTTGGCAGACTTTCAGGGGTGATGGTGATGGTGAGAGGCAAACCAGTCAATCCCAGTCAACTGGGACTCTTCTGATCAGAGGCATCTCCTGATAGATGGGGTGAACCTGAGATCAATCAATCAATCAATCAATCAATCACTCAATCAATACAATATTGTTTTATCAGTACAATATCATGTTTTAATATCGTGTATTTGTTGGGGTGGTGGGGGGGGAAGACTATAGAATTAAGTGCACAGTGAAATGCAGGTGATTTGTGTTTAATATTAAGTAGAATGAAAAAAAAAGTATCTCTAAGACATATTACAATTCTTGGCTATCTGTCATTGTTAGTGTGTTTATATATATGTGTGTGTGTGTGTGTGTATATGAATGTATTTAACATATAAAATAAAATATTGTCTATATTAAATATATATATATAATTCTATATACTATGTAATTCGATGGCGATTCTAGTTCAGCAAATAACTCAACCAGATCATTTATAATGATAACTGAGGGTTTTTTTTACTCCAAATTTTACACTTATTCACTGTATTTGCACATAATTGGAGAGCTTGGGCTTTTTTTTTAAATAAAATGATAATATTCCTGTTTGCATGGTTCGACAGTTGTTTTTTTTCACTGGTCACGTATGTGACATTTGGCTGATTTATTCTCCCTTTTTTTGTAGTTTTGGTTTGGTTCGATTTGATTTGGAAGACAATAATGATGACTTTTGGTAGTTCGTTCATCCTGGTCGCAGTCTCGGTGCTTCTGGCTCAGCCCTTGGCTGCAGATTGCAGAATGTTACACGTTGGACAATGTTCATTCGTTGCCAATTTGCATGAAATCAGAGAATATTTCTCAGAAATCAGGAATGCAATAGTAAGTAAAACGCTTATCTATCTCTCTTTTGCGCTCTCTCTCTATACATTTTTGTATAATTATCACAATTTCAACAAATTTCTAGGGGTGATGATATATATGTATATATATTTAAAAAGTTAAATATTGGGCGAAACCTTAGGCAAGTTTCCTTACTCCCCACGCCTCTGTTTACCCAGCAGTAAGTAGGTACCCCGTTGTTAGTCGATTGGCGGATCGCTTTCTGGGGATAATAATCCCTCTCCCCAAAATATATATACAAAAAAAATAATTTGGGCACTCAATTCATGTGGGACGCTGCTGTGCGCAATTGGCTGCCGCGTTTTGCCCACAAGATATACAGTCAATTCCCTTTACAGTATACACTGGGAAGCACTTTGAGACTTCTCGATGACGTGATAAGGCGCTGTATCAAATGCAAGGATTATTATTATACTATATTGAAATATGCAAAATAATTGTCTTCACAGCAAGCGGTAGATACCATCACTGACATGCGACTTCTGAACGATGCTACATTTAGGAGCATTCCGGTATGTTACAGCTTCTGCTTTTAGTTTTTATGTCAATGTTTCTTCATCTAAAGTGAAACGCTTCCCAAAGAAAACCCATGATTTGTTTCATTTATTTGGGAGTTCCTCTCTGTGCCCTGGCTGCCAAATTCCCCAAATAAAATTCACCTTGTGGCTGTTTTGTTGAACATGGATATGCACAATTTGGCTGCCACTTTGGTCTACAAAATATACAGTCACTTTACAGTAAATCCTGTGAAGAGCTTTGAGACGACATGAAAAGCGCTGTGTCACATGTAATTATTATTACTGTTATGATTATTACTATAGCCAGCTTGATTTTTCTATTTATTAACTGAAACGATTGATAAAATTCTTGATTGGCTTCTGAATCGGATTAAGGTCGGCCCCGCTGAAATATCCTTGAGTAACAAGGAGTTATTTAAGGATATTTCAGTTGATAAATAGAACCGAACGAAGGTCGAGATGTAAATGGCAAAGATCCGTTTGCTTTGCCAATTTTAGTTTCCTTCCCCTAACCAGAGTGTTTCCTCTCTCATTCATAGGCAGAGGAGAGCTGCTGCTTTCTGAACCATTTGTTGAGATTCTACGTGGAGAACGTGTTCAAACACTACACCCCAACCAGCGACCTTATCAAGAGGAAGACGAGCAGCCTGGCTAACTCCTTCCTCAGCGTCAAGAGAGATCTTCGACAGTGTGTAAGTAACAAGACGTATTTATGTTTCGAGAGAGAGATTCCAAGTTCATGGGAGAAGATGTTTGACAAACCGATGGAGTTACTGGTCCCACTAATTGAATCTGGAGAAATCCAGTGTTAGTTATTGCAATATCTAAATGGCAGATCCAATACTTTAATGTGCCGATTGATACCGGCTGATGGTATCACTCCTTAATCAAGTGTAATATTGGATCACTGCTCTGTGCGCAACTGACTGTCGTGTTTCACCCACAAAAAATATAATAAGTTCACTTTACAGTATATCCTGTGGAGTGCTTTGAGACGTCTCAACAATGCGATAAGCAGCTTATCAAATGCAACGATTATTATTTCCAATATGGCCAATTTTCTGGTTGTATTTGGCTGTAATCATCTTATATTAAATGTCATTATTTAGATGCTTGACTTATGTTGTACTAGAAGTATTCTTCTGTGTTGGTAGATGTAGTAATGATGAGTGGGTTTGCATTGCCTTATTAATGACTACTCATGCGATTAGAGTGGCTCATTGATCAAACACCACAACCCGCAGGATTTTCTCTCATCACAATGTTCTGTCTTAAACAGCATGCCCAGAGGAAGTGCAACTGCGGGGAACAATCCAGAGCTCAGATAAAGAAGATCCAGAACGCATTTGAAATGGTATGTTGGAGACTCGTGTAGAGAAGATAATGTTCAGTTTGCGAGGTGTAGCACAAAATCTTCCTGAAGCTTAGACTCAGGTTTGCTGCCTCACATTGACCATAATTATCTCTGCCATGTTACTGCACTTTTGGCCAGGCATCTGGCTGGTTCAGTTGGAGGTTGTGGGTTCAAGCCCACCTCGGGACTTTGAGCCCACGGGCTGACATGCCAACACAGCACCGGGGATAGAGATGGAATGTCGGAGGTCCCTTCATTTAGAGGAACCTTTAAACTTGGGGTCTGTTCAGGTTGATGTTGAAAGTCCCATAACATTACTGAGAAATGGAAGAGAGTTTCGCCCGGTGTCCTGGCCAACAGCCCCTCCGATAAATTTGGCCAAGCACGTCATGGCTGTTTGCAGGACGTTGCTGTGTTCGCCTACAAATACCCAGTTACTACACCTTACAATGAAAACCCGCAAAGCACTTTGAGATGTTTTGACGATGTGATAAGGAGTTACATCAAATCAAAAGATTACTGATGATTTGCTCATTGATAAATCTCTGTTTTCCTTCAGCTGGATCAAAGGGCGGCTACTGTCAAAGCTTACAGCGAAGTGGACATCCTTATACGTTGGATGCACGGATTTCAAAGGAACTGAGCATCACCTCTCAGGGCTGAGCGAGAAGAACAAAGGAAAGCTGAGACGCTGAGAATTGTTTTTGAAAAAAAAAGGCTTTATTTCATAGTTGAATTATTATTGTAAGTTATTATATTTATTCTTAATTTAATGCATTAGTTACATTTTGAATTTTGTTTCTTTCTGCCCTCTTCTGTATAACTTGTTATAACCTGCCTTCATTATAAAACTCTCAGTTATTGTCGCTACAGTACTTTTCATGCTATCAGATTGTTATAAGGTAATCACCACTTGGTATCTGAGAGCTAGTTATATTGAAGGTAGTGCTTATTGCAGTATTAATTAAGGAATCAACTTCCATTTTGTTGTATTTTAAACATGACATTAGTATTTATGTTTTGCTCATGAAACACGCAGTCACTACACTTTACAGCGTGTCCCGTGAAGCGCATGGAGATATTCTCCTCAAAGGGGAAAAGGCGCTATACCGAATGCAAGGATTATTATTGTCGTTGTTATTATTTATTATTATTATTTATATTTTACTGAAGGCATTTGGAATTAATTTCATGAGACAGTGTTCAAAACTCGAATTTCATGCATGTGTGTGAAAAGGAAGTCTAGTAGGTACATATTGTACAGCTAATTGTTTAGAAGTCGGACTTATTAAAGCAGATTTTTATCGGCATAACAGCGTTTTTTAAATATTTATATGATTTTCATAAATTATTTTTATCCATTTATTTAAATAATATTATGAATTTATAATGGATTTAATACGTTTTATTTAAAAAGGAAATGTTTTTGATATGTCTTATTTCAAGAGGAAAGGAAAACATGCTAATTATTCATTGTTGAACTGTGCCTTTGGCAAATATATGTACACTGACGAATCACATGATAATTGAACGCTGACAAATAAAGTTGTATCAAAAAGAATTTTGTGTTGTTTCTGGTAAATGGCTCCAGTATGTAATAAACCAGTCAATCCAGTCACACGGTGCTGCATACCACGGTCGACTTATCCTACAATAATACGTGCCATGGGAAATAGAGGAAAGAATAGTGAGCAGAAAAAGTAAAATAAAACATAAATCGCTGGGCAAAGAACGATCAATTTAAACAGAATGAACAGTGAAAGAAAAAGTAAATGAAGAGAACGAGAGAACAGAAGAGATCGAGAGAGAGAGAGAGAGATGAGAATGAGAAAGAAAAAAATTAAAGTAGAAAACTACCGACCAGGAGAATAAAATATGATTTTAAAGAAATACATAACAACAAATGACATTTGTCCAGTGCCTTTCAAGTCGGGAGGACGTCCCAAGACGCTGAAATAAATTGGAATACGGACTTCTCAAGTGTCTACAATTAGAGCATGACGAAACATGAAAAATGATCATTTATTGTAAGATTTCACGCTGCAGCAGATAAATTATCGGCAACCACTTTCACTTCTGGTCAACGGTAGCAGACGTTTCGGAACAAGTTCTTCCTAACCCTTCCTGGAAATGCACTTGTATGAACATTCCCAAAAGTAGGGAAACGCCCTCAGTCTTTTGTGCGCTCTGATGTAAGCTCTCCCTAATATGGTATTAAGTACTTTCTCTCAATACATTCAATCAAGTTAAAGTTCTTCTGGAGAAAGTCCACCTGGGTTTAGATTTATTTATTTTTGCTTATTTTCAGAGGGGAGACGAGGAGAAATTATTTTACCCGGAGAGTTGTTATGATCTGGAGTGCATTGCCTGAAAGGGTGGTGAAAGCAGATTCGATAGTTGCTCTCAAAAGGGAATTGGATCTTTAATAATAATAATAATAATAATCCTTGCATTTGATATGCTCTTTTCACGTCGGGAGGACGTCCCAAAGCGCTTCACAGAACACACTGTAAAGTGAATTGACTGTATATTTGTGGGCGAACACAGCAGCCAATTGCGCACAGCGACGTCCCACAAACAGTCGTAGATTGAAAATGACCAATTTATTATCGTTTTTGGTTTTGGAGGGATTATTATTAGGCTCTGTGTGGAGTAGGGAAACTTGCCCAAGGTTTGGCCCTGACCTGCCTGGGATTGAACTCAGGTCTCTCACTTGCAAAGCGAGTGCTCTAACCACTGAGCTACAGGACTCCACGTCAAGGACTTTACTTGAAAAGGGAAAATTTGCAGGGCTATGGGGGCAAGAGCGGGGGGAGTGGGACTGGTTGGATGGCTCTTTCAACGAGCCAGCACAGGCACGATGGGCCGAATGACCTCCTTCTGTGGTGTAAGATTCCATGATCCTACACTTGATTTTCTCAGCATTTCAGAATATCTAGAATTTGGCGAAAATTTTCCGTAAGTTCTTTTGAGATCTATGGAAAAAAAATGGCTTCAAAGTTAAGGCCAGGCTTGTCAAATTCTGTACTTACTGAAATACGTTAAAAAAAAACAGCAAATCTGGACGAAGGTTGAATTTCTCTCCCGAAGTGTCAGAAGATTGGTTTTGAGGATGCTGATATACCAGAAGTTTTGCCCACAAAATATACAGTCAATTCACTTTATGGTATATTCTGTAGGCACTTTGAGACGTCTCGAAGACGTGATAATGCGCTCTTTCAAATGCAAGAATTATTATTATTTGACACATTTCCACCCGAGGCCAAAGTGTGTGCCCCCAGAGGATCGAATTCAAGATCCTCATCCTCACCTACAAGGCCATTCACGGCCTCGCTCCCTCCTACCTCTCCGACCTACTGGGCGCTCTATAAATGCAATCTTGTTGCTGTTGTTGTTGTTGTTCTCTAAATTGTACTTGATGAATCATTGTGATTCTGTCGGTTTTAAAGGGGACACTTCTTGCTGATAAAAATTCTCCATGACAATTTTTTGGGGGACAGCCGGGAGTCTGACACAAAGAAACCCATGACCGTGCTTAAGAGTAGCCAAACCAAGCTGAGAATTCCATGAATCCCACCTACATTTGGGAATCCCAGAGAGATTGTTGGAATGGAATGCGCTCTCTCTCTCTCTCCCTGGAGGGATGCATCCTTCTTACTTAATTCTGGACAGTATTAAGCGCAGGTTGGAAAGAGCCAAGGTTTGGGGACCCTCGAGAATGCATTGGGGTAACTGCTGGAGCTTAATCATCTAAAACCACAGAGCTTTCCGTTGATATCGCTGTCTGGCAAGCTTTCCCACTGTTTATGCAGCTAGGAACACCCTACCCATTAGGGCTTTGCAAGGATGACAGGTGCTGAGTGGGATGACTAACTGCCAGAGCGACTGGTCTGCCCTTCCAGGTCCTGCCGAAGAACCAGGCTGAGCTGTTCTGTCACCAGCAGTGCCCTGAGATACTGCAGTTGAAGCTGGGAAGTGCAACTCAATGCGTGAACTCGCTTCTGGTTCCAGGCAGAAGGTGCTGGTCGTTAGAGGAAGAATAAACGATTACGGTTGGTGGTAGAACATGTTGGTTCGAATTAGACGTTGGAAAATGTTGGCTCATTTCAAAGAGTAAAACACTTACTGTTAATAGATTGTGCAACACAGATTTGCTTAAAGACACACCTGTCAAGGTGAGGGAAGGAAACGGAAATCACACATTTAGTTGACAGTGTCGAAAGAAGCAGCTGACTGCTGATGCAAACCCACAGCCACAGTCACATGTGTATTTCTGATTCATATCGCCCTTTGCCACTAAATTTTCCACTATACCTATTGTCCTCCGGTTCTGTTATTGTGTAAAAGCTTTTTCACATCATTGCTGAAAATCCCCTGTCTTTGAAATCAGATAATTTCACGAGCGTTATTTTCCTTACTCTGATTCCTGTCGGTATTGATGAGGAAATATGATGGGGGAAAAAACATAAGAGAGGATGCTTAGCTGTTAAACAACAGAAAATGTAACTATAATTATTAATATTACTATTATTATTAACCTCTCGTCCCTTGGAGGGTGCTAAATAATAATAAATGGGGTTGGGGGTGGGGGGTGGATGTGTATGGGAGTGTGGGAGATCTCCTTGGAAATGTAAGTTCCCTAAGCCCAGTAGGAACCCGCTTCTTAGTCAATTTGGCAGATCGCTTTCCGGGGGTAATAATCCATTCAAAAATAAATATAAAAATACAAATAACAATAATAATTTGGTCACTCAATCCAAGACTGTTTGTGGGACGCTGCTGTGCGCAATTGGCTGCCGTATTTTGGCCACAAAATATACAGTCAATTTACTTTACACTATATTCTGTGAAGCGCATTGAGTCGCCTCAATGATGTAACCAGGCGCTATTTCAAATGCAAGGATTATTATTATTATTATTAGTAGTAGTAGTAGTAAATGAGCTCGATCCAAGCTTGACAACCGAATGTCGGAATCCAAGTCTGCAGTCTGTGGTGGTCTCGGCGGTCCCGGTTTCTGAACCAGGGCGGGTCGGTAGTATTCCAGGGCACTGCTGATGACAGCTCAGCCCAAAAATCATTTTACAGTAAAATGTTATTTCAAAGATAATCTTTCGCAATAATACCACTTTGAAAGAATTATCCCCTTCTCGTCAGTAGCTGATGAAATCACCCGGGAAGTTTAATCGAATTTAGTTTATTTTCGTGTTGATTCCATTTCAGCGTTCACCGGAATATTGCAGATGACCCGAAACCATAATAGGGGTTGTGTGTGTGTGGGTGGGGAGAGGGGGAGGGAGGAAGAGATTCCATAGCATTTTATACAGAAAAGAGAAAATTGCGTAAAAAAGAAGTATACAGTGATTCTGAAAACAAGGAAACAAAGTGGTTTTTTTTTAATGCCTGCATTGTTTTTGGTAAATACCGGAATTTACCCATTTTAAATTAATTCCTACTTTTAAACAAAAATGTTATTTCAGTCATTGGGCAGACTTGGTCATTCAAGCAAATGAAACACATGGCAATTTACACAAAAAGTAAGATTAAAAAATAAATAATAAAAATAATAATCCCTGCATTTGATTTCACGCCTTATCACGTCGTTGAGAGGTCTCAAAGCACTTCACAGGATATACTGTAAGGTAAAATAACAGTGTATTTTGGGGGGAAATCCTCTCATTGATTCACTTTTTTAAAAAAACTTGTAATATTTCATGCTCTCAAGCAAAAGGGCAAAGCGATACATTTGGATAGGTTGGAGTTTGGTTTGTCGGAGGGATTATTTTCTAATTGCATTCCTTCTTCTGTTGCTTTGAGTAAAGTCCCTGTAAAACCCTGTAAGACGCACGTTGGAATGACCCAGACAGAGACAACAACGAACCACTCACTGCGACTAAGAATGCGCTATAGCATTACGCATCGCGTGCACTCAGCCAGAACTCCCCACACAAATGCAGTCGCTCGCCACTGTTATCTCTCCAAACACAACAGGGCACAAACTGACGCACCTGACGCACCTCACAGCAATTAAAAGTGCTAAGAATTTTCATTTAAAAATAGATTTCAGCAAGGTACCTTCCACATCTGCATGGAGCAGATCGACATTGTGGGCGTTGTTTTTTATTATTATTATTATTATTATTATTATTATTGTTATTATTACCAATCTTGAGAGCAAAGTTGCAATCAATTCACTTTTTGGTGATTCCTTCATTGTTACATTCTCAGCTGTTTCAGGCCATTGAAATTAAGACGCTGTCACCAATCAAACCATCTCCAGTCCACCTCAAAAAATAATACTGAGGCATATTTGGGGAATTTCTAAGCAAAGTAACCCAATTAGGATATAAAGGCTGCAATTGCATTTTGAGCTCAGTTGTTATTTTCTTATCCAGCGAATAAAAACAAAGCAGAAATATTTCAGGGTGATAGCAATTGAAAGATTTCCACTGGAAGCGATGCAGAAAGCATATTATTCCTGTTTCTTTTTTTTAAAAACAAATAGGTCAAACTTCCTCACGCACAAAAAGGGACTTTAAAAACATTCACTGCTGAAATAATCGCTGGCTTTAAACAATCCCAAAACTTTAATTCTACATAGTTTCAAAATATTGTCTCATATTAAAATAAAACGACCGCACAAAAAAAACGCACGCGAGCAATTTTAATAAGGAACCCGATTTCAAGACGCAGGAACAGGTTGGTGCTCGAGGAAAATATAATTTGTCAATCAAGGGGAAAGTGGAAGAAAGTGTTTGGGAAGGGAGTTTTTAGTGAGCGAGAGGAATTTGGTAATCATATCGAGGTGCTTGGCAAAACGCAGACAGATACAGTAAAAAATATTTCATCATCACTTTATACTTGTTAGAGTTTGTCAGTGCTGCAATTGGGATTATGTAAATTAAGCATGAAATCAAATCTCGCCCAAGGAAGTTTATTTTTTAAACCAGGGGTGAGATCCGGGTAAATTTCCCCTGTGCAGGTGTATATAAAAAGAAGACAAGCACTGGCATGGATCAGAGCATCAGAAGCAGAAGAGAGAGACACAGAGAGAAAAGACAGCTCTAACTCACAGGTAAAATGCTCTCCATTCCTTGCTATTTATTGCCTCAGATTGCCAGTGTTGAATGTAACAGTATGGGTTATAACAGCAGGTTTAAACTATTCCAATATTTTGAGTTAAGTGTAAATATACATTGTCTCTGTAATCAAATATAGATTTTTGTTTAATATATAAGAAAAGTATTCTAAAAGTATATAACAGGTTGTTATATCTTATTAATTATTTATTGTCACAGAAAGTGTGCCTGAATGTAACCATCTCTCTCAAAATAATGTTGTAATTAATATTCTTTTTGGACACGTAGGAATTGGCAGCTGTGTTGCATGCAAAATACACAGTCACTACACTTATACAGCATCTCCTGTGAAATGTTTTGAGACGTCTTCCTCATTATGATAACAATTATAATCTTTGCGGTTGATATGGCGCCTTATCACGTCATTGAGACGTCTCAAAGCGCTTCACAGACTATATTGTAAAGTGGATTGACTGTGCTAACGTTAAAGGCTTTATATCAAATGCAATGGGGGGAAAAAATACGGGTTTGGCAATCCGATTAAATATTTGATATCTAAATATATATATATAATTTTTTTATTGCAGGTTTTGTTCAGAATCTGCCCTTTGCCACAATGAAGGTTTTCGGTTCGTTCCTCTGCCTGACCATCGTGTCTGTTTTTGTCCTTCAACCTCTCGTTGCACAAAGCAAAAGGCTGCATTTTGGGAAATGTGCTTTGTCCGTCGACTTACCCGAAATCAGAGAGTACTTCTCAGCAATCAGACAAACAGTGGTAAGTACAGAATATGCAGTTACTACACCTTACAGCGAATCCTGTACAAGCAATTTGAGTCCTCTGCCTGACGTGAAAGGCTCTGTATCAAATGCAAGAGTAGTTATTATTGTTAATATTGTGACATACATCAGGGTACACCCCTTCCCATATGTAACTCGCTTTGAATCTAATTATTAGAAAACAGTAATGTAAAATATTACAATGATTTTGTCTCAACAGCAAGCGGAAGATGTATCTGGGCACTTGAGGCTCCTGAGTAAATCTACATTTCATGGCATTCAGGTACTGCAAATACCCATCATTCTGCTTACAATATAAACACCATCCACTGTGCACTGCTCCGTAATTCAAGTGTTATATTTTGTGGGTGAAACGCGGCAGCCAATTGCGCACAACAATATACCACAAAATCCACAGTCGATTCACTTTACCGCATATTCTGTGAAGCGCTTTGGAACATCTGGAATATTAATATTATTATTACCCTCGATTCGGCTTATCAGAATATTGTATTGATTTCTCCTTTTCAGGCTGAGGACAGCTGCTGCTTTCTGCGCCACTTGTTGAGATTCTACGTGGAGAACGTGTTCAAACACTACACACCAACCAGCGACCTTATCAAGAGGAAGACGAGCAGCCTGGCTAACTCCTTCCTCAGCGTCAAGAGAGATCTTCGACAATGCGTAAGTAACAAGACCGCACAGAAGGTCACCTCATGTCCTCAATTGCGCGAAATTAAATTTCATGGGGCAAGCTTTAAAAAAAAAATCTATATAATATATAGGTATAAAATACGGATTCAGCCCCTCAATAAAATTCTCCCCAACAGTGAGCTTTGCATTCCCTAATGACATTTTGACATAACCCACCCATTGAGGGTTTTAATCTGGAATGAGCCGTTTTGCAAACGCTTCTTTGGCTGCGAGTGCAGTCTTTCACAATTTAACTTTTTTTTAGTAACGTAAGTGGGAAACCCGGTTGTTAGTCGATTGGCGAATCGCTTCCTGGGGTAACAATTCACTTTAAAATATATTCTGTGAAGCGCACTGAGAACGTCTCAACGGCGTGATAAGTCGCTATGTCAAATGCGAGGATTGTTATTATTATAATTTTCAACATCAGCAAAACATTAAGCCGCGTACTCTGAAATGTTATTGTTCACAATGGCAAGTGTCACATTTATTGCAAAAATCATTTGTGGTGTTTTTATTACACAGACCTCTGTGACATCTGCTCCTTTGGTTTTTACTCAAGTAGTGATGGGGGTTACATCAGTTCTCATTGTAGTTTGCTTCCTCCAACAGCACGCCCATGGTAAATGCCATTGCGGCGAAGATGCCAAAACTCGGATGGACAATATCCAGGAAACATATGAAGAGGTAAGTTGAACCATTTTTCCTTTCCTGCATTTGGAACACTATTCTCGCAGTGATAAACGCCAACACCAACTTGCATTTATGTAACACCCTTCACACAGCGTAACGTTTCAGAACGCATTACACTTTGTATAGCGCCTTTCACGTCCCAAGGCGCTGGACAGTCAGGGATTTGGACCCGAGCTGGGGGTTGCGATCAGGAAGGGTAGAGGGAAGGGAGGGTTGGCGTAGGATGACTGAAGAACGCTTATAAAATTCAAGAGAGACAATCTCCTGCAAACAAAAAATAAATCACATTAAATTGACACAAACTAAATACTAGAAGTGCAACATTAAGAGTGGAGGAAAAACAGAAGATAAGCAATAGCTGATATTTTTGGAGCTTTCACTATAAATTATTAATTCATCAATCTCTTCTTTTTCAGCTGAATCAGAATGCGGCTGTTGTTAAAGCCATCGGTGAAATCGATATTCTCATACACTGGATGGAAAATTTTGATTAGAAATAGGCACCGCCTTGCACTGCAAAGCATGAATGACACAGCAACACACTATCTTAAATACTTCCATAAGGAAATTGTATCTGTTGTTTAAAACTTTTTATTTAATGAATTTGTTTTGTCCCTCGCACCCACCCTCGATATAAGGCTCTCTCCAATAATGGCACTAGCCTTGTCATAAAGTTGCTCTTGATTTTCATATTCTATTGCATGTTGAGATGTGATAAATTGTAAAATGTTTCTTATCATTAGAGTTGGAATTGTTCAGCTTCTGAATACTGATTTTACAGTATTACATTTGCTAAGTAAAGTAACTTACATTTGTTCAGTTCTTAACATGATACTTGTGTTACATGGACAGACATGGAGTATTTGCTGAAGATATTTCTAATTAATTTAGCAAGATTATGTTTAAAACCGTGTTTCATGGATGGAACGAGGACTAGTACGTACATATTGTACAGACTATTGTTTGGTATTGCATTAAGACTTATGGATGTCGCCATAAGAACATTGTTATTGAGATTCCTATGTTGTTTGTAGTGCATTTATTGAAATAAAATACTTATGGAATTATGACCTCTCTGACTGTATTCTGATTGTATTCAACTGTGTTCGTGCTTCATAGAAACACAAAAAATAGGTGTTGCAATATTCTTTTAGAGGAACACCCAAAAATGTGATCAACAACATAGATACCATCAATCCACTAATTGCTTCTCCCATAAAGATATGCCATCTATCACCAACACTTACTGCAGTGACACACATCAGTAATGTTGGAAGAATAACAGAAGAAACATAATACGTAAACCCCCATGACGACATAACTGCAGCATTAGTTTGGTATGGTTCATTCACATACATATACCCAGGAGAAAAGGGTTTTGACCATTTGACATTTTGCCCGGAGGAAATATAGAAATTATTTTTGTCACTTGTGGTAGTTTTCTATTTCCATCACATTAACAATGAGGATATTCTGCCTTTGCAGGATTTCCTGGGTGGCAAGACTGACATAATGTGTTTTTTTCTAATGGGTGTTTCTTGTTGTTTTGCTGGATGAGAGGTGTGGCTCTTCCTGTTTATTTTAGTTAAGCACATTGTCACATTCAGGTATTTCTGTGTGACGAGATAAGTGTGGAAAATTTCTGTGCATTTTTGCGTTCACAAAGGGAGACAAACCCTAGACAGGTCCCGCCTGAGAGAATTATTCCACTGTAAATTACACTCAGGTAGAAAAATACTGCAGCAGATAAAATCTGCTAAAATCCTGAAAACCAAGTCCCTTGTTTTCCTGACCTGTTTGTCATACAATTGCAATCAGTGCTTAAAGATTAACATAATTTTGTTATTACTGTCAGTCATTTTAAAATCCAATGGCGATAAAATTGCTAACCTTTCACCATTCAGTTTTGGTGTGCAACTGAACAATCAAGGGTTTTATTCAAAACATTTCTAAAGTAGAATGTATGAGCTCACAAAACACAGGGCAGTTCGGAAAATAAGTCAATGTAGAGCTGTCACGTATAAGTCTATTAGCACAGTATTTAATATTTTTTTCTTCTGGTATACAGAAACATTTCATTCACCAGTTTGTTGTTGGGGAAATTAGATAGTTATTATTCAGTCCAAAGCGAAACATTTCTTCCGTCAGGCTGCCCAAAGGTAGCAAATGTTCAGAGTTCAGAGTCAGACCCTCGCCTGAGCAGTCTTGGACAGTGCTTTAAGGTCAGAGATGCACTTTGCAATGCTCTCTTTATCCTGCCAAGAGAAAAGCAGATTTTAGTACAATCATTCAAAAGGTTCTAAGTTCTACATGGGGGGGAAGAAACGTTGGCTCATTTATATGCATCTTAATTGTTAAATTCAATCAAGCCTCTCATTTAGCTCAGCGCTCCAGGGCAAATCCCATGATCCTGTTCGAAAAAACGAGGGGCGGTTCTCCGAATCGAATAGACAATTGGTCATTTTGGGGGGGATTTTGTTGGTGCAAATGACTGCCGCGTTTATCTCCACAATCACTGCACTTGACAACAATTTCTTCTGAAATTGTGTGAATGTTGCTCTCAAAATGAAATCCTTTCAAATTCTCGTCTCTTCTATTTTGCAACAATGCTATGAAATGCTTTGTCATCCACCTGAAGCCAGGCAGACATCGCTTGAGCATCTCAGCAGAAAGCTGGCTCCTCCAAAGTGCAAGACTTCCTTAAAACCAGCAGCTGAAATCCCGACATGGGGGGGGGGGGGGGGGCGGGGGAGACTTGAACCCAAAACTCCTCGTCCAAACTAACATCTGCTTGATAGAGCACTGGCAAACACGGGGTGATAGTGGAAAGACAACATGAAGAGCCAGGCATAGAACATACTTAGTATTCATTTTTAGTAGATTGGATGGGTCTATCAAATTAATGATTTCCAGACAGATATTATGTATATTTCAAAAAGCTCTCCGGCATTGTCCAATCTTACACTTGTGCTCTTTCCCCCAACAACTCATTCTGAGTTGTATTGCTATGCTACCTGTTTCTCCCAAAATACTAGCGAAATATTAACCCATTCATTTCTCTGGTTTCTTCCCCTCACCTGTTGCGGGGTCAGGCTCTGAATTATGCTTTTCTCCACCCAGTTCACCATATACTCTTGTTCAAGTCTTTGCTTCAGGTGCTGCAAACCGATTTGGTAATCCATGCGTTTCTTCACTCCGGTGTGTACCTGGTGGATCCGTTCCCGGTAGTTGGCTTCCAGCAACATGGTGACATTGTTCTGCAAACCACAAATAAAAGCATTTTAGTTGACTGCACCCGCACATCTCAACATCACATCATTGCACTCAGTTCCCCCACCCCTTGATGATTCCAATTCACATAAAGATACAATTGTACAGTCCCATAGACAGGTTTCTGCACACTCCCTCTCCAATAAGTGGTCATTCTGCGCATGAGCCCAGTCTATTCGTCTGTGAGGCGTAATCATTTTTGATATCAGTTGACATTAACCCAAATCCACTTTCCATTGAGGACACTGGATAGCATTCTGAATTTCTAGCCAATTCCCACTCAGGGGAGCAGATACTGCCCACAAAATACAGGTACATCACATCAGAGTACATTCTGTGATGCACGTTGAGACCTCGATGATATGATAAGGCACTCTATCAAATGCAAGGTTTATTAGTAGTATTGATAAGACTATTTTAACCCTTTTGTGTATAATAGTCAACACGGGTGGATTTTCTTTTAAAACACACACTCATTATGTGGTACTTATTAATATTGTTTTCATATAACCAGGAATTATGTTTGTGCTGAAAGGTTACTTAATTAATGAAGTTTATTACAGACTTTAAGTGATTGGTTGCACAAAATTCATTAGAAACCATTTTATCTCTAATGTATCAGTGCTTGCTAAATGAGAGAACAACAACAACAAATTACACTTGTATAGTGACCTTCACATCGAAAACATGTCCCAGGGCGCTGGACAGTCAGGGGTTTTTGGACCCGATCTGGGAGTTGAGACAAAACTGGGCTGAGGCAAACCAGAAACATTCACAGAAACACTGTAGATAAGAGCGTTAGCAAAATGCATTCCCACCCGCTTTGCGTCAAACAGGTAATTACGGCCTTCGACTCGCCACTGCTCTTTTTTCTCATTGTCGATGGATTGCATCAGGTTATTCATGGTCGCATCCTTCACCTCTTGAATTTCTGCAACTTTCGCCTGTTTTGTTTAAGTAGAAGAGAGAACTGAATATGGGTGGAAATGTAACAAATGATTCAATATTTATTAACAGACTATCCTTTAAGTGACTCTGGCAATTTCTTACCATATTCAGTTTGTCAGCAAATTCTGCTACAGTCTTTCCATATGTTTTAATTGCATAGAGGATGACAATGCCAACGGATAGACCTGATATTGTCTCATAGTTAAGGACGTAGATTTCTTTTGAGAGAAGGTACACCAGGAGTCCAGTGCCAAACATATAAGGACCTAAAATGGGCAAAGAGGGAAAAAATTAAACATAGAAAAGGGTACAAAATTCATTAAATATAACAACAGAGCTTCCTTCTAGTCATAATGTTCCATTCGAACCAGATTCATTTATCTTTATGTATTATAATTTGAGACGAGAGGCTGTTTTAAGTATATATGTAATCTGAGACAGCAAAAGAACAAATTACATTTGTATAGTGCCTTTTACGTTGTGAGGATGTTCTGAAGCACTAGACAGTCAAGGATGTGCCCCCGAGCCGTGAATTGGGATCAGGAGAAGGGAAGGATAGGAAATAGGAGGGTGACCGAAGGCACGGTCGAAGCGGAAAGTCTTGAGGTAGGCCTTGAAGGAGGCAAGTGAGGGGGAAAGGAGGGAAAATATATAAGGATGGTCTACATTAGTTTACAAAACAACTAAACAGGGTTGAGACTAATCTCACATTGAACAATTCAAACTATTTTGAGAATCTATTTTACTGACCGGTTACTCCAGTCTTGGGGTACAAGAACTGGAAGAATTCCTCTGGAACGAACCCATAGCGCACTTTGCCTCCTTTCTCAGGAAGTGCTGGTACAGGTGCCTTAGACTGGTGACTGGTGTGGAGGTTCCTGAACACTGGCAAAACACTGGGAACAGAATCCAAATCAGCATTGTAAATACCTTTGCAGCTTAGTGCAGAATAAAAGAAAATAGCTAGAAATTTCCATTTACTTCAAATAGATGAAAAATTACTAACCTGACAGGTGCCGCTGACTTCAGAGCAGACACTGGAAAAAAAGGATTTTACAAATGCATAAAACTGGAATGAGTTCAGATTGTCTTCAAACAATGGACCGAATCATAAATTAATTGTGATCAAGGAGATAGATCTCGGTTTATGGTGAAACACTGTCATAGCAGGCACAAAGTAACCAGATTGATCACTCCCAAAACAGGTCTGCTCTATGTTCGAATCAACCCTGTGTCCTAAATCCAACCAGCAAAGAGCTTGTCCTACTACACCAGTAGACAATCCTTCTTTGGGAAGTTAAGTGAGGTCCACTTTGGAGCTGAGCTGGCTCAATGACGTGTCTGGCACAATCTCTCGCTCAAACTCATCCTGTCACTTGGGGTTCATAGTAGTAACAACAATAACAAGCAATAATCCTTGCATTTGGTACAGGGCCTTATCATGTCATTGAGACGTCTCAAAGCAAATACCGTGCAAATACTGTGTATTTTGTGGACGGGCGAAGAATGGCAGCCAGTTTGCCCACAGCAATTCTCGAATAAACAGCCACGGAGTGAGCGGCCAATTTTATTTGGGGGAAGGGGATTGCGGACGAGGACACCAGGAGCGAGAAACTCCCTTCTCATTTCGAACAGCGCCACGGGATCCTTAACGTCCACCCGAACAGGCAGACGGGAATTCGGTTCAACGTTCCAAACCCGAAGGACGGCACCTCCGGAGATGCAACGCAACCCCAAGCGCTGCGCCCGGAGCTTCGGCCTAAGACGGCGCAATTGCAAGTCCGACGTGGGCGGGTCGTGAACCCAAAACCTTCCGACTCAAGAGAGAGAGGCCGGAGCCCTACCGCGACTGAGCCAGACTGACACACACACACATATATATATACACACACACACATCACCACCACCGTGCAAAACACACAGAGAAGCCCTGAACCTTTCTGCTTGTGGCAGTGTAGCGGGGGGGGGGGGGGGGGGGGCAGGCTTGGTCCTGAAGACAGAGAGAGACACCTTTGTGTGTGTGTGTGTGTGAGAGAGAGACCGACCTTAGCCTTGGCCCTCGCTGTGGAGTCGGGCTGGTGGGCATCTCACACATAATAATAATAATAATAATCCTTGCATTTGATATAGCGCTTTTCACGTCGGGAGGACGTCCCAAAGCGCTTCACAGAACACACTGTAAAGTGAATTGACTGTATATTTGTGGGCGAACGCGGCAGCCAATTGCGCACAGCAATGTCCCACAAACAGTCGTAGATTGAAAATGACCAATTTATTATTGTTTTTTTGGAGGGATTATTATTAGGCTCTGTGTGGAGTAAGGAAACTTGCCCGAGGTTTCGCCCTCTGCCTGGAATTGAACTCAGGTCTCTCACTTGCAAAGCGAGTGCTCTAACCACTGAGCTACAGGACTCCACGATGGGGCGGGGGGGGGGGGGTGGGGGTACTTCAGTGGCTGTCAATGGCTTGAGACACCGCGTTCGCAGTCTCTGGCCTCCTGTCTGACAGCCCAGGCTCAGGCCCAGGCCCCCCCTCACCACCTCCGTGTCCTTGTTGTGACCCAGACCCTTACCGGAAGCGAGTGCGGCGGCGCGGGACAGCATTTTTTTTTTCTCTTCCCTCCCTCTCTCGTTGTATTTTACGGCCGCCCCCGCGGGTTGGGGGTGTCAGGAGGAAAGACGGTGACCGGCCCCCGTCGCGCAGCGAATGCTCCCGTCTTCCTCCCTCCGACCTCTCGCTCTCTCCGTCGCTCTCCAGCGTCCAAAATGGCGGCGGTGGGGTGGGAACTGGGTAATCTCGCGATGGGTGTGTCAGGAGGGCGAAGGGGTGGGGGGAAAGGGGAGGAGATCTCGCGAGAGCTGTGTGTGTGTGTGTGTGTGTGTCGTCAGGAGAGCGGGGCGGGGAGGAGGGGGGAGATCTCGCGAGATCTATGGTAAGGAGGTGCGGGGGGGGGAGAGAGGAGGATCTCTCCTCCTCCTTCCCCCCACCCTTCCTTACCATAGATCTCGCGAGATCTCCTCCTCCTCTCTCTCTCCCCCCCACCTCCCCTTACGAGGGATCTCGCGAGATCTGCGCGCGCAGATGGGGGGGCGGCGGCGGCGGGAGATTCTCGCGAGAGCTCCGCGCGTGTGTGCGTGTGTGTGTGTGTGTGTGAGGGGCGGGGGGGGGGGGGGAGTGGGAGGAAATCCCGCGAGAGAGAGGTGGGGAGGAGGCGCGCGCGGAAGAGCCTGCGTGCGTGCGGTGCGTGCGTAGGTGCGGTGCGTGCGTGCGTAGGTGCGCGCACGCGCGGCGCCGGTTGGCGGCGGCGGCGGCTCGAGCCCTACCCCCCACCCCCCCCCCCCCCAAAAAAAAAGAGAGAGCGAGAGCATGGAGAACCCGTGGAACATTCCCCCCAACGCGCCCGCCTGCATGGAGCGGCACATCGACACGCTTCACTACAGGAACGGTAAGACGCCTTCTCCCCCCCCCCCCCCAGAGAGAGAGGGAGAGGGAGAGGGGGGGGGTTATATATATTATATATATATATGTTGTGGGTGTTTGACTCACTTCCCCGCCCGCCCGCCCGCCATGCTGACCCGCTCCAGCGCGATCTCAAGTGCATCGTTTTTCTTTCTTCCCTCTTTCTCACCTCACTCCCCCCCCCTCTCCCCCCACACACACAGACCCCCCCACAGACCCCCCCCCACACACACAGACCCCCTCCCCCCCACACACACACACACACAGACCCCCCCCCACACAGACAGACCCCCCCCCACACACACACAGACCCCCCCCCCCACACACACAGACCCCCCCCCCACACAGACCCCCACACACACACACACACACCTCCCCATCGGTGGACGAACACCGGCCTCTCTTTGTACTGTGCGCTCGTCGGACACGTTCTGAGTGTGACACCAAAGCCACTGAATCACCGCCTGTCCACTCCCTGCAGAGCAACACAGTGCAGTCACTGTGTGCCCAGACATCAGGTGCTGTTGTGGTTTTGATTTCATTCCTAATAAAAGTTTTTCTCTTTTTTTTTGGGGGGGGGGGGGTGGGGTGTGGTGGGGTGTTTGCAGATGGAGCCCTTTTACTTGGTGCCTCGACCTTGACTGGACGCAGTTGGTTGGGTTCGATCTGGGTTTTTAAGGATCCGCTCAAGGCTCCAAATGAAGAGTTCTGCACCGTTGGTGTCCAGACAGAGGCAGGGGTGGTAGATACCTGTTGGGTCTCCGACCGAGGAATCCTTGTGGCATCGGATTCGGGTAAGTTTGGCGCAAAGAAGTCCTTTGATGAATTTGGCTATTTAACCACGTGATGCGTTGAGGGAGAGTTCGGGTGAACGGTATTTGGTATCGCGCCAGAACTCGAGCCTTATTGTCCAGCGCCCTGCGACATCTTTCCGACGTGACGGCGGCTGATACAAGTGTAATTTGTTGTTGCGCATCATCAAGATATCTCGAAGTGCTTCGCAGAAATTACAGTAAGGTGTAGTGACTGGATTTTGTAGGTGAGCGCGGCATCAATTTAAGCATCAGCCCCGCAATATCCTGCAAACAGCCGTGAAGTATGCAATCAGTTTTATCTGAAGGGCTATTTGCCAGGACATGGGAGAAATTCCCTTCTCTTAATAAGCTATGAAATGAGTTGTAATACAGAAATTAATTAAGGTTTACAAGCTGTATTTTCCCACAAATATGTTTTTAAATTCATGACATTACTTGGAATGGAAGCGAGCTTTACTTGAGCTGTGTGCTTGTAGAGTTAGTCTTATGGAATTATATTAATTTGAGAGAGCTGATCTTTATTTACTTTGACTTCAGGTGCTGTGGAATTATGGGAGGTATCTGAGAGCGAAGCCCTAATGATGAACAAGTTCTGTAAATATGAGCACGATGACATTGTTACTAAAGTGAGCGTGCTGTCTGGCAAAACACATGCAGTCAGCGGCAGTCTAGATTGCAGGTTTGTACCATTAGCCTCTTTGTGTTGTTAACTCCCTTTTGAATTTCCTCAGTTCAAACTTCTCATACCATAACCTTCTCGAATGGTACATTTGAGTCCTGAGTTTGTGTCATCTTATTACTCTTAAGTCTATCTGCGATGAAAGTCTTATCAGAAAACTGGAATGGAGGCAATGTTTAATTTTTAGTATCACAACAGTACACAAGTAATCAGTATCTCACAACTCACAATTATATTAGGTAAGCCACTTAATACAATTTTAAATGTGAATTTAAATAGCAGTAACATTCTTAACTGCTTTATCTATATCACTTAATGTCTAACTTTGATTGTGGATGACTAAACGCAATGAACACTATAATAACCGTTTGCTTTGTTTTGTTAGTGTGAAGGTTTGGGACTTAGAACAGCACACTGTGGTCAACTCTTACAGAGGTGAGTGGAAGCGCACAATACAAAGCTTGTGAGCAGCCATTATTTTATTGAATTACGTGGGCTATATAATTGGTGAACAGTTCTATTGTACTGAAGAAGTTTAAACCAACCAGGCTTTGCACATCTGCAATTCAATTTGAATAGAATTTTTGCCGTGCATGAAGTTTGAACAGTTTTAGGAGGTTTTAATTTGTCAAGAACTAGTTACTCAGATGATAACTGTCCATTATGTATTAATTGATTATTGACTGGTTTCTACCTGCAGCTCACTCTAGGTCCGTGACGTATGTAGCTTCCTGTCCCAGCAATGAGAGTCTCTTCTTGTCTTGTGGTCAGGTAAAGAAAAACGCATCAAATGTAGAGTTAATCTGCCTACTGCTTTTGTTTGTGGCCAGCCCAGAATTGTTTTACATATTCAATATCCATTATAAGTTTCAAGTTGGATATGTTTTGTTATGGGAATGTATGTTTGCAAAAAAAAGTTAGCTATAAATTAGAAATGTTCAGAATCTTACCACGTTTTCAATTTGGGGTGTGTAATTAACCGTCGACAATCTTTCACACATCTACTCAAGCGGTTTGAATCAGAATTCTAGTTGGCTTGCATACTTTGAATCTAAAAGTGATTTTTTGCACTGCTCATAAGTACATGCAACAACAACTTTCATTGATATAGCACCCTTCATTCGGGGTAGCATCTCAAAGCACTCAACAGTGGTGGAACCTGATACCAAGCCTTGGGAGGGGCTGGTGACCGTTCAAAGAGGACGGTCTTTAGGCATGATCTGAAAATGGAGAAGGAGGGATTGAGGGAGACATTTCCAAAGTTTCAGGGTGTAATGACTGAAAGCACTCCGCCGATTATTACGTGCAGTCTACCTATCATTTTTATTCTTCTGAAAGAATAGGATTTCTATCTTGTGTCCTTTGAGAGTTAATTTATAGAAAGTTTGTTTAGAAGTCAAATCCTTTGTTCTTTACCTACTGGTACATGACAATAATTTTTTAGACTTGAAAATATAATCCAGGCCTGCCTTTAAATTGATTTTGCTTTTCCAGGACAGGAGAGTTTTATTGTGGGATAGAAGAAATTCCAAACCAGCCTTTCGAATTGGTAAGTATTATTTAGCCCTGCTATCGTATTTCCAATGCTTCATCGCCAATGATTTCAGCTTTCAGACTTTTTCCAAACTGCATAGTAGTCCATACTGAGAAGGCTTTATATAATCTGGGGTAAGACTTACTCATTCTTGGTCAGATTGAGAAATCAACGTATCCTTTGTTTGATCAAGAATTCACTGATATGACACTATTTTGTAGCTCATGAAAGTAACTATTATCTTTCAACCAAGTGCATGTAAATAATATCCACAATACACAATTCTACCCTGTATTACAGTTTTGGGAGCAATTTAGCTTACTGCTTATGTATATGAATAGGTAGTTTGATTCCAGTTGAGATTCAGATTTTGAATTTGTCCTCATTTTGGATTTGCAGCTTGTTCTACGGTGTTGTGGATGTGCAGTTGTTATTACAGTTCACACCAGCAGGATGTGCTCCAGCACTCCTCTTAAACACTCGATTTCTCTGCTTTCAGAAATTGGAGTCTCATGCTGTTCTCCAACTGCTGTCACGTGGCATCCACAGAAGGAGGACATCATAGCCTTCGGTAACTAAACCTAACCCTTCGTTTTGATGCTTTCCAATTTTTTTTTTTAAATCCTTTTAGACACGTCGCTCCCAAGTAAATGTGAGAACTGCATTCGGTAATCGGGAAAATGGTATTCTTACTGTGTTCTGTTGCACTCTTGCACGTCATGTAAAGTGTGATGTTTTACTGAACATCCTGATTTTTCACAAAACTATAGCCTAAATTTAAAAGCTATTGAGCAACAGATTAAATGTCTCTATTCTGGTAGTGTGAGATTACTCCTGACTATCATTATTATTACTATTTTGCTTTTTGCTGCATCTGAATCTCTCTTATTAACTGAACAGGAACTGAAGATGGAATTGTCGGTATCAAAAACTTACAGAATGAGACAGATTCAATACAGACGTCTAAAGTGCACACGCGGGCTGTGTCTGGGCTTGAGTTTTCCTCGCACAGGTAACTTGCTATTATCTTAATATCTTAATAATCTTTGATTTGATAAAGCAGCTCATGTCAAAACATTTTAAAGCACTTTACAGAGAAAATACATTTTCTTCATGGACCCGTTTTACCTTTTTGTCTTACAAGTACTCCCCTTCTGGCTTCTGTGAGCGAGGACTGTACTGTAGCTGTTGTTGACATGGACCTCTCCAAAGTGTAAGTAAAGCAGGGACTATGGAAAGCTATTACTTCCTGTATCTGTCGCTAGGCATTTCTTTTGGTGCTTGTACATAACTGTGAGCCTAGAAATGAATTGTTTGTTCTTTTTGTAGGTTTAAAGATCAGTCACACAAGGACTTTGTTCGTAGTGTATCCTGGTCACCTCTAAATTCTGCTGTAATCAGTACAGCGGGCTGGGATCACCAGGTTCTACACCACACGATCAGCAAAGAAACAGCGTTAAATGCAGCAGAAGATTAGCAGACGTCGATAAATCCTTTTTTTTGTACCGTTTCTTTATAACCATGTTACATCCTTGAAATTCTACCCCGAGTTAAGGAGCAATGACGGGTATGTCATCAAATTCATTTGTCATGGCAGAAATGATCTTCATTCTCTTAAAGCAGTAGAGAAAACAAAAATCATTTGTGGACACTCCAGATTTCTACTTGTCAAATTGAAGTAACCCGTTTCAAAATTCTATAGCCCTTCCCAACGTAAGAACTTTTATGAGCAACCTCATTCTGCTCTGAATCTTGCCACATACGGATAAGTCAGCAGTGTTTTACCTCATCATTTTTCTTTTGTGACTGGGAGCAGAAAGTTTATTACAGCAAACGAGTTGGCGAATTAGTTAACGAATGAGCGGTTTGAGTAATATTTGGGTTGCTTGGTGCCGAATGATTACTGTGAATTTTGACCCCTGCTGCTGTGCAATTTATATTTCATGATTCACATTTTGTTGGGGGGGTAACGAAGAGAATGATTAAAAAAAAGTTAATAAAAACTGGTCTGTTTTTGTATCCTACTATACCAAGGTTTGCAAGGTTATTTGAGAGATACCCTGACATTAATTTTGGTGTTGGTGATACACACTGGTATAAAGTACCAGAACTACCATATTTAATACAAACAATTTTGTATAGATTACTTAAAGGGGGTTTCCAATTGCATTGGAATAATTTGACACCCAGTTTGATTGATGCTTATTGAAAATAACACTGATGCCGTTCGTTGCACTGATATAATTTGCACGCAAAAGAAACTACTTATGATGAAATCTCCACAGACACTTCTAAGTTAAATTCACTGAATTCGTTAATTTCATCAATTGACTGCTTGGTTATTCCACATCTCACTCTTGATTTAGGTTATGTCAGCATTGTGCACGAGATAGGACATTAACAGAGCCCCTCCCTTTAAAACCGGGTGGGTGGCGATGTGATGTATACACCACAGATGGTGTACTTGTTCCCTGACTCATCACTAACCCAAATATTTTGCATCGCACCAAAACAAGTCCACGGTGTGAAGCAATATTGATTCGCTGTCAGAAAAATATTAAGACTGAACAGGAACTGAAAATGGAATGGTCAGTGTTACGAAAAAAAAACTCGCAGAAGGAGATGGGTTCGATACTGACCTCTGAAGTGCACGCCGGGTCTGGGCTTGCATTTTCATAAATGCGTCCCGGTGGCCTGGGAAGAAAGTATTTCTTTCTGCGTCCCGACGTGCGTATACCCAAAACATAATTTGATTATATTGGGGCATGTGAGATTTTGTAACTTATTCCACACCCATAAGAAATGCCCGACTGAAATTTCCTCATCAGTCACCAGCAGTTTATAAATAAATCAGACGCTTATCTGCTCCCTCTCCATCAGAGAGCTCTCGTGTAGCCATGGAAACCTCGTCACCGTGACTGCCCTTTAGCATTTCTGGAGCATCAGAAGTACAAGTGAAAATACCTAATTGGCAGCACACAGGAAGCTAACATGAACCAAAGGAAAACGAGAGAGAGAGAGAGAGAGAGAGAGTTTATGTCTTAATGACTAGCGTGTGGACACGCTCCTCCTTCCCTGCACTGTTGGGAGCGCCTTAATTTTTTCTCTCTCTTAATTAATCTTTTTTTCATCCGAATCTCAGTTGATTAACTCTGAAGATGGGTGTTCTCGAGCTAGAATGGTCGAGCCGAGAACACTGTCACCTCCAGCCTGCGCAGTTTTAAGTGGTTGATAAAAGCCTTGCAGTTTCTGGAGCATGATAAAAGTTTAACAACATCCAAGTGGAGGTAAACTCTGAACAGATATTGTACGGCATTCTATCATTTTAAAAAGCATTACATTTAAATACCCCACAAATTAATTATGCACAATTTATCTTTAATACCCAATTAATTCCCTCTTGAATTGGACAACTCAATATGCCTCCTCTGCCTCTCTGGGTAGTTAATTGTACCTTGCTCTGAACACACTAGATTTATTGATGCTCTTTAGGATCCTGAATACTTCCAATAGAATCTCCCCCAAGTCTTTAAGTGCAATCTTTCCATCTTGGCTCAGGTGCCAATTCCACTCATCCATCTATTTGCCGCAATGTACTAGTACTCCAAGTAGGGTTGGACATGTCAATGTTGCCATTGTTAAAGGGTATTAAAAGGATTGTTGCAGGTGTGCAGCAAAATTACAGGGCGACTGAGATTGATCTTACAATGGTGTCAGACGTAAATACACGTTCAGATTGCTGGGTGTGTCCATGGGCACTGCAGTATTATATGATCAAGGGGTAATAATTGTGCAAGGCCTCCAGCATAATGCCCAACTAGCTTTCTGGAAACGACTATAAAATATGCTCTGTTCTCAGACAAGTACTAAGGTTCTGTAACACTCAATAGAAATCCTCAATATTCTTAGAAGGGTAGAAACAGGACGAGGCCATTCAGCCGCTCGAGCCTGTTTCGCCATTCTATAAGATCCGTACCTCAAGTCCAATTACCCCCCCCCCCCCCTTGCCCCATATCCCTTAATACCCTGACCTAACAAATAGCTGTTCATCTCAGTCTTGAAGGTGTGAATGGATCCATCTGATGATGTGAATGGATCCAGCCTTTCTTTGGTAGTATAAGTTAGTAAATATAATGGCATATAGGAGGCACTATAGGCACGTTCTACTGAAAGCTGACCTGCCCAGCCAACCTGCTTGGGATTTTTGAATTCAAACTCATTCAACGCTTTCACACAAGGCTAAATTGCTTTCCAAATTCCCTTTTCAGCACAAGCATTTTGTTTTATAGATTCTGAAGCAAAAGCATTGAAATGTTAAAAAGTTCCCAAGTAAAAACACTTTTTTTTAAACAAAGATTAGAACTCAAAAAAAAGATGCTTTTCTTGATTGAAGCGCCTCTACTTTTGTTCCGAAGCAGATTTTAAGAGTCTATTTTTTTACTCAGATCTCTTTTCAAAAGTCTGAATGCAGTGAATTTTAATATTGGATGAAACCGTGAAATCTCTCAAAAAAANGTGTCTGACATTTAACTAATCATCACAGCATTTTCCCACCATTATTTTCTTGCCAGTCATATTTTCACTTACCCTCCTTTACAATAACCATCATTTTTTTTCTTTAAATGAAGTCTGATCTTCCCCTCCAGGATATGAGCCACTTTGTAATATAAATTTCAATTTAGTGCATTTGTCATGCCAAACAAAAGCCATGACTCATCATAGGTTGGGCACATACTTCACGAAATATATATATATTATACATACACACTCAGAATTTTGTTGAAAGAATTTCTTAAGTTCGTCATATGGGTAATGATTAATCAGCAAGCTGGTAATGAGGTGTTACCTACAATTTTTAACCTACAATTTACTTCTTCATTGATATAACTGAATTGCATAAGAGTGTTATTATGAGGTAAACGGGCCGCTTGATCCTCCAAGTCTGTGCGGGCCAGCACTTATAGTCCACCCCTCCTAAGAGCCTCTCCCAAATGCCTCTATTCCCTTCCTCACAAATGCATTTGTTTCCTCTTAAATACATCGACATATCAAATATTTCCTATTTAAGATTTGTGACAAGTTAGCCTATCCTCATATATCCTACACAGGACAGATAGAGATCACTTGCATTCTACAGGACTTCCTGTTTCCTCATTTTATTGAAGCCGAAACTCTTTGCAACTCTTTGATAATGATAATCATCTCCTGCTTGCCCCATTCGTTCCAATGACATCAAGAATATGGAATTGCTCACCTACCACAAACTACACGCTTCAAAAACCCAACCCTGGTTCACCTGAACAGGCTAGATAAGAGCTCGGTTTAATGTCTCATCTGAAGGACAAACACCTCAGGCAATTCAGAATACCCCAGTACCAAACTGAAATGCCAGCCTAAACTATAGTTTTTTTGTGTGTGACAAGTCAACGTAAGCTGGAAAGAAGGTAATATTTTCACCTCCCCAGCTAATTAATTTACAGCGCAGTTCTAACCTGTTCTTTCCTCAGTGGCAGAATAATAAAAAAAAAGTTAAATGAAACCTACTGCTGTTTACCACATCATTAAATGGTCTGGAAAAGTAGTAGGTCTAAAGGTCACTTTGAGTGTTAAGAAATTCACCCACAAAGCAAACAAATAATGATTACATAATTTGCAAACTGCGTAGCCAGTGTATTTTAAACTTCACGACCTGTGTCTTTTATAAGCACAGAATAAGTTTCAGGGAGTCACCAAATGTTACCAGAAAAATATGGATCCCATATAAAAAAAAACGATAGCAATGAATGCAAATGATTTGTTAGGTTTAGGCGGCTCACTGCTGTACTAATGAACTAGAATTTAGAGCAAGCTGAGGAAGCTCAACACTACAATTCTCCACAAGGTGAGAGACTGGTTCTCAGTCAGGGGACCAGGGGAGTTTTAGAGTGGAAATTTGCAAAGCTCATCAACACATCTTAGCAGTTAGCAACCGAGCAGCTCTGTAATACATCAGCTCTTCGCCATGAGAATGGAGCACAATAGTGGGAAGCTTAAAAGCATGAGGGGAGAAACATCTTTGTCTATCACTGAGCCAAGCCAACAGTTGTAATTCAGTTCATTAGTCCTGTTAATGTGGCATCCTGTAGTTTATTGGTTAGCACAAGCGAGAGGACCTGGGTTTGATTCCTGGCCAAGGCAAAACTTAGGCAAGTTTCCTTACTCCACTCTGTTTCCCCAGCAGTAAGTAGGAACCCAGTTGTTAGGCGATTGGTGAGACACTGCTGTGCTCAAGTGGCTGCCGTGTTTCACTCACAAAGTATACAGTCAATTCACGTTGCAGTGTATTCTGTGAAGCATTTTGAAACGTCTCGAAGACGTTATAAGGCATTATATCAAATGCAAGGATTATTCTGGAACCAATAGATCGAAACTTTAGGTTTCTAAGTGTATCCTTTGAGTCACCGCCTGCATTCGCTTGCTTTTTTATTGCCGTGTAGTGGGTGGGTTAGAGCTACATAATATAAGTGCAAGGGCAAAGAAGCAGATAGTGATACATTGATCTGTAAGGGAGAATATAATGATATATAATGAGATTTTGTCCTCAACTGGTTACTGCCAAATAATAATCATATGTTCATTTATTAAATATAACCCTAATCTGATCCAATCTGAAACACAAGAATTTTTAAATCTTTTTGATGAACCTTATGCGAACGATTTGAACACAAACCGTTTTGCTAATCTTTATGGCCTCATCTTCACAGTCAGCAATCAGCTTCATACAAAAGCTTTTTATTATTTTGCCCCATTGTTATAGTTACCAAGACACCTCCACTTGCCGCTTTAATTGGAAATGGGTGAGGCTGTGAGCACACGAAAGTGACGCTAAAAGAAAACACACTGCTGACTTGCAAGAGGAAACAAAGCGCTCATTGAAAAACAAGAATTTACCTATTCCTTTGCATTGCTTAAAAAGCAAGGAGGGAACAGGTACCTTTCGGTCCCGAAAATCGTGGGTCAAAACCAAAGAAAGAACTCGCTCATTTTATTGACACATTTCAAAGTGCTTTACATTAGTTATTGTCAAGTGTAGTGACTGTTGGGTTTTTTTTGGAGACAAATGAGGCAGCTATTTCACTCCAGGCATGAAAGTGAACGGCCCAAATACCTGCAAGATTGTTCGCTCAGCGGGTAAAATTAGTCTGTTGCCCAGTTCAAACCCTTTCTGTTGTTCTAATATGTCCTGCACCATTTTCCAGCTGATGGGGTTGGGGAATCAGACTTAACTTCCGAACCACAGCTGGAGTTGGCACACTCTAAGACTGTTCTTATCCCCGGAGAACTATTTTCCAAGAAACAAATAGCTGTGGAAGAAGAAGAGCCCAAAAAGACATACATTCTAAGGAAGAGGACCCACTCCCATGGCAACGGGTTCAAGTCTCTTCAATTGGGATTTCTGAAGCTCAATTTATTTTGAACACAATCCAATCTACCGCAATTTGGGTCAGATATTAACACAGTCTTGATCATTGACTTCGTACTACTCTCCATTGAAATTGGCTTGTCACTTGTGATTCTGATTTAGAATAGAATCCAGTACATAATCATTAAGCTCAGGCCACTGCTTCTTTACAATACAGAGTTTTTCTTTATTGTTTGGACATTAAAACCAAATTGAACAACACAGAGACTTTGGTTGTATATATTACAAGAGGGAAAGAAATATACACATTAGGGCTACTTGTTCAAAATCCTCTTCGCAATTTAAAATCTTGTACCTTAAACTTTAACCTGAATTCAGTTCATTCAAAAATTGAATGCCTTGCGTGTGTGTGTATATATATATATAAAATATATACACACACAAATACAGTATTTAATTTCTCACATTCAACCTAGTAAATTACAAAATAGCCAGCTAAGCATTCTTCATTGATCTCTTTCTCCCGCAAAGAAGAGATCTACATTCTGATTGTTACACAGGAGTTACAATACAGAGCATAAAAAGAGCAGATTACTTTGGCAGGTTTGGATACGGAGGATCATATAATTAGATCCAATGTGTTATAATAAAGTTACTTTATTCCAAGTAAATCAGTACTTTAAGAAGAGTATATCATATTCCAACTGGTAGGACAGAGATATCATATAGGTCAGTGTTTGTCAACCACAAGTCTGAAGACTGAAATCAATCCTATGACCATTCCAGAGATTGTTTGATATTGAGTAACAACAGGCTCACTTACTAACTGTCCATCACAACTTAAAGAGGAAACTGAACTGATTTCCAGCATCAAAATAGTTGAGATATACTGTGTACACAAAATATATATGTACACACACACACATACACACACAGACACATACACGCACCCACACATGTAACAATTCTTCCAATGGAAAACAAAATCAAACACTGTTCCACGTTTCGTTTAATAATTCTGCTGCAACCAGCTCGCCACAATTATTTTGATTAAATTCTTAAAGAGGCGTCGGAAGGAAAGCTTGTATAATGTCATGATGCAGAGAGGAGGCGGCAGTGAGAGGAGAGCAAAAGAAGGCCAAGGAAAGCCGCTGAATTTTCTCATACAGGCTCATGCTGCAGGCAGCAGGAAATCAAGATGGATTTTAAAAACAGGTTGAAATGGAATTGGAACTATGTTGCTGCAATGTTGTGCAACGCAGAACCACTGATTCTAACAAAATCACCTTTGAAGAAGCTTTTTTAAAATTCAAACAGGCATACTCGTTAAAAACAAAGTCTGACGAGTGTATAAACATAACCAACAAATGGATTCCAACATGCGATTTGGTGCCTTTGAAGCCTCTGTCCAGAACATTGAGCATTTGGGGTATTTGTGTACCTGTAACAAGTGCTGCTGCGGTCAAGCAAAGGGGAGCGGTTTGTGGAAGTTCAGTAGCTGAGAAGGTTGTTTCCTGGAAATAAATGCAGGGTTGATGTTCCTCACCAAGGTTGATTGAGTTGGATTCAGTCTGTACCTTGTGAAAAGGCTTTGTTGTTTTATATATAAAAAGAGAGGTATAAACCATCTCCTCGTTCAGTTCCAGGATATGGGTTGCTTTGCACCAGGACGGACTGTGAACGTTCTACCGTATGAAAGATGTTGGGGACGCTGAGAGCTGGAGAGATTCAGAAAGAGATGACCCTTTGATTAGCGGTATATTGATTTCAAACCAGAAACGTCTGAACATCAAGCTGAACAACAACAACTTGGGTTTACATAGCGCCGTTCACGCAGGATTGCGCCTCAGAGCGCTTTAAATAGTTGATAACGCGCAATATCAAATGCAAGGATTATTACTATTATCACATCTTCGCGACGTCTCAAAGCGCTTCACAGAATTTACTGTAATTTAACACGTGAGGGGCGCTATATAAATCCAAGTCGTCGTCGTTGTTTGGGAGGTCAGCTCTTGAAAATCTTAGTTACTGCTTTTCTACCACCAACACGAGAGAGTTACGAATATCTTTGCACTCCATGAAAGATCAGCCATTTAAGACAACACCACACTGCTTTTCACAGCCTACTCAGCACCTGTACTTATGCACTAAGCTGTTACACAACACACCCTCTTAATCATTCAGCTGCTTAAAAACACGTTTGCTACACCCTTCTGCAAATCCTCCACCATAATCTGCATTACCTTTTGTCAGAATAATTACCGCCTACAAATTATGCAGTCACTGCACTTTACAGTGAACTCTGTGAGGTCTCAAATGCAATGATTGTAATTTGAATTGAAATGGAATAAATGCAGAAAACTGTCCAGATCTCTCTTTAGTTCTCAACTTGGTTTATAGGTGACACTTATCAAGGATCAACAACAACAAATTACATTTGTTCTGCGTTTTTCACACTGGGAGGACGTCCCAAGGCACTGGACAGTCGGTGATTTGGACACGAGCAGGGGTTTGGGATCAGGAGGGGTGGAGGGCAGGGAGGGTAGGTGTAGTTGGGTGGTCGAAGGTGCTGTCGAAGAGGAGGGTCTTGAGATGTGCCTTTAAGGAGGCGAGGGAGCAGGGCGAAGGGACTGTGGGATGGAGTTCCAAAGGATGGGGGCATCCCATAAGAGACTGGAAAGATTTTTGTTTAGTCTTAATTTGCCCCTTAGCTTTGGGTTTAATAGTTAATGCTGTTAATATCCATAGTTATCAATTTTTTTCTAAGTCATATTGGAAGGGGAAAGTTACATTCTCACTCACACATTCACAAGCATTTATATAAACTGCCTGTCCGCTATTGAAGGCTAAAATATAATCTCACGGTTCAGGTAACATGTACATAACAGCTCAGCCTTTAATCTAAAGGTTCAGGTTACCAGAACCTATTGGAGGAATGTAACTCAGTAATTCCATCCAATTCTATCCATTATTCTATATAGAGTTATACATTATACTTAGCATCTATTACTCTATGCAGTAGATACTATTCTTTGTAACTATTTCTTACTGTCAAATAAACTTGAAATAGGAGTTACGTAATTGATTCCATCAGCCAAGAAATCGAGAATTTCTAGGTATAAAATAGGACTTAATCAAGCAATTTCCAAAAGTAATTCACATACACAGTTAAGTGCTTGTTACGTACGCTCAGTATCTTTCCACATCCCACAAAACTGCACTAGCGTTAAGAAAAGCTCTAATACCAGGAAACCACTATAAAATCTCCAAGATCAATTTAAAAAAAGTCCAGTAATTAATAATAAACAAGAGGGAGCGACATTAAAATGACCAATGCAATCTCAGGTTCGAAATAATAATACGGCATTAATAATCCTTGTATTTGCTGTAGCGCCTTATCACGTTGTTGAGACGTCCTAAAGCGCTTCACAGAATATAAGTGAATTGACTGTATATTTTTGTGAGTGAAACACGGCAGCCGATTGCGCGCAGCAGCGTCCCCACAAACAGTTGTGGATTGAGTGACCAAATTATTATTATTTTTGGGGGGACAAGATTACTACTCCCACGGAAAGCGATTCACCAATCAACTAACAACGGGTGGTTTTAAGGTCAGAAAACTGTGTATAAACCACTTGAATGTGTTGCTCTAAGTCTTAAAAGAGCGCTCAAATCCCTCAAATCTTTAAAAAGAGGTGCGGAGAACTCACCCTTTCAAATCCTGGGTAGAATTGGTGTCTACGTGAGACTGCAGTTCAGCAATAACTCTGCTCTCCCCTCCCAGTTTGTCTGCGGACGGCTGAGTAGACTGATGGTCCATCTTTGGCGTGTTCTGCGCGTATGCTTTACCCATCGGCAGTGAATGGGGAGGGGATGAATTGGAGAGTAGTGGAGATCCTCTGCTCGGGACAAACGTGGGCTTTGTGGCCAGCAACGGTCTCGTTTTGTCCGAACTCATGGCAAGCGAGGACAAGGATCCGACACTGGTCGTTCGCTGATAGGGTGAGTAGGACTTTCCGTCGGTTGGGCCGTTGTAATGGTTAGGAGTCGAGTGGTAATCAACAGGTGGCCTGCCAATCGCCATTCTACCGTTTACTTTGGCTTGCGGTTGGGAAGGAGAGACTCCGTCATCCTCGCGGTTAGAAAACTCCAAGGGAGGCGGCAGAGGTTTGAACGAGAAGTCCTCACTCCCTTCGTCGCTGAACGATGGCGGCGGCGGGATCAAAAACAGGGGTGTCTCCATGTCTCGCTTGGCCATCTCTCGTTCTTCAGTTCTGTGAGATATCGCGTTGAACTCAGGCTTTACCAAAACCGAGGAAGTCAATTTCTGCTCCGTGTGATACGGTGTGACGCGGAAGGTGTTTGTGATCGCTGCCTTATTGTACTGAGTGCCTCCTGGGGCCTCTGAATTGATGTGGTTTTGAAATCCTTTGTTCTCTTGTTGAACTTGACTCTTCCTTTTAGCATCTCTCTGTTTGGCGGCCATAAGCAAGTCCAGTGGTGAACGTGAGTTAGTACTCTTCCACGTGTCAGAGGGCGTCAGTTCCGTAGAGGAATAAGGCGACTTGGGAGTGCTTAGAGCTGCATCGAAATGTTTGTCCTTATTAACCACCTCATCATCCAACTGCTTGGAGTATGGAAACCCCGGTACATCACGTTCGGAATCCAGCATTGCAGAGGGTTTAGTCTCCTCCTCGGCTCTGTTCCTCCCGTATCCTATTCCAGCACCTTGGAAACCGTACCGATTGCTGTTGGAATCAGAAGCTCTGTCTGTAGAGAGCTGCTGGAGGGACAAGTCTGCGTCCACTTCACTTTTTCCCTCCTTGTATAGAAAAGGACGCGTTTTGGAAAGCATGTTCGAATCAAACGTGCTTGATCCCTTGCTCTCCTCGGATTTCGACTGGAACAGGGGTTGCTCTTTCGGGCTGGTTTTTGTGGCTTGGGGAGTGTTGAACTGATCTCCAGCTTGCTCTCGGCTGGACCTTCAGCCTCCTTGTCCTGCGAGTCCAGTGTGTATTCGTTGGCATCCTGCATGATCAGCATGGATTTGGTTTTACTCTGTCGGTTGGCCCTCGACGTCTCGGAACTATTGGCGTTCGGGGAGAACCCGTAGAGCTTGGCCGTCGCCTTAGGGTTGAAGGTGGAGGCGACTGAAGAGTTTGGGAAAAGGGGAGAAGGTTCGGGAGCGAACGAGGATCGGTGGCTCGCGAGAGAGACCTGTGAAGCCATAGGTTTCGTCGGGAAAGTCGCGGAAGAAGGCAGAGGATGCAAACCTTCGTCTTTCAGAGGAAGACTGAAAGGGCGCTGGAGGATGTGCCTTTGCGGAGGGGGTGGCGGGGCATTCTTGGGGCGATTGATCGGGCGCAATCTGGAAACCTCGTCTTGCAGGGAAGACTTCAGAGGAAAATGACTGTGTGGGAGACCTGGAGGGGGCATATTTGGAGGAGGCAGTGGAGGCATTTTTGGAACCTGCTCCTCCATCTCGAAAGGTTTGTGAGGCATCTTTACTAGAGGAGGTGCTGGAGGAATCATCCTCGGGGGCAACAGCGAGTTGGTGTCAGGCAGGGGGTAGGTCGGGGGGGGTAGGATTGGCTGGGCTCTCGTGTTGGGAGCTGGAGGTGGGGGAGGCGGGGCAACCATTGGGGGCGGGGGAGCGGACATTTCATAAAAGGCGTTGGGCGAGCGAGGACTCTGAATGGCGCCGTGCATAGGCGGTGGCGGAGCAGCCATCGGCGGGGGTGGTGGAGGAGCCATTGAAGGGGGTGGTGGGATCCAGTCGTCATCTGGGTAGTCAGGCACAAAGCCACCTTGTCCATAGTTCCCAAGAGTAGAGGCAGTCGGTTTGCGGTCACTGTCTTTTACATTGTAACCTGGAGAACAGAACTATAGTTGATAAAAGTGTCCACTCTTTAGCCTTAGCAGAGAAACAAAATGGAAATGTTTTCATTTTACCTGCTACACCTTAAACTAACGTCTAGTCCAGTTCGCTGGGGGGGGAACGCTGCTTTTTATTAAACCGAGTTCCCGTCTCGCCCTGGGCGCGAAATCATTCAAACCCGAATTCTTCGCTTCTCTTCATTCTACATCTTTTGCGTTACATCCAGTTCCACTGATTTTTGGAACCTTTCGGTTAACGTGGACAGTTTGAGCTGAAACAATTACGCAAATCCCCTGCGTAAAATGCTTTTTAAAGAAAAAACAACAAAAAGAGGAGCCCATATCTCTTTGCCTCTTGGATTCTCGAAGTCACCCTGCCTTGCACAGCGCTGTTCTTTCTTGGCAAGGTACAGTATCCTTCCTACGCTGAGGTAGTCAAGGACCCAAGCCACAATTGCCAAGTCATTCAGCTTCAAGGTCCAAGTGTCAATGCTTCGTCTTGCCTTTTATTCACAGAAGGCTTTTTACCAACAAACACTCCACGATTCACTCAAGCTGATTTGATCCATTTTCCATCTCACTATTTTCCAATTTTGACAATGATTGTATACATGGCAAATTGAGGTGACTCGCGCGTTACCATAGTTACTTAACCCTTACGCTTCTTCACGTCAGAAACATCCACTTAGCTTGATTAATGTTCCTTATCAAAAAGAAAAGACGATCTAAAAATAAATGCATCGATAAGATATCTTATGTAAGTCGACAGTGGCACTTTAACCTGATAAAGCACAAAGCTGGTAAAGGCCTCACCTTTTTTTTCCCCCCTCATTTTGGTCATAAATGTGATCTGAAATTCTCCTTATCTATTTTTTTTTAAAAAAGGGATTGATTTTTCACTGTAGCATCAAGTCCTTAGCGCACGGGTTTGGGTTCTAGTCTTAGATAGCTACGCAGCTCAAGTACTATGTTTTTTTGGTCAGCTGGGTGTCTGATTCATGCGGAAACCCATCACCGTGCTTAAGAATATCCAAACTAGACTGAGAATTCTGTGCATCCCACTTACACGCGGAAATTCCAAAGGTAGATTGTTGCAATGGGATACGCTCTCTCCCTCTCTCTCTCTCTCTCTCTCCCCCGGAGGGATTCATCCTACTTACCAAATTTCGGAGAGTATTAGGCGCAGGTTGGCAAGAGCCCAGCAAGATGTGCTTTTTGAATTTCTTTTTGTTTATAAATGACTTCTCTTCAATACAGCTTCTCAAATTAATCATCTTTCCAGTACTCTGGTTCGCAAATTAGAGAGGTACTTGAAAAGAAGAAAATTGCTTTCAGCAAACATTCTCTCTGAATGAAAGCGAATGATTCAAACCATGTGGTAGAATTACAGAATCATGGAATATTGCAGTACAGAAGGAGGCCATTCGGCCCATCGTGCCTGTGTCGGGTCTTTGGAAGAGCTATCCATTCAGTCCCACGCCCCCCACTCTTTCCCCCTGTATCTTTGCAATTTTTTTCTTTTCAAGTATCTCTCTAATTCCCTTTTGAAAGTTGTTATTGAATCGGTTTCCACCTATACCTGAATTCATAGCCACTCTCGGGATGGTAGAAATCATCAGTCTGTCGGGCACAGTAAACTCTGGGCGGTCATGGTGAGGCTATTCAAAACAAATAATAAATCCGTTTGCTCATTTTTTAAAAATCATCCATATAGAGTACCTGCACCCGCAATCCCATTTCAACTTTAAAACTTGATGCAGCGATTTATTCTTTTTAATTCAAGTGAATTCATTGATAAATGACAGAGCAATGAAAATGTGGTCACTATTGTGTCGATTTCAGATTCTTTCCCCCCCCACTCCTCCTTCCACACACACACACACACCACACACACACACACCACAATTCGCTGTCAGTTTCAGGTCAACCACATAGAGGTTGCATCACCCTCTTTGTATTGGATCACTTATATGTTAGACAATAGAGCAGAAAGACACCTGTTCAGCTACAGGGGAAGTAACCCAACATACAGTTCCACGTAGGAGTGACTAACATCATGTGTAGTTCCATACATGGCATTCAGCCCTCAACCAACTGGTCACTCACTCACGGCTACTTGTGGAGCTGCTGATCGGCTAATCAAAATAGTCCCTACAATTTACAGTAACTCCCGCGAAGCTCTTTGAGACGTCCTCCCAATGGGAAAGGCGTTGCGCCAAAAGCAAGCTTAATTTCATGTCTGACTTCAAAGATTCAAACCATGTGGTAGAATTTTAGTCAGTGTGTTTAGTTTAGCTGTCAAACACCGTAAAAGAAATCAAACCGTACAATGGAAAGCTTGACTGTGGGCCTGGATTTCACCCTCGCAGTTCCAGAATCTACATATCTATTCATCGCCTCGTCGTTGAACATATTAGCTGTGAGAATCTGATCCAGTTTTCCTGTAACAAAAGAAAACACATGACATTGGATCTCAGCAAATGCAGATTACAGCTCTGAAAGAGGTCGTCACAGGTTTTGTATTGAAAAAACCCAATGTGAATAACATTCCTCAAGTAGAGAACAAAACAGAAATGTTCTCTGGAGGCTGAAAAGGTTGGTGGAGTGACTTTACGGTGATTTTTTTTTTTGCATGCTTACCACAAACGAAACAGTGGGTGACTTTCTCCCTCTATTGGGTCAGTCAGACGCTAAAGCATTCAACCTTAAAATTAGGGGGAAAAGGGTTCGGAAGGAGCGAAGGGCTGATTTTCATCATCCACTCCTTGTTAACGTACATTTCCTTATTGCTGCTACCTACCTTTCCCACGACACATGGCGGCTATTGTAACGTACCCACACTACATGCATGGCTGCCAATACTCTCTATGTGGGGAAAATGTTTTGATAGCAAATAAGCAAGCAAGGAGGAAGTGTTGTTTGCTTATGACACGTTGAGTCGTTCCTTTTCCAATACTAAAAGGACTTAATGCCGTCATTTTCACACTACAAATGAAAACACTCAGAATACCAGGTAACCATTCGATCAATGACAAGCATCCCCTTTGCAACCCGTGTTTGTGAAATCTCTGCCTCTCCCCCCCCACCTCCAACTAATATTATTATAAGTTGGCAAATATCGACATCTTCAGCCTCACTCTCTTCCTGATCGCAAGCAAAGAACTTTTTAGCGCTCAGTTGTTTTGATTCACTCACCCAAAGCAACAACCTTCCCACACCTACAAGAGAGCAAGAGAAACTGTTTGCGCTGAATTTGTTTCTCTTGGTCCCGAGCCAATGTTTATTTGGTTATTTCACATAAAGAAGATTGTCAAGCAGACAGGAAGTGTATTTGCGTTGATGAAAGGCAGCTGCATTTCAATGCAAAATGCTTTGCTTCCGTCCCACCGGATCTCCTTTCTCTACCTTGAACCCACATGGAGTGCGCCTGGAGGATCATAAACTCGGCAAAGGAGGCCCTTGGCACTCCCGAAACCAGATGTCCTTCTGGCAGAACGAGGGGATGGCGAGGGCCTGCGCTCAGGCTCGCGCACGCTAGGTTCAGGGGCTATACACCGAGGGACAAGCTGAAGCTTGGCTCAACCAACGGCAAAGGCCAGATGGGGGGTAGGGGGGGGGCGAGAACCGGCTCAAGGCCCAACCCACGAGCTGAAATAAACATATAGAAAAATAAAATTAAATAAAAAATAAACAAACAACCGGACTGAAGTAAACCTAAAGGCACACAGAAGGACGCTCGAGATGCAACCAGGGAGCGGCCCGAAAACGTACGTACGGTAAACACGTGCGCGCACGATGAGGGGAGGAATTGTAACAGAATGTTGTACATTGTGTTTGTAAATAAATATATATATTTTCAAAAAAAAAATTCCTTTTATCAACGCACTTCATCTAAAGAAAACTGGATTATCTTCAGCATCTTGGAATGTCCTTTCGACATGAAAGGCACTATATTAATGTAATTTGTTATTGTTATTATTATTATTATTATGATTGTTGAAGCCGGAAGATGTACAATTAACTCAGTGTTTGACTTCATTAAAGCCATAATGGTGGGAATGTGATTTTTTTTTAATTTGTACTTGAACAGGAAAGATGTGCAGGGCTATGGGGTAAGAGCGAGGGAGTGGGACTAGTTGGGTAGCTCTTTCAAAGAGCCGGCAAAGGCATAATGGCCCAAATGACCTCCTTCTGTGCTCTATGATTCAGTGGGACTTTATCGCAACCTCAACTGTGAGAGACACACAATAATGATAGATTTTGTGCTCCTAAAATTGTGTCTCGAGGGAGCATTTGACCCATATACCATGGGGGTGCAATACTTGCGGCAGCAATAAATTCAGACAATAAGCGAGGAGTGTCTCACAAGATACGTGTCTTATTCGCACAACATTAAAATGAATTGCCTTGAGTGCAATTTGTTTTCAGCCGCATGTTGGGTGCAATAAGCTAATCGAGCCCTGTGGTATCACTGAAACTGGTCAATAAACGTAATGCTCTATCTCATTCTTACCAGGCAGCAATTTGCATTCAAACGAAGTTAACTACAATGCCTCTTAGCTTGGCACGGACAGAAGCAGGAAGTTAGCGTTGAGATAATTCTCTCATAAACCCGAACTGTGATAAGATGGTTGTTATTTAACAACTTCAACATGATTGCTTGTATAACCGGGGCAAATGATTGTACAGTGAAGGATTTTTTCTCATCCATTTACATTATAGATACAGTCACTGTGGCGTTGAAATAAATGTCTTGTATAATTTTTTTTTATCGGGACTGTACTTTGAAAACAGTACAAATATAATGGTAAATAAAGCAAAATGATTGGCTCCTAAGCTTTGAGTAACTGCTCCATTTCTCTGATCTCTTTTCCTAATCAGCTGATAATAAATAATATATAGAGAATAATAACCCTTGTAGTTGATACAGCACCTTATCATGTTGTCGACACGTCTCAAAGCGCTTCAGAGACTGCATTTGTAGGCAAACGCCAATTTACAATTTACATCCAAGCAACAACAACAACAACATTTCATTTATAGAGCGCCTTTCACGTCGGGAGGACGTCCCAAGGCGCTGGACAGTTGGGTCGGGACCCAAGCAGTGGGGAAATGGTCAGGGTCTGGGGAGGGAGGGAGGGAGCGAGGAGGGGGTAGAGAGTCGAGAGGGGAGCTGAAGGCTCGGTCAAAGAGAAATGTCTTGAGACCGGCCTTGAAGGAGGAAAGGGAGGAGGCGGCGAAGGCACTGGGGGATGGAGTTCAAGAGCCTTGGGGCTGAGTGGCTGAAGGCCACCGATGGTAGGGCGGTTGGGCTGGGGGATGTGGAGCAGACCGGAGCCAGAGGAACGGAGGATACGGGCAGGTAAGTAGGGGAATAGTAGGTCGGAGAGGTAGGAGGGAGCGAGGCCGTGAATGGCCTTGTAGGTGAGGATCTTGAATTCGAAGCAGCAAGTGAACGAACAATTTTATCTATAATACTATTTGCAAATGATATAACAAGTCAGGAAGGCATTTCAAAATGCGTCATAGTATTTACTGTAAAGTGTAGCGACTGTGAACTTTTGTAGGCAAACATGGCATCTTAAAAAATCCCAAACAGACTGACTGAGGGTTCCTCATACGTAAACCATCTCTGCACTGGAATTCCCCTGTGATCACGGAATACCTTGTGCAAATAGGGCTGCGTTTCAGATGATCCTAACCTAAACACAATCTACCTGCGCTCGTATTTAACTGCTGTCCAGATCCAGCTCACTCATCGTGTGGCCACCGTCTATCTGACACACGAGTTAAGCAGCATTTCCCAAAAGAGAATTTGCCAATATTTTAACTCCGCTAGCTACAAATCTCCTGTTTATAATAATCCTTGCATTTGATATAGCGCTTTTCATGTCAGGAGGACATCCCAAAGCGCTTCACAGAACACACTGTAAAGTGAATTGACTGTATATTTGTGGGCGAACGTGGCAGCCAATTGCGCACAGCAATGTCCCACAAACAGTCGTAGATTGAAAATGACCAATTTATTATTGTTTTTGGTTTTGGAGGGATTATTATTAGGCTCTGTGTGGAGTAAGGAAACTTGCCCAAGGTTTCGCCCTCTGCCTGGAACTGAACTCAGGTCTCTCACTTGCAAAGCGAGTGGTCTAACCACTGAGCTACAGGACTCAATGTTTAGCAGCTAAAGCCTGTTAAACGTTTTAAAGCTGGTTGTTTATAGACAACAGTCCAGCAAGCATAAAGAACTCCCCACCAAAACTCGTGCTTTAAACACTTACAAGGTCTTTATGAAAATATGTTTGGACAAACTCTTTTAAAAAGAGCCGGCACAGACACAATGGGCAGAAAGGTCTCCTTCTGTGCTGTATAATTCTATGAAAACTTTCTTTTCACCAACGCAACCTAGAGACGTGCTAAAGACTTCTTCCTTCCCACACTGAAATGTTTGCCAGGCGCTTTTTTTTTTGCGTTAATAACAGTGACGACGATAATAATAATAATCTTCCTTGCATTCTTTGAGATGTCTCAATGCACTTCACGGACTAGGCTGTAAAGTGAAATGACTGTATATTTTGTGGGCGAAACGCAGCAGTGAATATAATGTAGGTTGAAGTGTTACATGCTACCCTGATATAATAATGAACTTATCACCCCACACGCCGACAGATTTATCACTCACTCCCAGGCATCTGTAATTCTATATCACACATGTGGCCGACCATAACTGGGGATCTTTCCATTCTCTAAGGCTTGCATAATGACTGGCATTATATCAGACTCTGCTGAGAGTTTCAGACAATGGTCCATTAATCAACTGACCAGATTTATAACTTGGCTCGAGGCAAAAATATCCAACGTTGCCTTAAATATTTTCCCTATCACGATTTTATTTTTTTCGTACCTGCTGAAATTTTAAGGGGCTTTATTTTTTTTTTTTTTTAAAAAAAGCGCTTCGAGAAATTCGTCACAGGTCAAAGCTGTTAAATAAAAACAAGTTTTTTTTTAAAAAGAAATTGTGGATCAGTTTTCTTTATACTTGGTTTCATCCCAACTCCTTCACATTTTAAATTCCTGTCCATTTTATCCAATTCTTAATCCCCCCCACAACCCCATGTTAGTTATTTTAATCGGTTCCTTAACTCTTCTTTTTAATAGTGTTTTAAGTATTGTATTTCGTGCATTCACCTACACTCTGCAGTATATCCTGTGAAGCGTTCGAGATATTGATGGTGGCAATGATAAGGCTGGCTCTACATGAAATGCAACTATTAATTATTATCGTTATTCTAATTTATTTGTAATATGATTGCTTTCACAAGAAAGTGCCTAATCACAAATATTCCTCACTCAATGTTTAAATCAAGTTTTTGATATATATATATATATGTATATATATACACACACACACATACTTTTACAAATCTGTTTTTGTCTCAATACACTGACATGCAGTGAGTTTAATGGGAGAAAAATTGAAGAGTGGTATTAGAAATTTGTCTGAATTGAAGAGGATTTTTTTTCTTCAGATGACTTATAAAGTGACAATAAAAAAAAATCCCTCCCACCACAGTTTATGAGACGAATTAACAGGGAACTCGCCCTGGTTCGTGAGGTCTTATTGCAGAAACAGAATATTTGGGAGTGGTGGAGTTCAAAACTTCAGCCTTTATCCCCTGGTCGATGAGATCATTCTTGAAAACAAAACTCAGGGTCAAACTTTAACTTTTGTTTTGCTGTTTTCGACCCTTTTTTTATGTAACTGAGCTTTATCCTGAAAAAAAAAGTCCCCCTCTCCCCCTCAAAAAATACCCTCGTGAAAAACAGCACAGTGGCAAACGGTGTAAGCCGAGATGAGTTCTGATCTCGTGTTCTGCAGACACGGCACAATTGGAGCAATGTGCCACGGGCAAGATTCGCTTGTGTCAAATTGCTAATAATCTGCCGAATTAATTATGTAGCATTCTGTGCTGTATTTATATATAGCAATAGGTTAAAAAANTAAAAAGTTAAGTACAGCCTCCGCTTCGCCGAGGGAATCAGAATGTTTAACGGAGGTGAGCTTTGGGAAGCTCTCGGAGCCCATCGCTGTCCGTTTGTAGACTGACCTAGTTTCCAAGGCAGCGTGTAGAACAGAGAGAGACGGGTATGATGAGCTGTACAAGATGTCAGCTGCTTGATCTGGAGATTGCATTCGAGTCGGGGAGGGGGGAAATGGTGGGAGAACGAAGAGAGGAAGGGAAGAAATCTAGCTGAATTGAGGAGGATGCACTTAGGGTCTATTAAAATCTATCGCACATTTCAGTAAATGTCATCCTTAACTTAAGCTTGTTTGAAGGACATTTAGCAGCAGATAATAATAATCCTAATAATAATAATCCTCGCTGATGAAATAGCACCTCCATGTCTGGAGACCATTTCCCAGCAAGACGTAAGGTGAAGTGTAGTGACTGTGTATTTTGTAGGCAAATTAGCTTTAGCTGAAACAAAAACCGTGGCTAATCCGATAGATGGAGTAATGACTAATCTAATGCTTTATTAACTTCTGGTGACCCTGGAGGGCATCTGTGTTATGGTCTGCACTGCTTAAAACTGTCACTTCCATTTTCTGAATAAGCCTTTAGGTTAAAGCTTACTGGAATCCAATCCTCATTCACTACACAAAGGATTAGGCATTACTAAAAGGACAAAGGAATAAAGTAACTCACCTGGCTCCTAGCAATCTGTTTTTCTTTATATTGATTTACTGTACTGTGTGGCTGTCTAACTGAGTAGCCACATTGAGCAAGTGCCAACACCCATGCAGATTTGTTTCACATATTGTTACCACACAAAGGGATAGTACTTTTCTGAAGGCATTCCCTCACCCCATTAGCTCAGAGCAGCTAGATCTTAGGTCAGATATTGTGTAAACGCCTCTTATCCTCCTGAGAAATTTTCATTTTCCACTCGACATATAGTATTGGATTAACTTGTAAATTAATTTCATCCAGCGTTCGTTTCGGTACACTGAAAGCCGGTTAAGTTAAACTCCCGCATGGTCAAAAGTGCCGTCTTTCAGATCAGACGTTAAGCCGAGGCCCTCTCTGCCTGTTCAGGTGCGTGTAAAAGCTCTGCGGCACTATTTGGAAAGAGAAGGGTGTTTTTGCTGGTGTCCCGATCACCAATACTTCAGATTAACTGGCCATGCAACTCATGGCTGTTTGCGGGACCTTGCTGTGCTTGTAAGCGTTTTGAGATGTTTCAACATTACAAGACTTTATTAAGGGTGAGGATTATTATAGACTCTGAATTAGACCAAATGTATGTATGTATGTCCTCGGTCTGAAAGAACGTCCCAATTCATAAGCAATCTATAGAATAACTAACACTCCACTGTTAAAGCCCACACACTCAAGCAAAACCTCAGTCGATTGCCAGCAGTGCCTACCCTGAACCAGCTCAGATTCCCGCCCACAATCTCTCCTCAACACATCTCCTGCATTTTTCTGTTATCCAAAGAGAGATATTTAAAGCACAGCTGACACAAACAGGCACAGATTCCCATTGGAGCAATGAAACTGCCCCCACAGCATAAAACGAGGCCATCTCATGAACTACCAGCCAGAGAGAGAGAGGGGAAAAAAACAAACTGAATTTAATGCCAAATTGGAACTAAACCACCAGGTTTTTTTTTGGGGGGTATATATCATATGAGTAGCCAATCTGTTTTAAAAATGATGGATAGTTTCAGACTGTGGAATTACGAATATGCCAGACACAAAGTTCACTTTGAAGATTGCTCTAAACTCTGAGTTAGGATCCTGATGAGAAATATCTTATAAGGTTAGACCGAGGTACTTTCTGCTTTTCAGGTGGATGTTAAAGATCCCACGGCACTATTGAAAAAGAGAAAGCTGTTTCTCCCGACGTCCCTGGCCAATGATCCTTCCAGACAAAAACCTGTCTGTTCACTTCACGGCTGTTTGTTGGGAATGTTCCTGTCCTTCCGTTGGTTGCCGCGTTCGTCTACAAAATACACAGCCACTAACGCCGCACAGTAAAGCTTGTGAAAGACTTTGAGACTGGTGGCAAATGCGATAAGGCGCCATATCACCTTATCTGTTTATGGGACGTCGCTGTACGCAAATTAGCTGCCACGTTCCGTACAAATAATCACTACACTTTACAGTCAATAACCGCAAAGCGTTGTCTTGGAACGAAAGGTGCTACAACAAATGCAATGCTTGTTATGAATTATCATGAGGTCAAATGTAAGGAATCCCGTCATCTAGAAAGGAAATTAACCCAGATTGCGAGCTCAGGGCTGAATGTGTCCACCCATTCCTTCCAGCTAGTTTCACCTTCTGTCGTATTCTATATCTGTAACTCGTCACATGAATTTTTCTCTCTCTTTTTTTAAAAAAAAAGAGACAGACCTCAAATGCAAATACCATGAGAAGCGATGGGAAGGATTATTATTAGAATCAGGCCAAGTTCACCTTGACTTTAGCCACCGAATAAGGGTCAACAGCTCATTTGAGGATCTTTTTCCCTGGTTCTCTCCCTCAACAACAACAACAACAACTTGCATTTCATTTGCACAGCTCCCCTCACGCAGGGTGGTGGTGCCCCAGAGCGCTTGGCAGTGGTGGAGCGAGACGCCAAGTCGGGGGGGGGGGGGGGGAAGGCGGGGGGTGGGGGGGGGGGAAGGTCCAAGGTGTGACCTGAAGATGGGGGAAGGATGGGGGCGAGGCGGAGGGATCGAGGAAGGACGGTAGTAAATTTTATAGCTTTGAAATCGAAGGGGGTGGAGAAAAACCTTCAAAGAAAAAAAAACAGCTTTGCTCCACCGCCAGAAACAAGAGGAGAGTTAACTCATTTCAACCCGAAACCTGCCGGTGGGTAACACGGTCGCTTAATCCGCCACTGTTCGCGGGACGGTGCCGTGCGGGACCGGACGGCGCAGTTTCGTCCCGCGAAACACGCGGCCGGTTGCACTCAACGGGACGTTCCGGCGGAGAGCTCGGAGCGACCTCGCAACGTGGCGATCAGGCGAAAACAAACAACGTCACGATGAACCTTTTAACAATCATCCGTGCCCACCCTCTCACCCACCCTCCCTCTCTCTCACCCAAGCACCCACCCACCCAAGCACCCACCCTCCCTCTCTCTCACCCAAGCACCCACCCACCCAAGCACCCACCTACCCTCCCTCCCTCTCTCACCCAAGCACCCACCCACCCAAGCACCCACCCACCCACCCTCCCTCTCTCACCCAAGCACCCACCCATCCAAGCACCCACCCACCCACCCTCCCTCTCACTCACCCAAGCACCCACCCACCCAAGCACCCACCTACCCTCCCTCCCTCTCTCACCCCAAGCACCCACCCACCCTCCCTCTCTCTCACCCACCCAAGCACCCACCCACCCAAGCACCCACCCACCCACCCTCCCTCTCACTCACCCAAGCACCCACCCACCCAAGCACCCACCTACCCTCCCTCCCTCTCTCACCCAAGCACCCACCTACCCTCCCTCCCTCTCTCACCCAAGCACCCACCCACCCAAGCACCCACCTACCCTCCCTCCCTCTCTCACCCAAGCACCCACCTACCCTCCCTCTCTCTCACCCACCCTCCCTCTCTCTCACCCACCCAAGCACCCACCCACCCACCCTCCCTCTCACTCACCCAAGCACCCACCCACCCAAGCACCCACCTACCCTCCCTCCCTCTCTCACCCAAGCACCCACCTACCCTCCTCCCTCTCTCACCCAAGCACCCACCCACCCAAGCACCCACCCACCCTCCCTCTCTCTCACCCACCCAAGCACCCACCCTCCCTCCCTCTCACCCACCCACCCAAGCACCCACCCTCCCTCCCTCCCTCTCTCACCCAAGCACCCACCCTCCCTCCCTCTCACCCACCCACCCAAGCACCCACCTACCCTCCCTCTCTCTCACCCACCCAAGCACCCACCTACCCTCCCTCTCTCTCACCCACCCAAGCACCCACCCTCCCTCCCTCTCACCCACCCACCCAAGCACCCACCCTCCCTCCCTCTCACCCACCCACCCAAGCACCCACCCCTCTCTCCCTCCCTCCCTCAATCTTACTCCACTCCTTTCATTTCATTGCATTGCACAGTAGCCTCAACCTCTCTCCCCCTCTCTCTCTCTCCCTCTCTGGTCGCCTCTGACTCAACCAATCAATCAAATCAAACCAAATCAAACCAAACCAAACCCCTCCCCCCCCCCCCCCTCACCCCCCAAACCCACTCACCCATCTCTGCCATCTCTCCCGGTGCAGTGAGCGCACCGCCCGCAGAAGGGGTCGCAGCGTAGAGCGAATTGGAAGAACTTTTTCGCCCAAAAAGTTTGCTGATGGTACCACTGCCTCCGGACCTCCTCATCGCGACACACACACACAGAGAGAGAGAGAGAGAGATAGAGAGAGAGATAGAGAGAGAGAGAGATAGAGAGAATGAGAGAGAGAGAGAGAGAGAGAGGCGCTGCTCATCACTCCATCACTGCCTCTCAATCACTCTCTCCCTCTGCAGTCGGAGAGCTCTGTGTGTGTTGTGTTGTGTTGTGTGTTGTGTTGTGTGAGTGTCTCCTCCACTGAACAGTCCAACTCCTCCTCCGCCTTAACCATAGCAACACAGCAGCGCATTGCACCTCATCTGACAGGTCCAACAGGTAAAACCAGCCCTTTTTTTTTTAATAATGCATTTATTTATTATATATACATATATACATATGGAGGAAATCTGCAATCAAAGGCAACTCTGATCTGGTCAGACATCCCCCATCCCACACCCCCCAAAAAAAAAAAATCCCACCTGTTTTTCGTTTGCAATTGATTCCCCACTGAAATAAAACATTTACTCATTAAATCTCATCTTATTATACATATATATATATTATATTTTTGTTTCTCCCCACCCCCCCCCACCCAAAAAAAAATGCTTTGCTTTTAAGTGTCTGCCTTTTCTTTTTCTCTCCTCTCCTCTCTCTCTTCTCTTCTCTCCTCTCTCCTTCTCTCTCCCCTCTCGATTGTCGACGTATATTTTCTCTTATGATATCAAAAAAATAAATAGCAACAGATGATAATCCTGGCTTTTTGATGCAGCGCCTTGCCCGGGGGGGGGGCACGAGAGGAGAGAAGCGACCGTAGAAACGTGGTCAAAGGTAACCTGTTTTGGATGCAATTTGGAAATAATAGTGATAACAAACGCTTGTGTTTTAGATAACACGGTGTGTGTATCAACGTTGCAAAGCACGTCCCTGGGATCTGCTGTCAAGCATAGTGATTGCGCATTCGTAGGCAAATGAGGCAGCTGTTTTGCATCCGGCAACATGGCACCAAGCAAACAGTCCATCCAGTTGGACTATCATTGCGCAGATAATAAGTAGAGACGCTTCTCTTAAATATATAATCCTTGCATTTGATATAGCGCTTTTCACGTCGGGAGGACGTCCCAAAGCGCTTCACAGAACACACTGTAAAGTGAATTGACTGTATATTTGTGGGCGAACGCGGCAGCCAATTGCGCACAGCAATGTCCCACAAACAGTCGTGGATTGAAAATGACCAATTTATTATTGTTTTTGGTTTTGGAGGGATTATTATTAGGCTCTGTGTGGAGTAAGGAAACTTGCCCAAGGTTTCGCCCTCTGCCTGGAATTGCACTCAGGTCTCTCGCTTGCAAAGCGAGTGCTCTAACCACTGAGCTACAGGACTCCACTTATCAATAAGAGGGGGCGTCCACAAAGTCCTCTTATTCCCCCCCCCCCCCCCCCCACCGTTACAAAACAGTGATACGAGACTTCGGTTGGAGCTGAAACAAGTTGTCAGAGGTGGGTTTTGCCTCTTCACTCGCTCCGTCCACGTTACGGAAAACGTGGCCCCAAACATGACGACGGATTTATCTGCCATTAAAATGGTGCGGTCACACACGCACACCGACAGATCCTCTGGACGTCTAAATACAGCGAAACGCATTTGTACTGAATACAACGCAGTAGTTCTAAATACAATTATCACCATTCTTCCGCGTGTTTCAGTCATTGATCAGTGCACTGTGTGTGTGTAAAAAAAAAGAGGGGTGGGGTGAAACAGGACTTTGTGGACACCTTGTAATGTGGTGGGATCCACTTGAACTCCAACACTTTATTATCATAACGGAGAGTGAGCCTGAACCCACAAACCTTTCTGACCCAAAGGCAAGCATGCTCTCAATTGGCCTTGAGGCTTCAGCCCTTGTAAACCTATTCTACAACTAAATAGTTTTGGTCTGTTTGCCTCATCGCTCCTTCAGAATCTTAAACACCTGTATCAGATCTCCTCCACCCAGTGGAAAAGGTTTCCAAGTCAATCCACTTCCAGTGATTCCATCCATCTTGGGTTAATGTTTCCTGACATGAAGCCAACAAATTCCTCCGCGTTTGTGCTTTTTTTAATAACACAATAAGTCGAGTTCTTATTGTGTGTTTGTCTCACACGTCCGTCAAAATGTACCTGATCCCACTTAAAAATCTAAATCTTGCACAACTACTTGTGTTTGAATGGGACAGATTTTTAGAAGCTATATTCAGAGTTGACGGCATCCTCCAACTATTTTCAGTTGGGAGGCAGGTGAAATGGGAGGTGGCTTTTCAGGCGTTATCTAGTTTACCCAACAATCTCTCGGAAAAGTACTTCTGGAATGTAGCAAGTCCGGTACATCAGAATCGTCGGTATTTGTGAAGCCCAATTATCTGAACAATGTGAGACAGTGTTTGTGTTAAGACGTTTCCCTAACTTGAAAATGACCTGCCTTTCAGACCTGCCTTTTTTTTAAACAATCTTAAGAAATTAGCTGCTCAGTTAGGAAAGAGAAGGGGCCGCAAATTGACCTCTGGGCTTCGTCTGCTAAGGTGGGGGTGGAGGAGATCAGCCAGGAATCCTGCTCCTGAGTTTCTATCTAATGACCTCTGCTAAAGAGAGGGTATTTTTGTGTTGTGCTTGAGGACTTTCTTCCCCCTTGCACCCCCCCCCCCCCTAACCCCCCCATATCCTATTAATATTTACTGTCCAGGTTCACATATGGATTTTTAATGCTTCACTATTTCCTTTTTGTGCCAAGTACAATTGTAAATGTGCAAATATAATAGTATAATAATAAATAATAATCCTTGCACTTCATACAGAACCTTTCATGTTGTCGCAAAGCGATTCGCAGGATCACAATGTAAAGTGGATTGACTGTGTATTTTTTTTGTGAGCGAAACCCGGCAGCCAGTGGCGCAAAGCAATGTCCCACAAACAGCCGGAGAGCGAGTGAGCAATTTTATCAGGGGGATTTTTGGAAAAGACAGTGGGAGACGGAACCTCCCTTGTCTTTTTGAATAGCGCCGTGGGATCTTTAACATCCACCTGGACGTCCGACAATACAACTGCATTGGAGTGTCAGCTTGCCTTAGATTCCATGTCCCAACATGGGGTATCTTTCTCTCAGCAAGGCAGCAGGAGGGGAACTACAGTACAACTGGCACCGTCAACCCTGGACCAAAACTTATTGTCCAGCATTTACTTGCACTTGAGATTGACAAGGATGTGAGCTGCTCCCATCACAGAAATCATTTCATTGACTCAATCAATAGGTGGAAAGGGTGCGTCCATTCCACCGAATGTATAATCCGGATAGCATGTTTAGAAAAGAATGTGCAAAATGCAAACATTTCCATTGTTTAAGCAACTTTTATAACCCAAATGCATTGAAGGCAGGATGTTTTTTCAATGGAATTTCTTACCAGTTTTCTTGACACGATAGATAATGCAAAGGGAACCACTAAAAACTAAGACGATTGCTCTGAACTGTGCAGTGCGACCACAACAAACACTATTATTAGTAGTATTATTATTATGTGATTGATCATTAAGGATCAGAAGGCAGGACTTTTTTTTGTGGTTTTCATTTTCACTGCAAAATCTTGGAAATTTAGATCTTTGCCAAGAGAACAACTGGTCATAATGCCTTAAATCATCATAATAATAATCCTTGCATTTGATATAGCGCTTTATCACTTCATTGGGTCGTCTCAAAGTGCTTCACAGGATGTACTGCAAAGTGGAGTGACTGTGTATTTTGTGGGCCAAACGCAGCAGCCAGTTGCACACGGCAGTGCCCCACAAACAGCGGTAGTGTGAGCGACCAATTTATTTTTATTTGGAGGGGTGGGATTGTTGGCCAGGACACTGGGAAAGAGAAACTCTCTTCTCTTTTCGAATAGCGCCAAGGGATCGTGAACATCCACCTGAACAGGCAGACGGGACCTCGGTTTAACGTCTCATCTGAAGGACGGATGAGATGTTAAACCAAGGTCCAAAGCAAAGCCTTAGCATAAGATTTCCTAAAGTATCCAAACACGGGCCCGTTGCTTCCAACAAGCTCCTGGCACCATTCCATCAAGCACCTAGACTGTCTCTCCCTAAATTGCCAAGGATTCAGCTTTATTAAAAGCGTATTGTTTTGGGGACTTTAGCTCCAGCTGTTGGATTGCAGCTGCAAATGAATCGGCGAAACCTGATAGGAGATGAAATCGGAATGTAATGAACAATGAGCATTTCTCCCATAAATGACATGAAACACGTAGCACCATTTATTATTAATCCGACAAAGACGCTCCGAAACTTAAGCAGTCCATTTAGTCCATTCCAATATGTGCATTTTAAAGTAAGCCCTAAAATGGTAAAAAAAAAAAAAAAAAAATTTTTAGAGCGCTTTTGAGTCGTTTTTTTCTGGCTGTTCAAGTGGATGTTAAAGATGCCGTGACGCCAAGTCCTAAATACGTGTCTCTTGAGGAGCAATCGCAGGCTAGGTCTCGCAATAAAGATGGGAGCAGAGGTTGAGAAGAGTCAAAAAAAAAAGCCAGGAGAGGCCATGAAAATCAAGATTCAAAAATTCCTCTTTACCCATTCTCATCCCGTCTTATCGGGGGTGACATTTGCTATCTGCAACCACCACCACAACAACAATTTGCGTTTATATATATTCACGTGAGGTACGGCCCTGGAGCGCTTTGAACTATCCCCTGATGTGTGCATTGCAGTTATATTAAGCTGGAATTTTACCCTAGACGTATATAATAATTGTAATAATCTTTGCATTTGATACAGCGCCTTATCGCGTCTTCGAGACGTTTCAAAGCGCTGCACAGGATATACTGTAAAGTGAATGGACTGTATATTTTGTTGGGCGAAACGTGGCAGCCAATTGGGCACAACAGCGTCCCCACAAACAGTCGTGGATTCTATGTTGTGATTAACGGAGCGAAACCCTCAATGTTACAAGCCAACTGGATATATTTGCCTACGTCAGGTCCACTTCCCAAACCTGATGTCTCCCTCAAGTGGCCGCCGAAATAAATACACTTATTTAGTAAACGACGCAAAATACTGTATAATAGTGTCAAATCTACTTATTTCATTTGGAGCTCTCAATATCGCTGACGATACATCTGTATTTTTTTCTCTCTAACCGGCAGCGCGTGGCAAAAACTTCCAGGAAACTGCCCGCTTGAAACTAACTTGAAACTGACTAGATGAACAGGGGCGAAATTAGAGAGACCAACAACGAGAACTTGCATTTATATAGCGTCCCTCACGCGGGTGGTGTCCCGGGGCGCTTCCCGAACCTCGTCTGTGGCCGCTCATTGGTAGAAGCCCAGTTGTTATCAGGATGTCTACTGTAGGTGTCGTTTGGTCTCATAAGTGTGTGGGTGTGTGTGTGTGTGTGTGGGAGAGAGTGCGAGAGAGAGAGGATAGATAAGATTTCAGGGCAGATGTATAATGGAATATCATAAACCTGGATTGCTAAGCTTCGCTAAGTTAAACAACTCTCTCTTTCTCTCTCTCTCTCTCTCTCTCTCTCTCTTTCTGTCTCTTTTTTAAGTGCTTTATAATTCCTGGTTGTCACTCAACTCGCTTCACAACCTGCTTCAAAGTGCCTTTCAATCCAGATTCGCTAGTACTGGTGGACATGTTCCTAGCAAAAGACTGTTTTTTACCACATTTAAATGGATGGTACAGGCTCCCTCGGGAGATAGTGGAAGCAGAAAGTACATAGATTTGTTTTAGGAAATAATATCTTGGGATACAGCGTATAGTTTGGGACATGACATGTCATGCGACTGCTAGGATGGTGGAAGATGAACTGGATGAACTTTGGTCTAAAGCGCTCTAGAAGATGCAAGGATTATTATTTTTATTATCTGGTAATTCACATACTAAATTTCCTTAACCCTCGTTAACCCTACAAGTTTCAGTTTCACCCACAAAACACAGTCAATCCACTTTACAGTGTATCCTGTGAAGCGCTTTGAGACATCTCAATGACGTGATATGGGGCTATATCAAATGCAAGTAGAATTATTATTATTATTACTACAAGCCAAAGCATTAACAGCTAGTGTGGTCCTAGCTGGACAAGTGATGGGAAGTTTGCCAGATAGTATTCGGGATCAGATGAGCAGGGTGTCCAGGAGAGCTCATGCACTCGGTTCCAGACAAAAGGTTCTCGGTGCCATTTTTACTTTTATTTCTTAATTTCACAGATTTTGCTCATTGCATTCCACACCCTCTGATCATTTACAGGTGGCCAAACATCGACTAAAGATCACCAGACCCGACGGGAAAGAGGATAAAGACCAGGGTCGTTTAACGCTCGCCCATTTAACCAGTTGCTTTGGCAAATCTCCTACATTTTGCCACCAAAAATAAATTCTTTCCTCTCACCCTTCTATTCACTGAACCAAACAAATACGAGCGGACAAAAGGCATCTGGTTCCACGGTTTTACCGGTTCACGAGTGCGAGAGAATGAGCAACAATTTTGGAGTGCATTACCATTCAGGACAACGGGGAAACAACAACAACAGCTTGCATTTATTTAGTGCCATTCGCGAGGGATTAGCAAATGGGCCACATACCTGCAAACCGTGTTCCTTCCCGAGGACTGGACACAAGAAACGTACATGGAACATGCCTTGTGTAGGCATTATGAGTTGGAGATGATTCACGCTGCTGGAGCGAGGCACATTAAAAGCTCTGGGATGTACAACTAGCAACGCAGCCGTCATTTGTCAGAGAATTGTGCAGTTTGCTTTCGTGTTGCGAAAACAACAACAACAAAATTACATCGGGAGGACATCCCATTGCCTTCCAGCATGTTATTGCATGTAAAGCTTTGTGCAGATGAAATTAGAACACAGGAATAGGCGGAGGCCATTCAGCCCCTCGAGCTTGTTCCGCCACTCTATCAGAACATGCCTGATCTGTACCTCGAGTCCATTCACCCGCCTTTGCCCCATATCCCTTGACACCCTGACCTGACCTAACAGACATCTATCCACCTCAGTCTTGAAAATTTGAAAAAAAACAGCGTACCTTTTGTGGGTAAAAAAGGAAGATCTCTTATTTCTTAGAGACACCGAGGAGCTTTATACTGCAGGGAAGCACAGGAAATGAAGTGATTTTTGTTTTGCATCCTGCAAGTACAATTTTCTTCTTTGTTCGGGCAAATGCAATCCCCATGACAACACAGGTACCAGTAAGTTACCAATAAGAAAGCTAACATACTTTAGACAAAGGATGCGGTTTTTTTCTCGTACTGTATTATGTATAATATATATAGAACTGCAATCAATTTTGCTGGCACTTGAGCCGTGCTTTACGTTTGTCCTGTTCACTTCCGCCCACTTTACAGTGTATTCTGTGAAGCGCTTTGAGACGTCTCAGACACCTGATTAAGGCGCTGTGTCCAATGCAAGGATTAATGTTAATTCACTTCGTAAGAGAGTGTGTTTTGTCACAGGTTATACACAGGTTACACCACGCTGTGTGTTGTGCGTGCGAATGGTTTAAAAATAGGTTAAAAAATACGTCTGACATACAGTCCCAACAATTGAAGGGTAAAAGTGGAAACAAAACATAAAGATTGCACACGGACCACCTCTTGAGGCTTTTGCGAACCTTAATGCCAGATTTAAGTTAAGATTCCTTTTGAGATGTATCATTTTTCAAAACTCCTCAAATAATTATCTACTTCTCTCTTAGAACTTGTTATCAAATTGGATTTCACCAGAATTTCAGGCAATGAATTCCAGATCCGAACAACTTGGATATCGTGGATATCAACTTCCATAGCATACTTGAACAGGATTGTACACACTCCCAGACATGGCCTGACAGCAGCAACACTGTACAATTTTAGCTTGACTTCTGGGCATCTAATAATGATAATAATCCTTGCATTTGATACAGCGTCTTATCACGTCTTCGAGACGTCTCAAAGCACTTCACAGAATATACTGTACTCCAGTGAAATGTTCTTAAATTAATTGTAACGTGCCCTGTGTACTAAACATTCCTTAACATGTTCATAATTAACCACGGCGACAGTGAATATTGATCCCATCTTTTGTATTGTTTGTAAACTCATTGAATCAAAAGTCTTTCTCTCCTTCCCACTTACTTGTTGGTCTGCCTGGGTCACTGGTTACTGTGTGACACAGTAACAACAACAACAACAATTTGCATTTATACAGCGCCTGGACATATAAGTCGAATGGTGAGTATTTTACATTATTGCTCACCTTGTAAGCATTCTCCGACATGAAAGGATCATACCAAATGCAAGGATTATTAATTAGTATTATATTTAATTTCCAATACTAAGAAAATGTTGAGTAATGCCCCAACACTGATTTGCTATTGATTTGATCGATGCACATTCTTTTCAATTCAAAAATCATTGCTGTCTCAAACACAAACTCATCAGCTCACCAACCTAAGGAGATTTTGACTTTATATAAGAGTTAAGAAGAGCTTTACCTCGATTGGTTTTAGCGTAACCACAACATCACTATTATCTCTGAGATGTGAATCAAGCGGATCCATTGTACAATCTGAAAAGACACTCTTTAATCTACTGAGTGCATCTGTGTTTCCAAAGTCTACCCTAATGGTCTTTAATGGTGGGTTGTGGTCTGTTCAACCTGAGCATCAAGCGCCAAGGCTCGAACCACCCCATGCTAGTGCGAGCGTCGCTAGTTTGCTGCTCATATTGCTTGAAAAATACACAGTCGTTACACTTCACGGTGAGTCTTGTAAAGTGCTTTGAGACATCCTCCTGACGTGAAAGGCGCTGTGTCGAATACGGGGGTCTCTTGCACCAATTCGTGTCGATTTGGTGCGAGTCCATTGCAAGAATAAGGAAATTGTGGTGTCTTTATTCAGAAGAAAAAATGCGTTCAGGTTGAATTCAGTCACATGGTCGGTTCCTGTTGACATGATGGACTGACGTTAAGCCTGCTTGGCCTATTTGAGGTCACGCTTATCTGCTTTGCTGCCTGCACACATAACACAGCTGCCCTCAGAAACCTCCTTCCCTTGGAAGAAGGCAGAGGTTGCGATCTTGCTAATTCCAGTCCTATCTTTACCAGTTGGCGCTGCTCACGAACACTCCAATTATCTTCTTAACAAATCTCCAAGATTAATTTAATAGCTTTAATCCTGATCTGTACTCTCTTCTCTCTTCTCTCTCTCTCTCTCTCCCTCTCTTTCCGCTGCCCCCATTTTCTATTGCTTTAAAATGCATTTCCACGGATTAGTTCAGTAGGACATCTCTCGTTGCTATTGGCTACTACTATATTTATGACCCCCTTACATATTGGCATCTAAATCGAGAGAGCTGTTACACGGGTTTATGGACTGATATAAGGTTGTACGGGCGCGCACACACACACACACACACAAGGCATTGAAGCTAGAATCCAGGCTTCGCTTGGAAGATGGGGAACACAAGTGGCAACACCGTAGAAGAATTGACGGCATGCGAGATCTCTCAGTGGTACAAGAAATTTATGTGTGAATGCCCGTCCGGCCAACTGAGACTCTACGAGTTCAAGCATTTTTTGGGATTGAAGAATCTGAGCCCGGCCGCCAATAGCTACGTGGAGCAAATGTTCAACACCTTTGACATGAACCAAGTAAGGACCATCCAACGATTGTCCGAAAAAAAGTGGGTCAGTGATAGAGCTCGGAAGCGAAACGAGTGATCTGTTTGCAAGTCGTGTTGCAATCCTTCATTCCCTTTGTGGGGTAGGGGTGGGGTGGGGGGATGTGGGGGTGGGTGGGGGGGTGGTGGTTTAGCACAGTATTCAGTGAAACTCTTTCTTGTTGCATTTTAAACTTAATTTGGCGCATTGATATGCTTGAAATAATAATAATCCTTGCATTTGGTATATGGCACCTCATCACGTCATCGAGACGTTTCAAAGCGCTTCACGCACTATACTGTAAAGTGGATTGACTGTGCAACCTGTGTGCGAAACCTGGCAGTCAATTGCGCACAGCAATTATATACCGGGACTGTGTTTGTTGCAGTGCTTTATTCAAGGGGCTGCTGTTTGAGCTATGAACATCTGTGGAATAAAACGATGACCTCAACGATTTGACAAGGCGCGATATCAAATGCAGTAAATTGAAATTCCCCGTAGTCTGGGCCACTAGACCACGAGTAAGAGAGAAGTGCCCTGTGCTGTTGTGCGCAGAGCCAAAAGAGATGCATTGGGGGCTCCAGTTCATCGAGAGCAGTGCAAAGGAATTTCCGTGTTGTTGGGAAGCTAAAGAGTAGACAACAAAAAACCAGCTGCTCTGCCTGCTGAGCCCTTTCAAAAGCTAAATCACAAACGTAGCCAGCAAACCAATACAACGACGGTACAATTCTGCCTGTTCCAGGACGGATACATTGACTTCATGGAGTACGTGGCTGCTCTGAGCTTGGTGCTAAGAGGGAAAGTGGAACAGAAGTTGAGGTGGTATTTCAAAATCTACGACTTTAACAGGAATGGCACCATCAACAAGGAGGAGCTTTTACACATCGTCAAGGTATGAAGCCACACTGAAAGCGGTGGGATTCTTCTCCACTCGGCTCCTGAGAGGGTTAAAGTGAGCCAAATCCCTAATGCCTTTGGCCAGCTTGCCAGACACTGCTCTCGGCTGCAATTCAGAGTTAACCGATAAGCTCCTTAAAACCATTTTGTTTAAATCTACTTACAAGGTTTTCTTTAAAAAATAAATAAATGTATATATCTTTGAATTGTCACTCACCTCATTGCTGTCTGTGGCACCTCAATGCCCTAAAATGACTACTATTTTCCTACAGATGTTGTGGATCACAAGATTGGTTTGAATGAAGAAGGCCCTTTGATCTGCTTGATCTTATCAGTGGGTCAAAATATAGCAGTCAATGCACTTGATGATAATGACTTGCCAAGAGCTTTAAGATGTTTAGCCATATTAAACTGCTATAAAGATATAAGTACTTTCCTTCTATCTTCACGTTACTAATTTACTTGTAACTTGTTGCCCCTCTCCCACCCCGCCAAAAAAAAGGCAATCAGGTCAATCAACGGACGTGAGCACGAAACATCAGCGGAAGAATTCACCAATATGGTGTTTGAGACGATGGATATCAATGGAGATGGTACGTGGCTTAAACTTCTCACTGTTACCTTAAGAGCCGCAACTTTTTTTCCTCTCCTGTTGTGTTCACTATTATGTCTTCCAGTTTTGCACCTGAGTAGCCACTATTGATGTGCAAGTGGACAGTGGGTGGGCTATTTACTTGAAGGTTTCCCAGGGGGCCAAAATTGCTTCAGGTCTCAGCCTTAAGGCACTTGTTTTACCATGTCAGAATGTTTTGGAAAATTCTTCTGTCCTTCAGATGAGACGTTAAACTAAGGTCCATTCTACCCTTTTAGCTGCACGTTAAAGATCGCACTGATCGAAAAGAGAAGGTTGTCGACCCATTGGCTGGGTTGACAATATCCCAGATTGGAGTCCTGGAGCTCAGTGGTTAGAGCACTCGCTTTGCAAGCGAGAGACCTGAGTTCAATTCCAGGCAGAGGGCGAAACCTCGGGCAAGTTTCCTTACTCCACACAGAGCCTAATAATAATCCCTCCAAAACCCAAAACAATAATAAATTGGTCATTTTCAATCCACGACTGTTTGTGGGGACGGTGCTGTGCGCAATTGGCTGCCGCGTTCGCCCACAAATATACAGTCAATTCACTTTACAGCGTATTCTGTGAAGCGCTTTGGGACGTCTAGAAGACGTGAAAAGTGCTATATCAAACCCAAGGATTATTATTATTAAACTGATCATTAACTTCGTAGCTGTGGAACACTGGTGTGCAAATTAGCTGCCACATACACCTACAAAACACACATTCATTACGCTTTACGATTCACTCTGTGAAGCGCTTTGAGACATTCTCCTGGTGTGAAAGACAACATATCAAATATAAGGGTTATTATTACTATTTTTATTCACTCTTAATTTGGGAGACAGGTTTTCGGAATTCGCTAATTCACCCAAATAAGAGTGAAGAATTGCACAATTCTGCGTAACCTTAACCCTTAAAACTATGCCGATTTCAGGCCACTAAAATACTACAGCAGTTGCTAGATATGGAAACAATTTAATTTTGTGTGACTTGCAACCTCTATTTTGGGGTGAAAACACATAAAACACAGCTGAAATAGCCTTATAAAAGATTCGTATTTCTGTTATTTTTTATTTTAAAAATTGCCATTTTTGTTTCTAAGCCTTTTACCACCAATCATGACTTATTTATTGACTTATTTATTGGGATCGATCAACTTCTGTTTCTCTCCCTTTTAGATGAGCTTTCCCTTGAGGAATTCTTGGAAGGAGTCCAGAAAGATAAACTTTTACTTCATTTTCTGACCGAGAACCTGGATCTCTCGCACATCGTTGACGTGATCCAAAACAATGGGAAATGTACAGAGAAGTGAGCGTTTGTGCAGGAAAAGAATATCTTACAGAGATATTTCCGTTAAATACTTTTACTTTGTTCCATCAGCCTCCTTGGAAACTGGTCTCTAATTGAAAGGAATGGAGGGATTAATTGGAAAAGGTTTACAAGATTGATAGATCGATAGATCGATAGATAGATCGATAGATAGATCGATAGATCAATAGATCGATAGATAGATAGATAGATAGATAGATAGATAGATAGATAGATAGATAGATAGATAGATAGATAGATAGATCGATAGATAGATAGATAGATAGATAGATAGATAGATAGATAGATAGATAGATAGATAGATAGATAGATAGATAGATAGATAGATAGATAGATAGATAGATAGATAGATAGATAGATAGATAGATAGATAGATAGATAGATAGATAGATAATTGGGGATGTAATGGTGTTAATGAGCTAGGAGAACAGGCAGGGAAATAGGATTTAAGGTCTGTCATGATCTAATAAACTGGCAGAATCAACGGTACACAAATCACTTGAGGATGGAGCAGGACGACAAAGAAATACTTGTTATTTTACTGGGACTGGAAAGGGATTGAAACAAGCTTTGAACTTTCTCATCCTCCAGACAGCTGAAACCGTGCCTTGTTTACCACATTGGAAAAATAAATCCACTTTGAATATGCATTAGCTGTCGAGTCCTGTTTATTTTCGTGGCGGTCAGGTTTCTTGTGAAAAAAATACAATGTCTTCATGCATGTTTCAATGTAAAATAAAATAAAATAAGAATCCATGTATCTGCTCCAGCATTAGCTGTGTCCTCTGATATCTGGTGAAGTGTTCCAGGACACTACCACACTTGAAAGGCGCTATATAAATGCAAGTTGTTGTTGTAATATATTCTGCCATTTGGGCTTTCAGATCAAATCAGTGTTACATTCTGGGATACAATTTGTTTCAAAATACTGTTTACGTTTTTGACAAATTGCAAGTCAGGTTATTCAACAAAACGAATAAAACAGGACAACATCGAAACTTTCTAAAACAAACCGTCAACATTAAACAAAAGTAAACCTTCCAGGAAGCAATCATTGTTGTAGAGTTGTTGTCTTGTCCCTCGTTCTTCCCAACAATTGAAAAGATGTTTGCTGTACACAAATTGACTGCCACATTATGAATATTGAGATGTCCTCCCAATGCGAAAAGTGTGTATAAATGTAAATTGTATTGTATAAATGGATCATTATTGTGTATGGGTCATTTTCTCTGCTACACTTCTGCTCTTATAATGATGTGTTGTTAGGCTCTGTGACTGTAGAGGGCATCACAGTCTAACCTAATTTTTCTGAATTTCACTGACTGGGTTTGAATAGTAAATTAAATCTGTCTGATTTTCTCTTCTCATAGGCAATTATTCCAATTGTAGCATTCCTACTGCTGCCTCAGCTGAGATCAGATAACTCTACACTAGGGACTCGGCACCGAAACCAAACACACTTTGAGTTTAATAAAAATAATAATTCTTGTGTTTGATGCAGTGCCTTTCACATCCTGAGGATGTCTCAAAGTGCTTCACAGGATTTACTTAAAGCGTAGTGATTGTGTGTTTTGTAGTCAAACGTGTAGCACTGGGGATTAAAAAAATCCCAATTTGTGCCTTGCGTTAACCCACTAAACCATTGGGATAGCTCTGTATTACCAGAGCTAATCTGTAGATTACCAAAGACAGATTTCAAGACCCAAATAATAATAGCCATAAGACCCCCCCAAAAAAAATTATGTTGTTCATTCTGAGAATAATGTTAAGGAAATATCCAGGCTTTAATGGATTTCATAAACTGTCCTCTATAATCTCTGGTGTCGCACACGTATTGGAATATTTTCCATGTACTGAATAACTCACACTTCATTTTAAAAACTAGAAAAATAAAAAATATTGAAACGTTTGTGGAACCAATAAATGGTTTCAGGATTTTGAGATCTTTTAAACAAATATCCTTTAAAATCCTCCTCGTTTCATCTTTTTGGAATCCTATAGAGTATTGGTTGGAGCCCTCGCCTCGCAAGCTGGAGGACCTGGGTTCGATTTCGAGGCAGGGAAAAACGTTAGGCAAGTTTCCTTACTCCACACGCCTCGGTTTACATCGCAGTAAGAATCCGGTTGTCAGTTGATTGGCCAATTACTTTTCCAGGGGTAATAATCCCTTCCCAAAAAAAATAATAATAATAATTTGGTCACCCAATCCACGACTGTTTGTAGGACATTGTTGCGTGCAAATTGGCTGCCCCATTTCGCCCACAAAATATACAGTCAATTCACTTTACAATATATTCTGTGAAGCACTTTGAGTCGTCTCAATGACGTGGTAACGCGCTATATCAAATGCAAGGATTATTATTATCTCACTGGGGTGAGTCTTAAAGTAATTCAATGCGAAGGGAAGTCAAAATTTTAACAACGCAAATGATTTGTTCTGATTACGTTGTCAATGAGTTTCGAGGAAGGAAAATGGGAATCTCTCCTGGAATCGGTTTAAGCTTTACTGATGGAAACAAATCCTTATATAGATCTCGCCAAGTGGCTTTTGACTTTAATTCGATGAGATGAAACTCTAAAAGGATTGAAAAACAGGTGCAGAGGTTTTGACTAACATCAGCACTAAGCCATCAATCACAACCTGTTGCAATGGGCGAACATTGAAGCGAGATACATCAGTCTGGGACTCGCATTAGTAGTTTATAATTATCACACACACTGCTTGGGGAGCTGTAAAATAGAGACACATACATATTTTAACTGACCTGTTTGTCTAATTTCATTTTACCTTTGCATTGTCCTTTACAGACAAGGAACAATAATAATAATAATAATCTCACAGTTCATTCTTATATGGTGTTGCAGAACCTGAGCACATTTAATAATAATAATAATAATCCTTGCATTTGATATAGAGTCTTATCACGTTTCTTTGAGACATCTCAAAGCGCTTTACAGAATACACTGTAAAATGAATTGACTGTGTACTTTGTATGAGAAACTCGGCAGCCAATTGCTCACTGCAGTGTCCCACAAACACTCGCTGATTGAGTGACTAAATGATTCTTGTTTTTTTTTAGAGAGAGAGACAGACGCGGTTTAATTGACCTATTTGTCTAATCCCTTTTGCCTTTGCATTGCCCTTTACAAGGCAAGGAACAATCCAACTTGAAAACAAATGGTGACTGTATTACATTGCTTGCGCTAAACATGGAGACATTTTAAAAAAAACAACAATATTGATTTTATTAGTCAGTCATGAAATTGATATCAGGCGTTTACGCATTCCATCATGTGGTTACTTCACGTGGTTACTTGAACAAAACATACACAAGGTCTAACTTAATAGTACATAGAAGAACCAAAAAGCATCCTTTTGAGAGTCAATTTACAATGGATAGAGAGCACGTTATACCTTCAAAGGGCATACAATTCAGTCTACTGTACATATGTTAATAAAAATAGTAGATATGACAAACCATCACCTGTTTGTGCAGTTACTCACAAAATCTTAACGTATCATCCAGTTCAACTGCGCTGGAAAGTTATTTCAACTACTGTATAACTGAGCAAAGTTGAGTCATGAAACCACAATATACCGAGTGCGTGTTCAGTTTCTGAAAATAGTTCGAGTAACTTTTGTCAGCTTCACTCCCCTCTCGGTCAAATAAATCTATATTTTTGTTGTGGATGTAATATCGCTGTCTATTTTCTTTAAAAAAATATCAAAAGTACAAAGGAATGAGTATGTGGGGACAGAGGTGGAGCCTGTTTTTTTGGGTGGCTTGTCGGGTCGCCTTTCACGTCAAGAGGACGGCCCAAGGTGCTGGACAGTCAGGGATTTGGACCCGAGCTGGGGGTTGGGATGAGGAGGGGTGGGGGCACTGATGAGAGCCAAGCAGGAGAGTCTCGGTCTTGTTGACGTCCAACTGGAGAAAATTAGGGTGAGAAATAGAGTCGGATGTCATCCCCATTCATGTGGAAGTTGACCCCATGTCTGCGGATGATGCCACCAAGCGGGAGCACGTAGATACTGAAGGGTTTACAATCACAAAGCTTTGGGATTTAGGATTTTTGTTTAAAACAAAGCACTTTTGCGCCTCTGCTCATTAATCCAGCCACCCGGATTCACATCCATCTGAAGCATCTTCATCACCCACTTGTCCCTGCGAGCTCCATCAATAAATTCATCCAGGGATAGGTGGCCTAGAGAGTAAGAGAGAGAGGGAACGTAAATAGCAATAATAATAATTCCTGCATTTGATACAGCGCTTTTCACGTCTTCGAGACGTCTCAAAGCGCCTCACAGAATATACTGTAAAGTGAATTGACTGTATATTTGTGGGCAAAACGTGGCGATGAAACTAGGAAGTAAGGGAAGCAGGCAGTGTAACATCATTAAAGCCATAGACCACGTAGTTATGAAAAGTTCTTATATTAAATTTAGTCTTAATTTGGAAGCCAGTTTTTCACAGTTTTTTTTTATATCAAAAAAACTGACAATGATTGACTGGTACCCTAATAGCTCACGTGTGACTCCAAATGTTTACATAACTCTCGTTCATATTCCATCGCCTTATGATAAGCAGAACCAGAGGCTAACATAGCAAGCATCTGGAGCGATTAGAACACAGCTATACACCGCGATAAGAAGCTGTCACTATAGGGCTGTCTGAGGATCACTCAACAAGGCTCGGTTCTAATCACACTGCAAGGCATCGCTGTGCCGAATTCTCTGCCACCTCCACCTAAACAACACGCAGTTGCTACACTTTACAGTAAATCCTGTGAAGGGCTTTGCGATGTCCTCCCGACGTGAATGGCGCGGTATCCAACGCAAGGATGATTACCACGAGTACAATTGGCACATTGAACCAGGTTTGCTGCACTTCAAGCTCAGAAGAAGGAAGGCCAACAGATGATTCAGATCAAGTGTAAATCTATGGATTATTATTATTGTTATTATTATAACTATTTTGCAGCAGGGATATGTATCAAGCAGACTGCCCAAACAAACAAACGTCACTGGCAAATTGATGAAGGAGCAGGATTGATCTTTGTCAAGCGAAGCAATTGAAGGGGAAAAAGAGATAAAGTATCAACCGGTATTTGTCAACGTACTGGACAGGCTGAATGTTTCCGGGTCTATACACTCAATGTTTGTGAACGTTTGCACAAACGAGAAGAATATTTGTGAATGTTTGCCGACATGTTGCAACTCCAGTGAAAATAGCCCATCGAAAGAAAAGATGGGCGTAAACTAGCTGTTAATAAACTGAAATGTGCATTACGTGTTGCAAAAACTAACACCTCGGCTCCGTTCGCTACTCCACGTGAAGGAGGCAATGCAAATGCAAGTGGCTGTTGTTGTTGTAGCAATACCTACCATCGCCATTTTCATCAACCAACTGGAATATTCTGTCCACAACCTCTTCTGGGGTCAGCAGTGGAGAATCATCTTCCAGGTTAGCATGGCAAGCCTTCTTTAACCTGTAGATAGACTAGAAACGAAGAGGGACGTCATTTGGATGCTCTTCGCATGTCGACTAGATTTTTTTTTAGTTAGACAGGTGTCTAACACACATTCAAGTCCATTATTATGATAGCTAAGGGTATCCAAACCAGACAGAGCTCCACATACGTGTATCACTATACGCGGAAATTTCCCTGTGTCTGGAATGGAACGTGTCCTCTCTCTGAAACGAAGGACACAGCCTGTTTATCTAATCCCGGAGGGTATTAGGCGCAGGTTGGCAAGCCTTGGGGATCCCAGAGCGTGCGTTGAGGTAACTGCTGGAGTTTAACCAGCTAAACCTGTTTCACCCACAAAATATACAGTCAATTCACTCCCCCAATGGCCTCAGGTCTGCCCCTCCATACTCCACTGATGAGCCAGACGGGCTGGTCTGTCAACAGTGTCCTGGAGTACAGTACTGTGGAGTCCTGTAGCTCAGTAGTTAGAGCACTCGCTTTGCAAGCGAGAGACCTGAGTTCAATCCCCGGCAGAGGGCGAAACCTCGGGCAAGTTTCCTTACTCCACACAGAGCCTAATAATAATCCCTCCAAACCAAAAACAATAATAAATTGGTCATTTTCAATCTACGACTGTTTGTGGGACATTGCTGTGCGCAATTGGCTGCCGCGTTCGCCCACAAATATACAGTCAATTCACTTTACAGTGTGTTCTGTGAAGCGCTTTGGGACGTCCTCCGACGTCAAGAGCGCTATATCAAATGCAAGAATTATTATTATTATTACTGTGGGACCACCTGACTAACACACTCTACTGTCAAGACCACCACAGAGGGTGGACTCGAATCCGACATTCTGTTGCTAAGCACGTCACCTTGGAACCAGCTCCAAAGAGCTTATCTACGTCCCCACCTCTCCACCCCATCCCCAAGGAGGGATCAAAGAGCAAGACAGAAAACAGATGGAAGTCACAAACCTCCACAATCTCAAGCAGTTCGGTTTTATCGATACATCCGTTCCCGTCTTTATCGTAAACTTTGAACGTCCATTTCAATTTGTGCTCCAGTTTGCCTCTTAAAACCAGGTTCAATGCCGCCACATATTCCAAGAAGTCAATGGTGTTATCCTGAGAAAAGAAAATCAAGTGCGTGTTACTGTGTCTTTCAAATGCACCAGATTTGGGGGGTTTTGGTACACCGGGTGTCTGACACATCCGTAAACAACAACAACAAATTACATTTGTATAGCACCTTTCACGTCGGCAGGATGTCCCGAGGAGCTGGACATTCAGGCATTTGGACCCGAGAATTCATTGTGAAATGTTGTGAATTTCACCCTTATGTTCAGAGCAAATCTTCCCCTCCACAAACTCCAGAAGGTCCAGACCGCCCACAAAATATTGGTTTTATATTGTTCCTCCTACATACCCTGGATATACACATACATGTATATATATATATTTGTACATTAATTTACTTATGTTCATCGATTTAAATCATTTAATATTTTTTACTTGAAACACATTGTGATAAAAGCTATGACCAAAGAAGCAGTCCCTCCCTTCCTCCCTCCCTCCCTCCCTCCCTCCCTTACCCCATTCTTGTCAAATGCCCGGAACATGTTTTCGATATAACTGGCCGCTTCTTGGTTCTCGGTAACTCCGAAGAAATGTTTGAATTCGTGCATGAAGAGTGTTCCGCTGGGACATTCCACCACAAACTTTTTGTACCAATCCTGCAGCTCAGCGACATCGATGTCCATGTTATTTTCATCGCTCAACTTCTGCCCCATCGTCGGACACCACAGAGCCCTCTCCGCCCAACACACGGACTGGGTCAGTCTTGCAGACAGAGTGCCCTGCTCAATCCTCCTTCACCTTGGCAAGGACTGGGCAGGACTCTTCCCAAACTGACGCACTCAATCAACACTCACGTCAACCGGGACCAGTCAATATGCCTTCACGATGTGGGCCTTTTCCTCTTCAATCCCCTCCACAGGTGTCTTTTCTGAGCCTGGGTCCTCTCTCTCTCTCTCCCTCTCTCCACGATCGACCCTTGCCACAATAGGGACTGGTTGATCTTCAGATACAGAGGGATTTCCTTTCCTTGATCACTCAAACAATGGCTGCTCTCTCTGTTCTATTTTAATCAATTCAATGAGTTGATCTTCGGATAAAGAGGTCTTTCTATCCTCAATCACTTAAACATTGTTTGGTGGGTGTGAGACTGGATCGTTCTGTGCTTGATCAGCCCTCACCTCAACATGGACTGGTTGATGTTTACAAACCAGGACTTGTTAATTTCAGAGTACGAACTCCAGAATCCAGACTTTTTGACCTTGAACCAACATCAGCTAAGCACAGAAGCGTTGTTTCTCCTGAATTTGTGACCCTTTCCCAAAGCGTACAATTAGCTCTTTAGTAAGAGCTGGTGTCTTAGAGCTGAACCCACCTCAATCCTTCTCTCGTGCTCTATTGTTACTGAAGACAAGGACTTAATCGGTCCTTATTAAAACAAGTTTCTAGATCCAACACCACCAAACAGGGCAAAGCCTACTTAGAGGGCTTTAAGTTTATTTTGAGCTTCCCAACAGGCATCTTGATCACTGTGTGATAACATTCGGTGACCTCTACCTGTCCTAAATACAGACTCGGTGGCAGCCTCACATGTCTGAGTCTTGGTCAGGAAGCTGCTGGTTGATAAAGAGTAAGACATTTTGAGATCTAATTAAAAATAGAGAGTGGATACACAAATGCACAGCTTCTTCTTTTTTGCTAATCATTTCTCTAAGTGGTTAAAAACTTGGGAGGATTTGACTTTCAAATGGGATTTCCTGCATTCCTGCTATGTGTGTATTCCTGGATCCTTCCAGGGATGTGTGGAATTCTCAGTTTGGTTTGGATACTCTTAAGCAGGTGATGGGTTTCCGCTTGTATCAGACACCCAGACACGTTTAGCAAACAGGATTAGGAGGAGTGGAGGCTCATGTGGAGTATAAACATTTATTCAGTTACTACACTTTACATCATGTCCTGTAAAGTGTAGTAACTGAGCGTGCTATTTGATAGCCAAATTCCAAAATTAGAGAGTGGTTTTAAATAGTTTAAATCCATTGTCGGTGAAACATAATTGTGGAGTCCTGTAGCTCGGCGGTTAGAGCACTCGCTTTGCAAGCGAGACACCTGGGTTCAATTCCCAGGCAGGACGAAACCTTGGGCAAGTTTCCTTACTCCACACAACTAATAATAATCCCTCCAAAATGCAACAATAATAAATTGGTCATTTTCAATCCACGACTGTTTGTCGGGAAGCTGCTGTGCGCAATTGGCTGCCGCGTTTTGCCCACAAATATACAGTCAATTCACTTTACAGCATATTCTGTGAAGCGCTTTGAGATGTCCAGAAGATGTGAAAAGCGCTACAACAAATGCAAGGATTATTATTATTATAATTACATTTTGCGCATCAGCTAAGGAAACTTATTTGCCTCTAATGGATTAGACGATACGAGTGTCAACTTTAAATGCACCACTCAACTTAAGAAAGGGAGCGGTACTACAATTTAGTTAGGTGCCTGGGAACTCCGCAAGTGAATTCAATTGAATGATATTTAATTAAATGATAGTTAATTACATAAATGGCGCGATGGGCCGAATGGCCTTCTTCTGTGCTGTACAATTCTATGATTCCATGATAATTATGGCAATCTTCTAGGTATTCATTTTTTTTTAGCAAACCACTCCACAGATCGGCGAGGACTGGGCAAAATAAAGAAAATGAATGGCTTCTCCAAAAAAAAACAAAGTTTCCAACAGTCACTTGACCTTTAAAGGTCTTGTTGAGATTTGCGAGGCAATCTACCAAAGTGATTTGGTGCATTAGGTTGCATTAGATTTCAGCTCAACTACAATTTAAACAAAAGATATGATCTATTGTTATTAAAAATGCTTTAACATCATTGGTCATTCAAAGGGTTTAGGCAACACATGATGCTACTTGCAGTCACCTTGAGCTCCCAGTTCTGGAAACAAGCGTAGACCCGTAGCGTATTGGTTAGAGCACTCGCCTCGCAAGCGAGAGGACCTGGGTTGGATTCCTGGGCAGGGTGAAACTTTAGGCAAGCTTGCTTACTCCACATGCTTCTGTTTACCCAGCAGTAAATAAAAACCCGGTTGCTAGTCAGTTGGTGGATGGCTTTTCCGAGGGTAAAAGTCCCTTAAAAAAAGATAATAATTTGGTCACTCAATCCACGACTCAGTGTGGGCAATTGGCAGCCGTGTTTCACCCACAAAATGCACAATTAATCCACTTTACAGCATATTCTGTGAAGCGCTTTGACACATCTCGAAGATGTGATAAGCCACTACATCAAATGCAAGGATTATTATTAAGTAACGAGCTGTGTCTGGGGCACCTTTAATGAGTACTTCACGTCTTCCCTTAGAAAGGAAATTAGGGTGAGCCCGGTCTCGCAACAAATAATAATAATAATCCTTGCATTTGACATAGAGACTCATCATTTCATTGAGACATCTCAAAGCACTTTATAGAATATACTGTAAAGTGAATAGACTGTATATTTTGTGGGCGAAACGATAAGGCGAAATAAGACAGCAGTTTGTGGCAAAGTTAGCAGTCCAGTCTTAGAGCTCTGCACAAGTTTTTAAAAACATAACACTGCAGAGCTATTCTAGGTCACAAGAGAAAACGCTAAATCATTAGCTCTAAGCATCGATTAATTGTGTCACAGGCAGGGATTATGCTTTGTAAGACGCTTTGGTGGTTTAATTGGAGAACAATGTGAAAAGAGGGACTTTGAAGGTGAAAATGAAACCTCGCAGGCGAACATTCTGGAAGGTAATACAGTACCTGGAAAACATTCTTTCACTGAGTGTATTTAGAAACCTGCTGGAATGGTTGGAAGCTATGGCTTCGTAAGCGAAGGGGGAGGAAGGTTTGTGATTGTCAACATTGCAATTCTCCCTAAAATGCTTTAAACAGCGACGTGGGTTATTTCTAAGAGGCACCCAACTCACCTAATTCTGGAGAGTGTTAGGCAGGTTGGCAAGAGTTACGACTTGAGCACCCCAGATGTCAAATGCAAGGATTATTATTATTATTATATTATTATTATAAATCCACACATGACCTATTTCACAGGTCAGGCAGCATCTATGGAGAAAGTAAAGTGAGTCAACCTTTCGGGTCCACGACCCTTCATCGGAACCAGTTCTGACGGAGGGTGTTCGACCCGAAACATTGACTCACTTTCCTTTCTCCATAGATGCTGCCTGACCCGCTGAGTGTTTCCCAGCGACTTCTGTTTTTGATTCAGATTTTCAGCATCAGCAGTATCTTGCATTTGGCTTGCCATTTCATTGGAAGCACTGTGTGGCAAGCTTCCCACTGCTTGTCTTGCTAGGACCACCCTACTCATTAAGACATTGGCTTGCAGGTTTAACAGGAGTCCCTCCGATGAGCAAGGCTGGGTTAGTCTGACACAAGCCTCAGCAGTGCCCTGAATTACTGCAGATCTACCTGACTGAATAGCTCCAGGGCCTTCGAGCCTCTATGAATAAGAGCACCAGGGCCAGACAGAAACACACAACCATTAGGAAGACATTTTAAATTAAACGGGGATAGTTACACGGGAGAAAGAGAGAGCCATTAACAGATTGCAGCGTGTTAGAGAAGGCGTGAAAGGAAAATACAGATAAGACAATGGTGATTCTGACATCTTTGAGTAACGGTAATCTCGTCACAGTAGAAACGTTGATGTATCATTGTACTTGCTCAGCACTATCTAATGGGGTTTTGGGCTAGCAGGGTTGAATGTGATGTATACAGTGAAATCTCATTGCTGAGCCAATTGACAGTCTGGCCGGCTATCAGTTAGGTAACTGCAAAACTGCCAGTTTGTACGTTTGTCCCCTTAGAGCCAGTTTCAACTCCAGGGCAATAATAAATAAAATTAACTCTTGCATTTAATAGGTCCCACTGTTTGTGGGGACACTGCTGTGCGCAATTGGCTGCCACGTTTCGCCCACAAAATACGCAGTCAATTCACTTTACAATATATTCTGTGAAGCGCTTTGAAACGCCTCAATAACGTGAAAAGCACTATGTCAAATGCAAGGATTATTATTATTATGTTCTGGAATGATGAGATCAAGTGGGCTGAAGGTAGGGTGCCCATATTTTGTAAACCAAACCCAGAGACATGTATATATTTTTAAAAAATTGTAATTCACCACAATTCTTGATGCTGGCAATACTGGTGAAGCTTGTTGGATTAGTGGCTGTGTTTCTCTGATGAGTGCGTCTGTTTTAGAATTTTATTGTCGTTGCTCAGTTTGTTGCTGAACTCAAGACAGGGCAAGTCTGGCCCCAGGGTCACACAATACCTCACCCGGAAATCAGTTCACCTTATTCGAAGGGCCTTCCTCATCCAAACCAATCTGGTGAGGAGACTCATTCATCGAATAAGGGTCCTCTTCCCTAAATCAAACACAAATTCAGAGCGTATTAGTCTGATCGATCAACAACGTCTGATAAATTCAAACTGGGCTTCCTCTTCGATCGTGCTCACACTCATCTCCTCCCTCCGAGGCTCCGCCATTGTTTTCTTTTCAACCGTGCCTTCAGCTCCCCTCTCGACTCCCTACCCCCTCCTCGCTCCCTCCCTTCCCTCCCCTCACCCTGACCATTTCCCCCATGCTCGGGTCCCGACCCAACTGCCCAGCACCTTGGGACGTCCTCCGGACGTGAAAGGCGCTCTATGAATGCAATCTTGTTGTTGTTAAGCGCTCCGAGACCCTGCCCGGGGTGAAGGGCGTCGGGTAAATACACGCAAGCCGTCTTTGCTGCCGTCGTAGGGACTGGATCACGGCTGGAGCAATTGGATTCATCTTATTCAGGTGACACACACGTACACGCGCACGTACACGCCCAAAAGCGCAATCTAAAAATAGCAGCTAACTCCAAGGCCATTTGAGTGGTTGGGTGGCAAGGTGTGGCACCCAAACATCCTTCAGCGCATATATGGACAACCGACACAGGAAAGACTTTCAAGTGTCTGAAAGGTGTGTCATAACTTGGTCTTGAGCCAGTCCCCATGAATCATGGCCAAACAGCCAACCAACCAACCAACCAGTCAAGTCTCTCTCTCTCTTTCTCTCTCTCTCTCTCTCTTCACTGCAATGAAACCAGGCAGGTGAACACAGCAAGAAGCAGGAAACTCATACACTCATGTGACCTGTTGGGAATGAGTCACTTAATACACACCTAAATTGAACCGAAACCCAGGCAAAGGAAACATACACAGCACACCTGGGTGCAGGAAAGGGTTTGAGGATGGTGTGAGGTTGCTCCTGGGAGATTCACAGGTGAGTGTGGAACTTTGCTCTCTTTGCTTCAGGTGATTCACTGGAAAGGTAACACTTGAGTTGTGTGGAGTTTGTTGTGTTTTAATAATAATTTTGTTCCAGACTCTCTTTCTCTCTCTCTCTCTCTCTCTGGTTCCTTCTTCAACAGGATTTGGTATTTGTGTGTGTGTGTGTGTGTGTGTGTGAGAGAGTTGACCTTGGAACTGAATATATACCTTTGCAAGTATTTTTTTTCCCCCTTTTTTTTCTTTATAGGCTTATATGTTGTGTGTCTTATCGTTTGCTGTTGTTCGTCTCACCCTCTGAGTGAAATGGACACTTATTTCGTGGAGTTTCCTTCAGGTTATTTCTCTCTCTCTCTCTCTCTCTTGGACAAGTTATGTTGTCTGGTAATATTTCAGCTTAATTCATAAAGAGAGAGGTTATGTTGACATGGTTTCTTTTTTTTAAAAAAAAGCAATGATTCCTTATGCACTGTCCATCTGAATCTTTCATTTATTCGTGTTATCCATAGAATCAAAAATATTTATGTTATTTAGGATTATTTTTTTTAAAAAAGATAACAATTCACCCCTCTCGTGGGTTTTCTTACCAAATCGTAGCTTATTTGGTTCCATCTCCCATTTGTTTTATTCTGTCTGGAAAACATACTTTAGGTTTTTCCTATTTTCTTGGGTGGATTTTTTAAAAAAAATACATCCCCCCCCAAAAAAAATAAGTCGATGTTTCTATTTAAAACCTTCATTTTAAAATCAATATAGTAGTGGGGGGTTTCGACCCCAACACATTTATTTATCCAAAAGAAAAAAAAATAATTTTTTCTAACTTTTTCAAGTAAAACAAAGTGGTGATTGTATTTTTATTTGGGGGGATGGTGTGGTATGAGAGTGGGGGTGTGGAATGTGATATTTTCTCTTGTTTTTTAACCCAAAAGGTGGGTCTGATTCATGTTTCTTTTTATTGTGTGTGGGGGTGTGGGGAGAGGGTTGTTGCAGTAGATTATTTTTTTGTTCTTTGTTGTAGTTTGTCCCCCTGTGTGGAGTGCACTCAGTGGTTGGGGAATGTGAATGTTATTGTGAAATGGGGCTGATTGGAATTTCTTTGAGAGGAAGGGAGGGGGGAAAGTGGCTGCTGTTCAGTTGGTTCAACTTCTCACTCCAACTAAACAGAGAGTTACGTTGTCTGTGTGTGTGTGTGTGTGTGTGTGTGTGTGTCTGTGTGTGTGAGACCAGGTTAAGAGTCCTGTAGAAAAGAGATCAGAGGGACCAGCAAACGATCTGCCCTCATACAGCCCAACACAACGTACAGCCCAACACGTAACACACAGCTCTTCTCTGCAGGAGTGAGTGAGTGTGACAGTGAGTGAGTGAAGGACACACACACACACACAGACACACACACACAGACACACACACACACACTCATCCCTTTGGATGCAGCTATTTCCTGGATACACAAACTGGAGTGCCATCAAAAGGTAAAGAGCGACTGAGAGCCACTTGATCCCCCAAACTTGGCTCTCCCACTCTCTCCTTCTCTCCCCCGCGCTCTCTCCTTCTCTCCCCCCCCACCCTCTCCGCCCCTCCATGGGGAAGCTGGTTGTCCCATATCCCCAGGAAACGTGCGAGTCCTTGTCGTGGGGGAGGGGGAAAAAGGTAACCAGTGAGTTCAGGTGGGCCCACAGGTGTATTCCTGTGTCTGACAGCGTTTACCTGTGCCGTGAGCCGACAGGAGAGGCGATTTCCTGCTTATTGCAGAGAGTTTGTTTGGTTTTAGTTCACTAAAGTGGATTTATTGCGCTTGTTTGCTTTGCTGGTGTACGTGCCGGGCCGGGCATTGTTAGTTTAACCAGAGGGATCAGTTAAATTCCACCCCGTAACTTTGCTATAGCTGTAAAACCCGACTCTTAAACCGTAGTGGATTCCTGGAATAGTAATGATCGTTGCATTTGACACGGCGCCTTATCACGTCTTCGAGACGTCTCAAAGCGCTTCACGAAATGTACTGCGAAATGGATTGGCTGTGTGCTTTTGTGAGCGAAACGTCGTCTTTGTGGGCGAAGATGTAATTTCTTCTTAAAGTCTGACTCAGTTGGTAGCCCTTTCACCTCTAAGTCGGGGGGTTGTGGGTCGAGCCCCACATTGTGACTCTGTTGCTCTCGTCTGACACTCAAATGCCGTGCTGCGTTGTTGGAGGTGCCGTCCTTTGGATGGGGTCTTAAACCAAGGACCCGTGTACCTGTTCAGGTGGACGTTAAATATTCCACGGGACGAGTCAGAAAGAGAAGGGAGTTTTTGTTTCTGTGTCGAGGCCAACAATCCTCCAGTTGTTTGTGGGACATTGCTGTATGCAAATTAGCTGCTGCGTTCAGCTACAAAATGCACAGTCACCGCATTTTCTGTAAATCACTCTTACTCATCCACCGTTCCTCCCCCTTGCCGCCTCCTTCCCCCATCTTCAGGTCACGCCTGAAGACCTTCCTCTGCGACCGTGCCTACGGTCACCTCCCCCCACCCCTGGGCTCTGGGACACTGCCCTGTGTGAGGGGTGCGATATACATACAAGTTGTTGTTTTTCATTATTTCCCCAATAAATCTGTTTTGGGGAGATTTTCACACTAAGTGGTACACAGCACGGGCAGGTGTTTTTTATTTATTTTTTAGTCGAAATGTTAAAACCACGCGTTCTCGTTTCAGATGTTGCCGGTTCACCCTCGGAGGGTACGACTCAAACCCTGGTTGGTAGCCCAGGTGGATGCCAGCAGTTTCCCGGGGCTGATTTGGCTCAACCGAGACAACAAGCGCTTCCAAATCCCTTGGAAACACGCAACCCGTCACAGTCCTCCTCAGGAGGAGGAGAACACTATCTTCAAGGTAAAAACACAAGCTTGAATACGTTAACGTGACGTTAAGGTAACTGCGGGCTCTAGAATTCCCAAAAGCATCAGTCCGAGTCTGTAATAATTCCTTCAAATAACAATAATGACTTGGTCGCTCAATCCACGACTGTTTGTGGGACGCTGCTGTGCGCAATTGGCTGCTGCGTTTCGCCCACAAAATACACAGTTCACTTTACAGCATATTCTGTGAAGCGCTTTGAGACATCTCGAAGACGTAAAAAACACCATATCAAATGCAAGGATTATTGTTAGTCCCACAGTCCCTTCACCTCCCTCCCTCCCTCGCCTCCTTCAAGACCCTCCTCTTCGACCGTGCCTTCTGCCACCCTCCTGACTGTCCAACGCCTTGGGACGTCCTCCCGACACGAAAGGCGCTGTGCAAATATAATTTTGTATTGTATTTTACGTCAAGACGATTGATTCCGAGTGTCATATCCGCAGGCATGGGCAGTTGAAACGGGAAAGTACCAGGAAGGGATTGATGACCCCGATCCAGCCAAGTGGAAAGCCCAGCTCCGTTGTGCGCTGAACAAGAGCCGTGAATTCAAGCTCATTTATGATGGAACAAAGGAGGTTCCGATGAATCCTTTGAAGATCTACGACGTGTACGATATCCCACAGTCCAGCAGTGGGCACAGCAATCCAGGTTAGGCCTCTGGTCTCAGTTGTATTGGATGCAAAATGTCATGATTATTATAAGATTTTTTTAAAAAAAATTATATATTTTTATTTTTATATTTGTGTAAAAATATGCATTGTTATATATATATATATATAGTATATATTTATATGATGTTTGCCCACAAAATACAGTCAATCCACTTTACAGTATGTCCTGTGAAGCGCTTTTGAGACAACATGATAAGGCACTGCATCAAATCCAAGGATTATTAGTATTGTTACTATTATGGCGTTAGCATCTAGTAATGTTTAGCTAGTTTAGAGTAAACAATCCAACGTGTTTTATATGAGAATGGTAGACTAGAAGCTACCAAAACACAAAACCAACAGTACAATACACTGTCGCGATAAGTTTGGAGTTTCAGCTAACGGGACCCAAAAATATCTTGTCGTAAGGATTTCACCTTCACATATCATCACAGCCCAGCAATGGAGCATCAGTCCAGGCTATGAGCTCAGAATCCAGACATGCGACTTGAACCCATAACCTTTTGACTCGCAGGCAAACTTGCTACCAGCTAAGACACTCGGAATAGCTTCAATTAGAAAGAATGTACTTTGCAGTAGAAGTTCCAGTTCAGTTGATTGACGCAGACAAAAGACCCGTGAAGTTTTGATCTCTGAGGGCCCTTCGTTATTCAGAGTTAAATTCATTTTTAAAATTTATTGATAATTATAATAACAATCTTTGCCTGTAAATCTACAGGATCTGTTCCTTGCGAAGACAATGATATAGACATCGACGATGAAGAAGAGGATGACTCGAATTGCTCTCAACCTCAAGTTATGGTGAGTGCAAACTAGATTTCCGCGTTATAATTGAGCATCACCGAAAGAGAGAAAAATAAACTTAAAATGTTAATTTCACTGCGCCAGTGTTTCAAACCTTGAATCTACGCTGCACCCCCTTTAGGGCAAGTATTTCCTTTCAAGATAATTTAGAAGTTAGTTTGCAGGTGCAGCAGCAACTAAGAAGGCGAACGGCATGTTAGCGTTCATTGCAAAAGGTTTAGAGTATAAGAGTAGGGAAGTCTTGCTGCAACTTTATAGGGCCCTGGTGAGACCGCACCGAGAGTATTGTGTGCAGTTTTGGACTCCTTATTTAAAAAAGGACATACTTGCTCTCGAGGGGGTGCAGAGTAGATTCACTCGGTTAGTTCCTGGGATGAGGGGACTGACCTATGAGGAGAGGCTGAATAAACTGGGGCTGTATTCTCTATAGAGTACAGAAGAATTAGGGGAGATCTTATTGAAACATATAAGATTCTTAAAGGACTGATAAGGTAGACACTGAGGGTCTGTTTCCCCGGTAGGAGAATCTATAACTGGGGGTCACAGTCTGAAAATTAAGGGTCATAGAGTTGAAGAAACATTTCTTCACTCAGAGGGTAGTGACTTTATGGAATTCACTACCCCAGAAGGCTGTAGATGCTCAGTCCTTGAACATCTTCAAGGCTGAGACTGATAGATTTTTAAAAAATAGAGGGATTAAGGGATATGGGGATAGGGCAGGTAAATAGAGTTAGGTCTGAAGATCAGCCATGATCTTATCCAATGGCAGGGCAGGATCGAGGGGCCGAATGGCCGACTCCTGCTCCTAATTCTTATGTTCTTAACCTGACTTACTCTTATTTCTGAATTCTCTTCCCCTTTCCAACCAGATGCAAGAAAACTTTCCTTTTCTAACCATAAACGGTAAGTGGACATAATGCTCTTGGTGTTATTTAGGTCTGTGTCCAATTTGGCTTTTATCTATTAAGTAAGTTAAGTGTTAATTATAGTTGTTAATAGTAGGTTGGATTCACCAACAATATACACAGTTTACATTGAATCCTGTGAAGCACTTATCAAATGCAAGTATCATTAGAAGATCTTTTATTAATTAAATGAGCCGATTTTTTTTTTCTGCCCATGAGGTTAATGCAACTCTGTAGTCTGATCTTAAGATTTAACCGGGTCGCTCAATCCACGACTGTTTGTGTGGACGATGCTGTGCCCAATTGGATGCTGCGTTTCACCCGCAAAATATACAGTCAATTCACTTTACGGTATATTCTGTGAGGCGCTTTGAGACGTCTCGAAAATGTGATAAGGCGCTAATTCAAAGGCAAAGATTATAATAATTAAGATGAAAATGGGAAAATTGTAGGTGAACGAAACGTCATTTTTTTTACATTATAATTCAAGGTAATGTCTTGTATATTTTATAGTTCCCTAATGGTGATGATTTTCTCTTGACTATGAAATGTTGATCTCACAGACACCCCAATGCCACCAGTCAATGTGGTCGCGCCCAGTCAGTGGATAAAGCCTGAGCCGGAACAGAATCTCCAAGTGGAGCAGCATTTTCCAGGAGAGATATTTAGCTCACCAGAAACCTGGATTAGCTCATTACCCAGTAAGTAAAACACATCCACACTCAACTGAACCCCACATTGTCCTCCCAACCCAAGGATCTCGCTCACTTTCCCCCCAATAAAGCCAACGCTAGCCCAAAGTCCTGCCATAAAGGTCCATCTTCATTAGAAAGCTACCTGACACTATTGTCTAGGCTGGATGGGGGGACAGGGAGGGCAACCTTTTGGCTATTCAGCCTTTTGAGCCTGTTCCGCCATTTAATTAGACCATGGCTGATCTGTACCTCAACTAATCCTTTCAATTCCAATTTCGTGTCTGGCATCCCCCAGGGCTCTGTCCTTGTCTCCTCTTTAATATCTACGTGCTCCCCCTTGGTGACATCATCCGCAGACATGGGGTCAACTTCCATATGTATGCGGATGATACCCAACTCTATCTTTCTGCCTCCACATTCAACTCCATGACCACTGCTGTCCTGACACTGTCTGTCGGACATCAAGTCCTGGATGTGGGCAAATTTCCTACAGTTGAATGTGAACAAGACTGAGGCCCTCTTGATTGGCTCACGCCAGCACCTCAGCACCTCAGGCTCTGGCATCATCAACCTCCATGGTTGCACACTTCAACTCACCAACCCAGTCAGGAACCCGGGTGACTTGTTCAACCCTCAACTGTCTTCTTCCCCACATCCAAGCCATGACCCTCTCTGCCTTTCCTCACCTCCGTAACATCGCCAAACTCCGCCACTACCTCACCCCTCAGGCCGCTGAAACTCGTTCATGCCTTCATCACCTCCAGGCTCGACTATGCAAACGCCCTGCTTGTCGGCCTTCCCAACTCCTCCCTCCACAGGCTGCAGATAATTGAGACCATGTCCTCTCCCGCACCAAACTCTGTGATCCCATCTCCCCCATTCTCGCCCGACTCCATTGGCTCCCTATCCTTCAAAGGATCCAGTTCAAAATCCTGCCCCTCACCTACAAAGCCCTCAATGGTCTCTCCCCACCCTATCTCTGTGACCTTCTAACCCCCTATCAACCCACCTACTCCCTCCGCTCAGCCAGCTCCCACCCGCCCCACAATTGGCGGGAGAGCCTTCAGCCATTCTGCCCCCAACCTCTGGAACTCCATCCCCAAATCACTCCATCTCGCCCCCTCTTTAGCCTCCTTCAAGTCCCGCCTCCAAACCCTCTTCGGCCATGCCATCAGTCACTCCCCTTCCCCTCCCACACTTGACAGCAAATGCCCGAATGAAGAGCCTAACAAGTTGTTTGGGCATTACAGGTGCTATGTTCAATGCAAAGATCATTTCATTGTGTTCTTCTACCTCTCGGTTAAATATTAATGGTTAACCTATTGTCAGGGGGATCTTTCATGTTCTATTCATGGAGGGATGTGCTCATGAGCTGCAGTTCACGTGTTTGATGTGCAGTTTTAATTGGGAATCTTCTTGGCCTTACCGCAGAGATGCTCTGGCATGTTTCTCGTTCCAAGTTCCCGAGGCTATAGAACACGGCATATCATTAAAATAACCGTCACATAACCAGAAACCTGTTGGGTTTCAGTCAGTGATACAGATACTGTGACGTTAAATCTGTCAGCCAAAGAGATGACAGAAATTTGGCCGAGTTCCATTTTGTGAGTTTTTTTTCCTTCTGATAGACATTTGAGACACAAGCCTTTTCCAACCCAAGCACAAACCACAAAGCGCGTCACTTTATTGCACTGGCTGGAGTTAGTGTAGTTCAGTGGAGATGCTAATTGTGCCCTTTTGTTCATGAGACCCAAAATGAAAATGGACTGGAACTGACAATAAAATGGTAGACTAAGTTAAAAGAGGGTGGCTTGGTTCAGTTGGTAGTGCGCTCGCCTCTGAGTCAGAAGGTTGTGGGTTCAAGCTCCGTGCGGTGCCTTTGAGCTTTTAGTCTAGTCCTACACTCCAGTATGATGATGGCGATGTACTGCATTGTCGGAGGTGCCATCATTCGGATGAGACATTAAACCGAGGTCCCTTCTACTTGTTCAGGTGGATGTTAAAGATCCAACAGCACTATTCAAAAAGAGAAGGGAGTTTCTCCCGGTGTTCTGGCCAACAATCCTCAGATAAAGGTGGTCATTCACTCTAGAGCTGGAGCTGGTTGTCGGTAAAAATCCAGGGATGCTCTTTGAGACGTTTTGACAACACGATAAGGATCGTCAGATGCAAGGGTTATTATATCACTGAAGAAGTGGAACATTAAATGAAAACACTTACAAAAGAAATAGCTATTCTCACTCCACTGGTTATGTAAATGGCTTGAGGGGAATATAATAATAATCCTTGCATTTGATACAGCACCTTATCACGTCTTCAAGACGACTCAAAGCGCTTCACAGAGTATGCTGTAAAGGGAGTGACTTGTGTATTTTGTGGGCGAAACGCAGCAGCCAATTGCTCACAGCAGCGAGCCACAAATACTAGAAATGATTGAGAATGTGGAAAGGAAGGGGCTTTGAATAGTGCAAAGCAGTTGAATTGATGCGGGTAAATAATATTTTCTTTTGTCAGACGTCAGTTAATCTAACAGCGTTTCTTCTTTCCTGCGCAGTGACGGACCTGGAAATCACGTTCCTCTATCGGGGCAAAGAGGCTGGACAGACGGTGACGGTCAGTAACCCTCAAGGGTGCCGTCTGTTTTACGGGGATTTGGGCCCGATGCCAAATCAGGAGGAGCTGTTCGGGCCGGTCAGTCTGGAGCAGGTGAAGTTTCCGGTGACGGAGCACATCTCCAACGAGAAGCAACGCCTCTTCACAAACCGCCTGCTGGACGTGATGGACCGAGGACTGATCTTGGAGGTCAGCGGGCACGCCATCTATGCCATCCGCCTGTGCCAGTGTAAGGTGTACTGGTCGGGGCCCTGTGCGGGCGGCACTGCCACCCCGCACCTCATTGAGAGACAGAAGAAAGTCAAGCTGTTCTGTCTGGAAGCATTCTTAAGTGGTGAGTTCCCCCCACACTTGGCTGAGCCGAAGCGATTTTAAGCCAAAAGAGTTTGTTTACCGGAGTTCTCAGAAAATAATTTGGTTCTTCCAAGTGTGTCGAGGTCTGAAATTCCATGCAGTCCCAGCAGGCAAGATCATTTGGTCTTGACGTTTCAACGTTGAAGTTCTGTAGTGTATTGGTTAGAGCAGTCGTCTCGCAAGCGAGAGGACCTGGGTGTGATTCCCGGTCAGGGCGAAACCTTAGGCAAGTTTCCTTACTGCGCAAGCCTCTGTTTACCTAGCAGTGAGTAGGAATCCGGTCGTTAAGTCTTTTGGCAGAAATAATCCCTTCAAAACTACAAAACTTGGTTGCTGTATCCACGGCTGTTTGCGGGACGCTGCTGTGCGCAATTGGCTGCTGCGTTTTGTCCACAAAATGTACAGTTAATTCACTTTCCAGTGTATTTTGTGAAGCTCTTTGAGACGTCTCAATGACACGATAAGGCACTATATCAAATGCAAGGATGATTATCATTTATTGTTATTATTGTGGAAATTTGTTCAATTCAGTCTTAGGTTGTTCCTGAGTTGGGTTGGTGAAGTTGTTGGATTGACAGCTGTCAGTAACCCTTGTTGCAACTGTGTACATGTGGAGGAGGGTCAAGGATAAGAGATAAGATGGTTAAGATAGCCCTTAATGGTTGAATGGTTGGTCATTCACTTTGTGACTGTCTGGGGGGGGGGGGATGTTGATGTGCACAAATTGGTTCCGCAGTCACCTACGTAATAATAATATTAATAATCCTTGCATTTGATAATACAGTCATTATATTTCACAGTGAAGAGCTTTGAGACATTCTCCTGATGTGAAAGGCATTGCATCAAATGCAAGGATTATTATTAGTTCGGCGTCACTCATGAAGAATGACCCCCAACCTCACCACAAGTGGGCACTGCTGCCACCAAAGGAGTCGTGTTTCAGCCTAAATCGGTTGAGATTTGGATGGAGGAAAAAAATTGGAAGTAAAACCATAATTGGAAAGAAATTCTTCCTATGTCCCGGTTGTCCTTTAACCCCAATGCCTGATTAGGAGGAGACCGTTTTCATTTGAGATGCCTCTGTTGATGTGGCCGTTGTTTCTTCCTCCCTCAACAACAACAACTTGAGTCTATATAACGCCCCTCACGCAGGATAGGGTCCCTGAGCTAGGTAGGTGAGTTTGGCTCCAAACTAACCTCCCCTCCAAGGGCAAAGGCATTAACTTCTTTCGAGACACTCATATTGACCTGTAGGTAAGTGCCCGTGCTCTCTGAACATTGCTGACCTCATTAGCCATAATTATCCTTGCAATTTACATAGCACCTTAATATGCCTCCGAGACGTCACAAAGGGCTTCACAGAATATACTGTAAAGTGAATTGACTGTATATTTTGTGGTATCATTGACGTAGGAAGTCTGGAATCTTCCATTTGTATCTTCGCAATCCGTTAACCTCAAGCTTTAAGGTTTGAATAGTAAACCTGTGGAACAGACTCCCGGGAGAGACCGTTGAGGCAGGAAATGTTGATTCTTTCAAAATCAAATTAGTTTTCTTTTAGAAAATAACATTATGCGATATAGGACATAGTTTGGACACTATGTGCCTGCGACCGCCAGGAAGGTGGAAGGCGAACTAGATGGACCTTTTGTTTTTTGTCATCTAACATTTCTTATGTAATTGCAGAACTGATTGATCATCAAAAAGGACAAGCCATTAAATCACCGCAGTTTGAGATTTCCCTGTGTTTTGGGGAAGAGTGGCCGGACGGTAAACCTAAAGAGAGAAAGCTAATCATGGTACAGGTAAGGGTCCTTGAAGTTTGACACGAGTTGATTGAGATTATACTTTTACCGGGAAGTCCTGGGATGATGAGCTAAAAAAAGGTCCATATATATTGAGTTAATTACTTACCTTTTCCTATTGAGTTCCTAGTTGTTGATAACTGACTTTTACAAATATTGCAGAAAGAAATGCTGAGCTAATCCCCGTAATGCTATGTGAGTTAAGTGTGTGAGTGCGTACTTAGAACGAACAGCGTTGTAGCTGCAAGTTACGTCTGCCCTAACTAAGAGGAATATGTACAAGGTAATTTTTAAAAACTTCCTAAAGTCATGCAAAGGTGTCCACGCTTCAGTATGGCACAAGCTGTAACGTGTAAATAGATCAAAAACTTGTCAATCACTTCACGGCTGTTTGTGGGACACTGCTGTGCGCAAAATTGGCTGGCCCGCTCACCTAAGAAGGTCAGTCACTCCACAATAAAATCCTGTGAAGTCTTTTGAGGTGTATCGATAAGACGCCTTATCATATGCTCTTATCCTACGAATCGTCGATCTCTTACTAAGGAAAACTGGATTTGCTGGACGTGTGGCTGGAATAGACTACTTGTAACTCTACTTGTGGTTTGAAATGAGGTTCAGCTGGGGTGATGCATAGCGAGCGGCAATCGCTTGAGCTCACTTAGCCAATAAATCCAGCATTTTCACTTGGAATGTTTCCCGTTTTCTCTCAGATCGTGCCCATCGTAGCGCGGATGATCTACGAGATGTTTAGCGGCGAATTTTCACGTTCGTTTGACAGCGGCAGCATCAGGCTACAGATCTCCACTCCGGACGTCAAGGATAATATTGTGACTCACCTGAAGCAACTCTTCCATCTCCTACAAACAAACCAAGGGCACCAACCGTGGCAAATTCCAGCTCAGAATATTCACATGGCACAGGCACTTCAAGCTCAGTAACACAACGCAAGTTTGAGTCTACAGTTTTTTTGTTGTTGTTTCAAATAACTATGAGAGTAAATCTGAAGAATTTACCCGACGAGAAGAGGGTGTATTGTGTGAGGGACGATTGTACGTAGGATGTGAAATCAAGGATTCTCTGGTCACGTCTACAACTGGAAGGAAGTTAGTTGGTAACCAAGCAAGGATTGCGATGTCGTGTCAGCTTTCAGACGAAACCACACAACTTTCGAAATGCAGTTGAAGGAATTAAACCCTTTCACAATGGTATTGGTTAAATGTTGATCTAGAAATTAGCTAACTAGTCTACTGTGTGTTACAGGACAGTAAAGCATTAGATCCGGCATGTTATCATTAACCACATTTCTTATCTCAATTTTGTGGATAAGTCTCTTAAACCCTTGTCTGAGACGACAGACTTGAAGTAAGACTTTGTTGCCTTGTCTCAGACAAGAGAATGGGGTTTCTCAATCTTTAATGACTGGCGTGTTCTGATGAAACTCTACAGGTAATTCAGTTTGCCTGAAGCAGTGTTGTCCAACCGTTTCATTTCATGAAAGTTAGCATTATTTTGCTTCTGCGGACCAAACCGATTCCGGGCAAAAGACTATTAATATTCATCTGCGTGCCCGAGGCAACAACACGATTATTGGGTTTCAGAAAGAGGCTTCTTTAGTGCAAATAGTTCTTATGAGTGTGAAATTACACCCCACGACTTGTAAGTGAATTGAATTAAAATTTAGGCCAGAAAACTGGTTGTAACACACTCATTGGGATAGCATGGTCGAGGGGTTACATTCCTCAAAATAAAATCTTTCTTCAAATGCGTTCTAAGGAAAAACTAATATTTTCTTCTGTCTTGCTGGATAGAACCAATTTCTGAGGATTTTGAGCTTGCGTGCAGCTTGTACTTTCACACGCTATGTGCCTTTCTTCATTTACTGCGCCTGTGTGTATATATTTTAGGCTGCAATTCGATCTCTCTCTGTGTGCCCTGTTCAGCAGTAAAGATATTGCCTACAAAAATACACACTCATTACACTTTACAGTAGATCCTGTGAAGCATTCGAGGTGTCTTTCCGATGGGAAAAGTGCCATATTAAATACAAGATTTATTAATATATCTTAAAAATGATTTTTCAGCGATTTTATTTGCGTGTTCATGTATTTTGTTTTGCTGTGTTCTCTTGTGCTTTGAACGTGTGTTTTGGCTTGTTTGTACTTCATTATTATTAGTGTGCCTAATAATCCCTTTGAAATTGCTTTTACAAAAACAATTAGTTAATGCTTTGATACGTGATATATGCCAAGTATTAAAAACAATTACCAATTCATAACTTGGTACAATTTTTTATAAGAATCAATTATTGACTTTTGATTTGTGTTCACGACCAGTAAATTTAGATGGTTACCGGGCAATGTTCTCTAACAGAATTCCTTAATAAGGATTCCAGTAACTAAAAGCTTGCCTCAATTGCAGGAATTTGGCTCAATTAACAGACGTTAGAAGTAAATCGAAAGTCAAATTGGATACTTTTTGAATAAATCTGACTGCTGTTTGCATTGAGTGTGGTTCAAGAAGTATAGGCTATTCTATATTGTGAAATATATTACATTTGTATATATTCTATAGTGATTATTTATTTATGAAATAAATAATGACTGTTTGCAGGATACTGCTCTGCGTAATTGGCTGCCGCGTTTCACCCACAAAATACAGTCAATCCACTTCATGACATACCCTGTGAAGTGCTTTGAGGCGCCTCAAAGATGTTAAAAGGTGCCATATCAAATGCAAGGATTATTATTCATAAATAGATACATAACCTGCTGCACTGTGACATGTTTACGATATAAGTAATGACTTAGCAGTGTGATACCATTATCCCATGGGTTCAGCATAACCCTTTATCCCACTTCTCAATGTCTGGCTGTTAAAGATCCCATGACATGATTCAAAAAGAGAAGCAAGTTCCTTGTGGTCTCCTGGGTTTATAGGAACTTGCTCTGCGCAAATTGGCTGTTGCATTCACCTACAAAGACACAGTGCCCACATTTCACAGTATATCCTTTGAAGGGCTTTGAGATGTACTCCTCACGTGCAAGTTCTTACATCAAATGCAAGGATTATTATTACTGTTATAAAAGCATAGCCTTTGGTACCAGAATAGCCCATAGTTGAAAGCTAAACACCAAGTTCAGCACTTTCATGGACTAACAAACATTTACACTGACTCAATACAAACTACAAGGAGGGTATATAGACATAGTGTCTGTTAATAGGTTACATATAAGCTCCAAATGTTTACTGCTGGTAAAATGGTATATTTCCACATTTCAGCAATTGCAAACTGTCCCACAGTTCAGTTTTGTTTCAATAAATAGAGTTTTTAATGTGTTGGAGCTTTAGAAATAAATGATTTACAAATCACTGACCAAGTATGAAGGAACAGGAACATTGAGTAGTCCCAAGGTACAAGGATTGATTGATTGATATCTTAAACCGAGGTCCCATCTGCCTGTCCAGGTGGATGTTAAAGATCCCATGTCACTACTTGAAAAGAAGGGAGTTTGTCCTATATCTTTGTCAACAATCTCCCAAATAAATGTGATCATTCACTTCATGGCTGTTTGTGGGACATTGCTGTGTGCAAGTTGGCTGCCATGTTTGCCTACAAATCCATAGTCACCAACGTTTTCAATGAATCCTGTGAAGCACTATGATATTTTGATGACAAGGTGCTACATCAAATGCAAGGATTATTGTTATCTTATTATCACTATTAATATCATTTCTGTATCCCTCAATTCTTCGATGGATCAGGAAATGCAAGCTCCTCTCATTTCAGAGGCTAGCAACCAGCAGTAAATATGACATCCAACTGATCAAAAGAAGTACGAGAAAAACTTATTAGCTGATGTTTTGGCCTACACCGAAAGATATATTTAGCGCAAACTTCAATCTGCATCCATTGCTTACTCAGTAAAACGGGCAAGTGTTTGTTGATGGGTAATGTCTACAACATTGAAGAGGGTTTACCAGAATCAGTATTTGATCAATTTTATCTCAAAGTGACATTTAAAGAACTTGTTTATTTATTAACTAAAAACATTCCCAATTACCAAACCACATATATTGTGAGTAACGGGAGGTGGGGTGGTGGTGGGGGGGGAAGCTTGAGAGAAATCATTTATTCGTATTACCTGATACACTCTTCATTGGAGGACATTTGCAAGTCTTCGGATTCCAACATGAGTTTTATCTTCAAATATGGAACTACCTTATTCCTCCTCCTTGGGTACTTGCAAGCAAATTCCTGTAAGTAATCATCCTTGGCAGAGGTGAAGCTTTTTACTGGTTTCAGGGAAAAGGCGAAGGGAATGGGGTGATGATAGATGATTTTGGCTTGAGAGGTAGCAATATGTATCAACAATAACAACTTGCATTTACATAGCCCCTGTTCGCAGGATAGCCTTCCGAAGGGCTGAATGGCCTCCTTCTTGTGCTGTGAATGCTAACGAGACACAACAACGAAATTACATTTGTGCAGTGCCTTTCACGTCGGGAGGACATCGCAAGGCGTTGGACAGTCTGTGTTTAGGACCCGAGCTGAGGTTCAGGATCGAGGAAGGTGGAGGGCAGGAGGGGGAAGGAGGGTGATCACCTCTTTGAGACATCTCGAAGTGATAAGGCACTATATCAAATTCAAGGATTATTATTATTTTATTATTATTACTGTGCGCAAATTGGCTGCTGTGTTTGTCTGCAAAAACACCCAGTCACACACTACCCTTGCTTTATTCGGATCTTCAAGGCACTATATCAAATGGAAGAATTTCAGTGCCTTGGGACGTCCTCCTGACGTGAAAGGCACTATATAAATGCAATTTGTAGTTATTATGAGGTGCTATCTCCAATGCTAGTATTATTAGTTGTAAAAGTAAGGAACCCGGTTGTTAGTCAATTGGCAGGGGATAATAATCCCATAGATAGATAGATAGATAGATAGATAGATAGATAGATAGATAGATAGATAGATAGATAGATAGATAGATAGATAGATAGATAGATAGATAGATAGATAGATAGATAGATAGATAGATAGATAGATAGATAGGTCACTCAATCCAAGAGTGTTTGTGGGACACTGCTGTGCGCAATTGGCTGCCGCCTTTCTCCCACAAAATATACAGTCAATTTACTTCACACTATATTCTGTGAAGCACTTTGACACATCTAGAAGATATGATAAGGTACTATATCAAATGCAAAGATTATTAATACTATAGATATATTGTATGTAAATTTGAGATAACTTAAGTTATCTTGAGATAACTCTCTCTCTGTGATGTACATTATTCTTACATCGTTTTTTAGTGTTTTTGCAGAAACCATCTGCCAACATGTTTCTCAATCGGATTCGGCGAGCCAGTGGTTTTGGGGAAGAGCTGACGAGAAGCGACAACCTGGAAAGAGAGTGCATAGAAGAATTGTGTGACAAAGAGGAAGCCTATGAAATATTTGAAAATGGGGAAAAAACTGTAAGAATTGTATTTAAAAGCTTTAGCCAATCTTTTGAGCCATGAAAGAACTTATACTATATATATTGATTTTCTAAAAACATTCAGAATGCAATTTACCGTGTGGGTTTGTAATAAAAGTAAATTTAGAAAAATCATATTAATGGGAGGTCGTCTCAAAGCACTTCATAGGATATACTGTAAGGTGCAGTGACTGTTTTATAGATGAATGTGGTTATTGGGAAAACATTTATATCTTTTTATATATTTTTTAATATTTGTTTTCTGGGGTTAATAATCTCTTCAAAATAATAATGATAATAATGTTTTCACTCAATCCACGACTGTGTGGGACGCTGCTGTACTTGATTGGCTGCTGCGTTTCGCCCACAAAATATACAGTCAATCCACTTTACAGTATATTCTGTGAATCGCTCTGAGGGCGTCTCAAAGACATGATAAGGCGCTGTATCATATTCAAGGATTATTATTATTATTATATACAGCTTTATGCTGTGCAGATAAATAGCAAGGATCTTTATTTCAATGATTTCTCCCATGAATGAGCACTAACTCTGGGAAGGCAGGAAGCAGTGACCAATTTCATGAAGTGTCACATGATTACAAGAATGGTTTGGATGAAAAAGGCCCTTCGGCCCATTCAATCTCACCCTTCCAGAGTACGCACACTACTGCCTTTGCATCACAGCATCAAGCTGTTTTTAAACGAGTCCTCAACCACCCTTCCTGGCAACCTGACCTAAGAGTTGGTTACCTTATGGGTTAGGAAATACATCCTGGTGTCTGTCTTGAAATTGCCCTTTGCAGTTCTAACCCAAAGTCTTCTTACTACTGCCTTGCCTTGGTGTCTCTCAAGTTATTGTTCTGGATTTATTTCTTCAATCACATTTAACATTTTATACTCCTCAATAAGGATTAAAAACACCAAATACGAATCTTTTTTTTTAAACTTCTCAAGATTAGTAAATGCTAATAAGGGGACTTGATTATATTTGACATGTTTGAACCTACATTTCTGGCTAGGATCTCCTGATATTAAAGATCCTTAAACTTTCTTTTGTTTCCTTCCAGAACGAGTTCTGGAAGACCTATGAAGGTATGTTTATTTTCATGTTCTAGTATGTTACGTAAAATTTGAAATCGGATATTATCGATATAAAAATTAGCCATGTTGCGCCTGCAATAATCCTATTCCGAAATAATTGTAAAACACGGTATCAGGTAAGAACTGGTTAAGCGAAAGTCCCAAGTAACAGATTTGCAAGGATCGAAAATAGAGATTTTGATGGGAAACCCAATCATTAACCTTCCAGTGAAAGAACTAAACTTTTTCCTCTGGGGTTTATCCTGTTATGAATAAGCCTGTTCAATTAGACAACAACAACTTGCATTTATAGAGCGCCCTTCACCTGGAATCGTGTCTCTGAGCATGGATGTGAAAGATCCCAGAACAGTACTCGACAAATAAAAGGAGTTTCTCCCATTGTCTTGGCCATCGGCACCTCCCCACACCCATAAAATTGGTCATTTACTTAACAGATATATGTGGGATATTGCTGTATGCAAATTGGCTGCCATATTCCCTACAAAAATGTAGCTTATGCACTTTACAGTGATACATTTCGAGACCCTCCTGACATGAAAGACACTCTTATTAAATGCAAGGATTATTTTTATTACTAAGCTCACGAACAGGGGTGCAAGTGTTATGGTGAAATTATGTGCGAAGATTACAGGGAACTTACGGCACGGAAACAGGACACTCGGTCGTGCTGGTGTTTATATTCCACAGGGATCAAGTGAAGTCTTTTATGGCATGAATAATATTTTGAAGATATGAATTATATCTTCATGTTAAATGATTATCTGCAGCAAAGTCCTTCCTCAGTACCTGCATTAATATGAATTAATATGAATGTCTTTATACAGGGAGGCGATTTCACCCACCTGCCCCCTTCAGTCTCCCACCTCCAAGTAAGTTTTCATTATGATTTACTAATCAATTGCATTGCATTTCGGATACAACAAATTATTAATTTTTTAAAAAATATATTTATAATTGTGATAATTTAGCTACCAAATTAAGACTGAAGTAAAAGATTTTCCACAATTCTGCACAATATAACATTTTAAGACAAAGTGGTCTTACCTGCTATAACGAGCTGGAGTTTCCAGCTGCATTAATAGATAATAATAATAATAATAACCATCGCGTTTGATATAGTGCCTTATCACGTCTCTAAGACGTCTCAAAGATAGTTCTTTTCTCTTCCTTTTTTTTGCCACAGCATTGGCCCCGATCGACAAACGAACACAGGAAAGGTCGATTCAGGATATGATTAGTATGGGAAGGCAAATCATTGAAAAGAAAAAGGAAATGATTCAACTTAAACAGAGGATAATTGAACTGAAAGAGAGCTCCACTGAGCTGAAAAACAACTTGCTCCATGAAATACGAGAAAATATCTTGCAAAATACTTGCTGCCTCTCAACTATTTACCAGCTGCTGAATTAAAATGGAAATCATTCATGGATGTTCTGATTTTTCAACATGGTAGCAAATGCTCTTTTAAATTTTTTTTCCCCCCAGATCCAATCAATTTCTCTTCCCAGTAGTCCTTTCGCCTCCTGAGTCAGAAGGTTATGGGTTCGAGGCTCTTAAATTGTGACTTTGAGCTCACAGTCTAAACTGTCAAACCAAAGTCCTGTCTACTTGTTCAGGCAGACGTTAAAAGATCCCATGGCATGACTCGAAAACTGGTAGAAAACCTTTTGCGCGAAAGAAAAGTTGCAAAAATAAATCACACGTTTTCATTCACACATATTTGTAATTCTTTCAAAGTGCTGTGGGAAATGCCACAGAAGTTATCAATATTAACGTATCAAGATTCTGTGAAACAAGCTCTCACAAAATCTCTCTTTCTCTGCCAACTCCTTCAACGGGTCACCAAGATTATCCACTGAATACTCAGTATACCGACGGTGTAATGAATAGAGTTCCAGTTATGAGCCAGTGGCTCACTTGTTCGAATCCTCGCTTTTTGCTGAGTTTGCTGGGCTCAGTTGGGGCTTCAATAGATCAGATTGGCTCATTGCATTGCTGTGCGCTACTTGGCTGCCGCGCTTGCCTACAAAATACAGTCACTGCATCGTAAGTATATCCTGTGAAGCACTTTGAGACATTCTCCCAAGCAGCTATGGATTATTAGTACAATACAGTAATAGTAGTCATCAGTGAAGTGTCCTCCACCAGAGGGTGCTCCCTGTAAGGCAAGTGAGCACGAGTCTAATAAGATCAATTCTTGCATTTGGTGTAGCATTTTACATTAATCCTTGGTTTCCATATCGTGCATATCGTGAAGTCAAACACTTGTGTAGTTGTGACTGTGTTTGCAGGCTAGGTGTGCACACAGCAGAGATCCCAAAGTTAAATAATAATCCTTGCAATTTGATATAGCGCCTTATCATGTCGTCGTGACGTCTCAAAGCGCTTCACAGAATATACCGTAAAGTGAATTGACTGTATATTTTGTGAGCAACACAGCAGCCAATTGAGCATAGATATGTTGTGTATTATTTCATATATATTATAAAAACATATGAAATATATATTCATACTTCAAAGGCCTTGCTTTTGATCTGCCCACCCACCTACCTGCGCAATTCACTGCCGTGTTTCGCTCACAAAGAACACAATCAATTCACTTTGCAGTATATCCTGTGGAGTGTATTCTAACGCCTCAACGTGATTATGATAAGGCGCTATATCAAATGCTAGGATTATTATTGTCCGGCTGCCTGTCTGTCTGCCTGGAGAGAGGGAGAGGAAAATAATACTCTTGTGTTTCCCATTGCCCTGGGAGAGGGAGGGTGGTGGGGAGAGGAGTGGGAAGTGGAGATTGGGGAGGGTGGGGGAGTGCGTGGGGAGGGAAGGGTGAGGGTGGGGAGTGGGTGAGAAGGGGAGGGTGGGGGAGTGGGTGTGGAGGGTGAGGGTGTGGAGGGTGAGGGGGGGAGTGGGTGTGGAGGGTGAGGGGGGGAGTGGGTGTGGAGGGTGAGTGGGTGTGGAGGGTGAGGGGGGGAGTGGGTGTGGAGGGTGAGTGGGTGTGGAGAGTGAGGGAGTGGGTGTGGAGGGTGAGGGTGGGGGAGTGGGTGTGGAGGGTGAGGAGGGGTGTGGAGGGTGAGGGAGTGGGTGTGGAGGGTGAGGGGGGGAGTGGGTGTGGAGGGTGAGGGGGGAGTGGGTGTGGAGGGTGAGGGGGGGAGTGGGTGTGGAGGGTGAGGGGGGGAGTGGGTGTGGAGGGTGAGGAGGGGTGTGGAGGGTGAGGGAGTGGGTGTGGAGGGTGAGGGGGGGGGAGTGGGTGTGGAGGGTGAGGAGGGGTGTGGAGGGAGTGGGTGTGGAGGGTGAGGGGGGGAGTGGGTGTGGAGGGTGGGGGAGTGGGTGTGGAGGGTGAGGAGGGGTGTGGAGGGTGAGGGAGTGGGTGTGGAGGGTGAGGGGGGGAGTGGGTGTGGAGGGTGAGGGGGGGAGTGGGTGTGGAGGGTGAGGGGGGGGAGTGGGAGGAAGGGGAGTGGGTGTGGAGGGTGAGGGAGTGGGTGTGGAGGGTGAGGGGGGGAGTGGGTGGAAGGGGGAGTGGGTGTGGAGGGTGAGGGGGGAGTGGGTGTGGAGGGTGAGGGGGGAGTGGGTGTGGAGGGTGAGGGGGGGAGTGGGAGGAAGGGGGAGTGGGTGTGGAGGGTGAGGGAGTGGGTGTGGAGGGTGAGGGGGGGAGTGGGTGGAAGGGGGAGTGGGTGTGGAGGGTGAGGGGGGAGTGGGTGGAAGGGGGAGTGGGTGTGGAGGGTGAGGGGGGGAGTGGGTGTGGAGGGTGAGGGGGGGAGTGGGTGTGGAGGGTGAGGGGGGGAGTGGGTGTGGAGGGTGAGGGGGGGGAGTGGGTGTGGAGGGTGAGGGGGGGAGTGGGTGTGGAGGGTGAGGGAGTGGGTGTGGAGGGTGAGGGGGGGAGTGGGTGTGGAGGGTGAGGGGGGAGTGGGTGTGGAGGGTGAGGGTGGGAGGGGGGGAGGGGTGTGGGGAGACATGTTGCTGTGGGCTCTCTCCTTCCCACAATGCCGAGCGGCGGAAAGCCAAGATGGCGGCGGCCGCGGTGTCAGTGCTCTGAGCGGATCCCCTGAGGCCGCGGGACAGTCGAGTCGGTCGCTTCTCCCTCGCGGAGGCCGCGGCCCTGACAAATAAACGGCTCCCCCCCACCCCCCCCAAAGCTCCGGACATTTTGCGCCCCGTTCGGGGAGGGGGGGAGGAGGAGGTCAGTGAGGAACCGCGGAGGGTCGCGCATGCGCACGTCGCTTCCGGCGGCGGAGGGGCGGGGCTTTGGGCGGTGACGTCACCGGGACCCTCCCCCCCCCCCATCACTCAGTGGCCAAAAGGTACAATAATGGTATTTTTTGGGGTCAATTTGGGAAACCCATCACCATGTTTTAAGGGTATAATGATGGTGATGATGATGGTGGTGGTGGTGATGATGACAGTGATGACGAGGATGATGACGGTGATGTTGATGATGGCGATGGTGATGATGAACATGATGGTGATCGTCATCGTCATCATCATCACCATCACCATCCTGGCCTTTGATACCGCGCCTCGTCGCCTTTTGCTGTTAACCTATTGTTTCTGTTCCAGTCTGACGAGTTGCGGCCGCAATGGAGGCCTCGCGGAAGGAGCAATTGATGTCCGCCGCACGGAAAACGCTGAGGATAAAGAACAGGAAGGGTCTGTCCGCACCGTGCTGTCTGAGCCTCGGTGCCGAGATCCTAGCAGTAGATGCCGGGTTAAAGCCAGCCTTCCTGTTTGATTACAGTCGAGCAGGAGCCGAGCAGCTCCAGGATTATATTCAGGAGATACAAAAGACTGGGCTGATCTACCAGCGTTTACACATCCTCAGCCTCGGGGATAATGTTCTGATACTAAACTTGAGCAAAACTATCAGACACTTAGAGAAGTCGCTCCAGGGAAACTGGGTTCCACTCATTGACGTATCTGCCTGTAGAGGGGTGCCAACACTGGCTGATACAAGTGTCATCGAACAAGTGAAAACTCAGATTGAGTTTATTTTAGCCCATTTGAAATCTCTGGCAGTCGACAGAGGGACGTGCGATTCAAAGTCCGTCACTACCAGCGAAATGTTCTCATCGGAGTGGAACCTGTGTACGGTGTTTGGATTTCTCCTTGGCTTCCCAGCTTCATACTGGTTTGACTTCGCTGAGAGTTTTGAGAACTGTCTGAGTATGATTGAACTGCGAGTGTTCTCTGTTTCTGCCGTTTGTTCTAGAATCAGCAAAGATCTCAAACACCGAATGTATTCCTTCAGCGTCCCAGAAACTATCTACTTGGATCTGCAGCACTGCGTGGAGACTTGGAAGAAAGATCTACAGTTCAACTTTAACAAGCAATCGGTTTTCTCAGAGCTCAGTATTTCCACAGAGATAGTCTCTCTACCCGCAGTTGCACTATAAACACAGTCCAACTCCATTTTAGTGTATAATCCATCAGTGTAACATGCTTCAGTGAGGCTTGAGTGGAGAGGAACTGTGGCCAAATGGTGTAAGCAGTTCACAGCTTGGCAGGTAACTTTGTCAAATCATTGGTACAGATTACTACAGAAATATTCTGAGCACGATCCAAAGTCCACCTTGTTATTTTCCCTTTGCCTGTTTTCGCTGAAACAATGTTATTTATCCTGTGTAATAAAGTAACCGAACATGACTTACCACCCAGAAATATTAATTGTTTTATTGATATTTCTAACACTTGATTTAAAAAAAAATACAAAAATTCAGTTGCCGCATTCGTTTTCCATAGCTCAATATAACACATCACTTTTATCTTAAAAAAGTCAAAACTCCATTAAAAAAACTATTACAAAAATATCTCCCCTTATCCCAAAAGTTTTCTCTGATCCAGAATTGAAGCTTCATTTATTGTATGTAGACAAACTTAACCTGAACAAGGTAAACAAGGTAAACACCTGATAATATATATTTTCATCCAAAGGTTTGATTGCAAAAGACTTTGTACCTCATCATAAAATAGTTGTGTATCTGTAACATGTTTAAGAAAACATAATGCCTCCCAACAATGTTCAGCTGCCAAGGTTCAGCCAATTAATTGACCGTAATTCATGCGGAAATCCGCATAGCTTTTTGGAGTACCAGGGATCTACTAACCCTCTAACACATCTAAAAGCACCAGAGAACATCAGATAATGTGTGCCAAAGCCTGAAATTCAACCCAGTCTTAGCCCGAAATCTCTTGCAGCCACTCAGCAGAGCTTTGGGTACCTGCAGAATGTCAACCGGGGCTATTGGATTTGGGAAATACAAAACATGTTTCCCCGCTTCTCCTCATAACTGCTGAAAGTGACAGTGTTTCATCTCCTGCAGTATAAAGTGGGTTTTCGTCAGATCAGCATCCTTCCTCTGTTGTTCTGCACCTTGTCTAATCCTATTCCGGCTGTAGGCCTTAGCAAATGCTACCTGATAGAAAACATGTTTCTGAAGCACATTCGGTGCTAACGGTCTTAAGTATGGGTTTGGCTGGTGACCAAATGCATTTCATTCCAGTTCCTTAGGAAAGGAGAATGTCCAGATCTGCATAAATGACAGCAAAAAATACTGCCACCATAGTCAGCATCAGGAGAGATATCCATCGGCAGCATCGCCTCTAAAAGGAGAATAAATAATAATAATTTATACAAGCCTTTGAAAATCTACCCAGGTCCACAAATGTGATGCCTCTGCTACTTACTGGAGATTGAGCTCCAGTTGTCTTCGTAAATGATCGTTAACCACTTAATATTACAATGATTTAGGTCCTTGTCTTAGCCTGTGAGAGCATTTTGCTTTAAAGGCAGCTCAGAATTGTGGAAAATCACTAAATTCAGTCTTAGTTGCGAAGTAGGTTTTTCACAGTTCTCAAAAGACACACTTTCCTGCAGACTAAGACCAGGCAGAATTTGGGCCCCTTTGCAGTATAATTATTAATAAACCTGGTCATTGTCTACAGTTTCAAAGAAATCACCTGATTCATTAAAAATAATTAAATTATTTGATGACGAAATGGATTATTGGCACAGGTAAATCCACGTAAACAAAGATTATTATTGGCTTGTGTTAGGCTTCAGGCCATGAGTTGAAACCTAGGTAAATTGTTGCATGGAAAATGATAATAATAATCCTTGCATTTGATATAGTGCCTTATCACGTATTATTCATAGAATATACTGCAAAGTGAATTGACTGTATATTTTGTGGGTGAAAGTTGCGCAAAGTAGTACCCCACAAACAGTCGTGGATTGAGTGACCAAATTATTATTTTTTGAAGGGATTATTACCTCCCGGAATATGATCTGCTAATCGACTAACAACGGGGTTCCTGCTAGGTAAACAGAGGCGTGTGGAGTAACAAAACTTGCCTAAGGTTTTGCCCTGCCCGGGAATCGAACCCGAGTCCTCTCGCTTGCGAGGCGAGCGCGCTAACCAATACGCTACAGGACTCCACATTTACTGGATAACCTTTAGGCAGTGGGATTTGCTTGGCCCAGTTCTCACCTTTGGTTGTGGCTGTTCTCAGAACCTCACCTTGGCAGATTTCTTCTGAAGCCTCTTTAACTCTTCTCGCGGCTGACGGGGCATCTTTGCACATCGACGGTGCTCATCCTGCAAGACCCTCAGTTCTAATTGATGTTCGGTACACTGAAGGGTTAACCAAGATAAGAGGCAATTGAATTGCACGTCGAGCGAGAAAACTCAGGAATATAAGAATTGCTAGACGATAAAAGACCAAAGTCCATCCAGTTCACCTTTCCCCAATCCTAGTAACCACACTCTACATTAATGGATGTTGATAGCAATGAATTCTGTATAAATTAATCTTATCATCACAGTGGAAAGTTTTGGGAACCTTAGATCCAGAGTTGCCTAGTTTTTCCAAACATACTACACTTACTTTATATGTCACATCACAAATTACTCACGTACTGTATCCCAAAATATTATTTTCTGAAAGAAATCTACCTAATCCTAATTTTCATTTGAATGAATTGACACCATCTGCTCCCACCGTCTCCACATTTATCACTCTCTCACTGAAATAGTGTTTCCGCAAATTGTTTGTTACGAGGGTCCTTGACCAAGACTATCCCTTGGATATAAACTGTTGCAAAGAATTATGAGCAGCATAATTATCCTTGCACTTTGAGTCTTTAATATTGAATTGACACAGGTCATTTCTGTAAGTGTAGTGGCTGTTGATTTGTAGGCGGGCAGGCAGGCATTTGCGCAAGACAATGTCCTACAAACAGCCATGGAGTACGATCAATTTTATTGGGGGGACACTGGGAGAAACTCCCTTCACTTTTCGAATAGCGCCATGGAATCTTTAACGTCCGCTGAGCAGCAGACAGGACCTTGGTTTAACGTCTCATCTGAACGACGGCACCTCTGACAATTTAGCGACCAGCCTGGAATGGCACCAAATCTATTTTCTGCAGGTTTTTGTTTTTCTTTTCGGTTCGTACTTTTGTATTGACGGACAGAATGCGGTTTGGGATAATCGGAAAACACGATCCCCGTCAAACATTGCCACGATCGGAATGGCACACGTTTCGTCCCACCTGCTTCTCCTTGCTACGGAGCAAGTCCGTTTGCCTTTGCAACTGATCCACCAAGTCTCTGATCGCCTGTTGAAGTTCCTGTTGTTGTTGCTGGTGGAGTGGGGAGCTGACCACATCTGGAACAAATCGAAGCCCTCTCGTTATTGACGTGTTGAAAAAAAAAAAAACTCGAAACCCGCACAGTGCTATTATCCAGCGTGATGGGAAGAGGTCGCAAACTTACCCTGTAGCTCACAGATTGTAGACTCCATTGCCAGCCTCTGTTCCTCAGTCCTTTGGAGGTGGACTGAAGGGAAACAAAACAACACGAAAATAATAGAGTTATCTCCTTGAGCAAGTGGTTCGCAAGATCGTTTGGATGAAGAAGGCCCTTCGGTCCATCTGATCCCATGCTGCCGTCCTCCCACATCAAGTAGTTTTATAAATAAGTCCCAGTGTCCAGGTCGTTAATTAACGTCTGGTTAAGGAAAAACTTCCTGGTGTCTGTCCTAAAATTTCACCCTTTGCCACTCTTTCTCTCTTCCACCTTCCGACTACACTAGTGGTGATTGGCACCTGCAACCCACTGGAGCTCCCCGCCATGTGAAACCCCATTGTAATCACCTCCTCACCATCCTAAGCTGCCAGGGGGAGCGCTTGGCTCTTGGCGTGATGGACAATTGGCAGGTATTCCAGGCCCACGCCTGCTGTCTTCCAGCCAATAACTGTGCCATTGGGGTGGGACATCTGCCCACAACGTTCGGTTGCTTGGGGACCTGCTGGCAACACAGGTAGGGGCACCGGAATCGAGCTTCCCCTGAGGGGAAAATGGTGGCCCTGCCTGGCTGCGCTGTTGAGGGACTTACCTTCAATAGTCATGAGTTGCTCCTGTTTCATGTCATTCTGTTCCTGTAACACGCTAACCTGCTCTTGGAATTCCAGCTTCTCGTTCTCTGCGACTTTCAACTTCTCCTGTAAACTTTCCATCGTCAAGACCCGGCCTTCTGCTCCCTACATGGTGGGGGGGTGGAGGAGGGGGGGGGGGAGGGGGAGAGAGGGAAATGCAGAGAGCAAGATAAAGACCGAGAAAGGTGGAGAAAATGGAAACGTTTTGCAAGAAAGCGGACGGGTGGGACAAAATGACTGTATTTAGATTTAGTCCATGTTTTTCTTGCGTTAAAGTGTCTTTGCTTGATGACGTCGCAGCGTTAGGTTACCTGCAGTCTGCTCTGAAGGTTGTGCAGTTGATCCACGGTCTCTGAATGTCTGGCTGTCAGTTCAACATTGTCTGCCATTGCCATATTGTACGACTGTCTCCAGTGAGCACAATCTTGCTCCGCCGCACTGAGCGATCTCTGCCAACACAAGCACGCACAGTAATTGGGTTCGTCAGCCAGAACTTCAACAACAACCTTGGAGTTATCCCTGTGGGGGTGGTGGGTGGTATTGTGAGAATGTACACCCTATGTGAAAGGTGTTATATCAATGCAATTTGTTGCTGTTGGTTTCTTACCCCTTCGGTTTGAAGATCCTCACGCACGCTTTCAATGCCCTGGCCCCTCCCTACCTCTCCGACCTGCTTACTCCCCAACCCACCACCGCGTTGCCTCCGCTCGACTGGCTCTGGCCTCCTGCATGTCCCTCGTGCCCCCTCCGTTCCACCGTCGGTGGCCATGCTTTCACCAACTCCAACCCTAATTGCTCTTCCTCTATCCCCCCGCTTTGCCCCTTCCTTCCCCTTCTTCACTCGTTCCTGAAGACTTTCCTCTTCGACCGTGCCTACAGTCACCTCCCCCCAGCTCGGTGTCGTGTTCCGCCACTGTCAAGCGCTCTGGGGAGGGCAGTTGGGGGAGGGTGGGGGCAAGGCACTACCTTGGCGTGAGGGGCGCTGTATAAATGCAAGTTGTTGTTGTTATCCTTGAGCACAGGAAAGTTCCCCTCTCTCCCTCCTATTGCTAGCTGAGGCTGGTGGTGTCCTCACCTGGACGCTGGCCAATGATTGTTCAGCGGCGATTCTTTGCTCAATTGCTTTCCGGAGCGACTCCTTGGCAACCAGCTGGTACTTGAGCTTTTGCTCTTCCATCTCAACCACGCATCTCTTCGCACCGTCTCGGGAGTAATTCTGTTCAACGCACAACAGGAGTTCCTCAATTGCCCGAGCTTCGAACACAGCCAAAGCCCTACAGCTGTGCAGACTTACGCAAATAACTCTGGAGACGCATTTTCACGCTCAACATATTGAACAACGCTCGAGCCTGGAAACGCGACACTTTCCCACTTCTGCGGCGTCAAGCGCTCTGAATTCAGGCGCAGCGCGGCTTGATATACACCGAAGCCACCTCTTCCCCCACCACACAGCAGTCGTCGAGGACACCAGCAGGATACACAGTCGCCGCACTTCGCAGTAGTAGCCTTTGAACCACTTTACGCAACCCCTCAACGCTGCGTCAAGTGCAAAGGATTGGCAAAAGGACCAGAGGGGGAGACGAGGAGGATTTTTTTTTCTTTTACGCGGCGAGTTGTTACGATCTGGAATGCGCTGCCTGAAAGGGCGGGTGGAAGCAGATGCAATAACAACTTGCAAAAGGGAATTGGATATTTACTTGAAAAGAAAAAAAAAGTTTGCAGGGCTGTGGGGAAAGAGCGGGGAGTGGGACTTGCGGGTAGCTCTTCCAAAGAGCCAGCACAGGCACGATGGGCTTAATGGTCCTCTTCTGTGCTGTAAGATTCTATGATTATTATTGTGACCGTTACCTGAGTGCAGGCGTACAGCTGCTGCTCCAGGGCTTGGAGTTTACTCTGTGTCACGTCATCATCAAACTGGATCTAAAGTGATCAGAAATATAAAGGCTTAACTCGTGCTGCAGACCTGCAAACTACTGACTGCGCCTGTGAGGGGTTGCCTGCAGATCTGGGATACAACACTCCCACAGACACAGCCATTTCCATTTCCGTTCAGTAATTGCAGACAGAAAAGAATATGGAGAAAAGAGCAAGGCAATCTAATTAAAGTATAAAACATATGTGTACATTACAGGGAGACCAAAAAGTCCTGATAGCTACCCTAATATCTAAAAAAANTCATAATTTCTTTTAAGACTTATTAGACATTGTTATGGTATCACAACTTTTTGATTCCCCCTCTATATACATATATAATATTTAGATAATGTACACAAAAGTACTTTATATTAAAACTCCATGATTGCACAGTCAACAGTCACACGTTTCTTATTAAGAAAACTGCTAAGGAATACCGCAAACTAGAATACCCGTCGTGGTCGCTTCAAACCAAGGTGCACAACGAGGGATGTAAGTGAGCGCACGTATGAAAGGTTTGGAATTTGGTCGACTAAAAATAAATAGCTGCAGACCTGTCTGTGTCGCGTCACCAGTCTCATACCTTCCACGATTTCTCCGATGCCTGTAAGACCGTGGACAGGAGCTGTTGGAGAAATCTGAGTTTCTGTTTCAGCTGCAACTCCCGATGCAAGGCTTCCTGTAACAGAGGGAAATGGTCGAGGCTTTACCCAATTACTCCGTGCAGTGGAACAACAACAACAACAAGTTGCATTTACACAGCGCCTTTCATGTTAGGAGGACGTCCCAAGGTGCTGGACAGTCAAGGGTTTGCACCAGAGCTGAGGGTTGGAATAAAAATATAAAGCCCACAAAATATATATTCGCTTTATGTGATAAGGCACTATATCAAATGTAAGGATTATTATTATTATTATTATTATTAGGATGACCGAAAGCACGGTCAAAGAGGAAGGTCTTGAGATGGGCCTTGAAGAAGGCAAGGGAGGGGGCGAGGCGAAGAGATTCTGGGATGTAATTACGGAGGGTGTGGCCACAAAGGCTGAACGTAAGCTTCCATTGGCGAGCACGTCACCTTGGAACGTCAAAGTAAAGGATTCTTATTCTTACCTTTAGGTATTCAGAGAGCTGTTGAATCTCCTGCAAGAGAGAAAATGACAAGTGATTCGCATTTAGGTGCTGGTAAAAAAAAACAATCTTAATGGAGATGTGTTTAAATGTCTGTCCACGTCACTGATAACTCCTTCCCCCCCTCCTTGAAGGTGTTAGTAATAGGAGCCAAGGAAGAATTAATGGGAACGTTGTAGGAACGCACACAATCACAACACATCACGTGGCAGACAGATGTTTCTATTTACCTTGTCTAGAATGGTTACACCACATCTGTAAGGAAAATAGGCACATTTCAGAGACGTGTAAAGTTAACCGAATAAACATAGATAGATAATGCCTACAAAATACACAGTCACTCCTTTACGGTAAATTCTGTGAAGCGCTTTGAGATGCGAGAGGTGCTACATCAAATAATAAGAATAATGATCCTTGCATTTGATATAGCGCCTTATCGCGTCTTCGAGGCTTCTCAAGGCTCTTCACAGGTTATAGTGTTAAGTGAATTGACTTGTATATAGTGTAAAGTGAATTGTATATTTTTGTGGGCGAAATGTGGAGGCTAATTGCGCACAGCAGTGCACCATAAATAATATTATTATTATCAAAGACAAGAATCACAGCTCTGGAGTTGAGAGATCCATACGTACTCTGTCTGCTGGCTTGCTTCCTTGCTCGTTGGCCGATTAATTTCAACTCCCACATCTGAAGGTACTTCTGTCGCTGCTCCCAAAACAAAGCTCCAGTTACACACTGATCTCTACCTTTGCCGTGACTCAGTGAGCTCCCCGTATACAGATCCACGCTCCTGCCCCGCGCATCTAACAGTGAACACGCTTTACTAAACTTATCAACTGTCCCTCCATCTGTTTTCAGATGTTCTCAGTAAAATTCATATAATCCATCTCTAACTGAACGGAACCGCTCTCACCTTTACCGCTGTCAGATGTCTTCAGGTTGACTGTGTTCTTCTGCGGTGGTGCATCGGAAGGGAAGGCCCATGTCACCTTTTGTCCCCAGTGAAACGATGTGTGGCTGAACAGGCTCCCGTTCTGCAACGACGTCTGTCAACAGGGAAATAGAGCCCACGTCAGAAAATCGGAAAACATTAGCAGTCAATTACCTCATCAGATAAGACCTGGATTGAGCAACTTTGTTTCCCGGGCAGGGCAAAACCTTAGGCAAGTTTCCTGACTCCACATGCCTCTGTTTACCTAGCGGTCAGTAGGAACCCGGTCATTAGTCGATTGGCCGATCGCTTTTACGGGGGGTAATAACCCCTTCAAAAATAATAATTTGGTGACTCGATCCACGACTGTTTGTGGGACGCTGCTGTACGTTTCGACCACAAAATACACAGTCAATCCACTTTACAGTATATTGTGTGAAGCGCTTTGAGGCGTCTCATTGGCGATGCAATAAGGTGCTGTGTCAAATGCAAGGATTATTATTATTTAGAAGGAGGCGAGGATTGAACAGTGAAGGTATCAGAATGTTGATGAACGTTCTCCAGTTTGGGCTTGGATACCTTTGGGGTTTATGGAGTCATTGTATAAATCTTCTGTCATAAGCAAGAAGAGGAACATTTCGATGGTCTCTGGTTTCTTGCCTTCAACTGTCCTCAACTGTGAACGTTTCAAATTTCCACAAAAAAATATTTTCAATGATATCAGTAAGGTACTCTCAGGGCAGAACTTGGCTTATCACAGATGCTTTCTCGAACATGTACCAACACTACTTGCTAATGGGAAGATTGTTGTTCGATGCAGCTTTGTAGTGAATTAGTCATTTTTTGTTTTGCTCTCAGGAAGTGACTTCTCGGTTCATAATGTTGTTTGATAAGAATCTGTAGCCAGGCAATAACTGAACCGTGAATAGTCCAATTAAATTACTCTGCTTCCTGTGTAACTTGCATTTTTTCCCCTGATCTTAAGGGGTTACATGTATTGTGATTCTTTCCAATGATCAGAGGGCAGGCTTGCTATATGATGTGTTACAATGTGCTGTGTTATATAATAACTATATTTCTATTATATTATTATATTATTACATTATATTATCTTTTATTGTGGCGCCTATAAATTCTCAAAGCCAACTGTGGTGGCTGTAATATTTTGTGGGTACAAACAGTAGCCAATTTACGCACAGCAATGTCCCGCAAACAGCCATGAAGCCAATTTTACCTGGAGGATTTGTTTGCCAGGACATTGGGAGAAACTCCCTTCTCTTTTTGAATAGTACCATGGGATTTTTGACGTGCACCTGACCAGGCAGACGGGACCTTGGTTCAGCATCTCATTCAAAGGTCTAACAAAGGTCTACCTCCCCAGGTGCTTTGATTTAGTGCCAATCTAGTCTTTGAGCTCAAAGACGTCGGACTTGAACCCGCAACCCTGACGCAAGAGTGCTACCGACTGAGCCAGAAGCCATTACTCTTGAAGCTGTGATACTTCCTGTCTCTCTCTGTCTCTTCTTTCTCTCTCGAACACACTTTCCCTGACAACAATGGCAAACGTAGGCTGAGATGCATTCTGAGAATCCAGTCCTTATTGGTCTGAAGATCAACAAACTGCTGAAATGTAGAACTCGACTGAAGGCCACAAAGATAGATGTTGTGGTGAACATCAACGGCACTTTGCTGCAGCAGGGAGTTTGTGGTTAAGGCAGCAGTACTGGCGAACGACACAGAGAGACGTCCGGTGTAGACGTCTAACCCATACCATGCCTGACAAAGAGCAATAAAACACACACTTATCTCTACCCCCCCCCCAGCGCTAATACTGATCTCACGATTTGAGATGAACACAAACTTCATACCAAACAAAGGCAGCAGGTGGAACAGGTTAACTCAATGTTGTAATGGGAAGAAAATAATAATAGATAAAAATAGCCCTAGGATTTGATACGGCGCCTTATCACGTCTTCGAGACGTCTCAAAGCGCTTCACAGGATATAGTGTAAAGTGGAGTGACTGTGTATTTTGTGGGCGCAACGCGGCAGCCAATTGCGCACAGCGGCGTCCCCAAAAACAGTCGTGGTTTGAAGTGACCGATTTATTATTATTTTTTAAATAACTTATTTAAAATAAGGTGGTAATTGTCAACAAATTAACTCAAAAGGATTGAAGGGCCTTCTTTCACCTCCGCCTCCTCCTCTTCCTTTCTTGTGATGATGCCTTTAACTTTTCGACTGAGGTATTTTGATGCTTTGGAGGCAATAAACCCCCAACAACAAAAAAATTGGGTCCCTCAAACTCAGACCACGACTGCTTGTGGGACACTGCTGTGTTTGCCGCGTTTCGCCTGCAGAATACGCAGTCCATCCACTTCGCGGCATTTTCTGTCGAGCGCTTTGAGACGTCTCAACAACGCGATAAGACGCCATATCCAATGCAAGGATTATTATTAATATTAATATTAATATTATTATACTCGTGTTACAATCTGTGCTCTCTGCTCCCGTATCTGTCACCACGTAGATTGTCTTACTTGAACAGCTGCGGTTGGCTTCTGTTTCGCTGGGTCCGGGCCCACATCCTGCCTCTCTGTCGCTACCTCTCTGTTCCCCACGCAGGGGGGCGTTGGCTCGCTGGGCATCTTTGGCTTCGTTTCCTCTTTGCCCACGGTTAAGTTTCTTCGTTTCAAGAACTGCTCCTGCCTGTGACTCTGCTCGGTGGTCCGCTGCTGCCGGGGCAGGCTGCGGCAGCTGGTGATGTTGTTTCGCCCGCCCAGGCCCCGCCGGTTCTGTTGCCTCCGCTCCAGTTTCTCCTCGTAGCTCTCGGCGAAGAGTCTGGGCTTCTTCGGGAAATTCGAGGCCTCGGGGCTTGACTCGCGCTTCGGGCTACTCTCCGCCAGCCTGGAGGGAGCTGCACCGTTGATCATCTTGCACAGCCCTCGCTGTCCGCTCGAAGGCAACATCTCCAACTCACCTGGAGCTCAGTAATGGACGGTGACTCCACCTTATGGTCCTGTGCTCGCAATACTGATTCTGACAACTGTCTCAAAAAGCTGTACCTTGCTTCGTGTCCAATAGTCGCAGAGTTACAACAGTCCCCGTCAATGTTTCAGGCTGTTCTGAACCAAAACGTAGATTGAGATTTATTATGTGTACTTTATATGCGTTCCCCCTCCCAAATGATCTCTTTGTAGCCTGTTTTAAGAGCCACCTATAATATATATATATACTTGACGAATTGAGCTTTCATTCCCACCAGCATTTGTGCAAATGCCCTTCACGTCATGACATTCTTTTTCCACTTGTCTGTGTTTCCGTGTATGTGCCTCATCTGCTGAAGTCCACGCGTCTCCTTTGGCTTTTTCGTTTCATTAATTCGCTGCCGTTACCCGCTTGTGAAACAGCGTTTCGCCCACAAAATACACTCCAAGTCACTCCACTTGACAGTATATTCTGCGAAGCGCTCCGAGACGTCTCGAAGACGTGATAAGGCGCGAATTTGAATGCAAGGATTATTCTTATTCTTATTCTTGTCAAATGCAAAGGTTCTTAGAACACACTTTCCCAAGATGGAACTCCCATCTTCGCACCTTAGAATGTGGAACAGCAGAGGTCTCAACTCAAAGAGATGAGTGCGCACCAGCCTTAGGTAAAACCGTGGGAATGAAGAATTTATACCGTGGTTTAGTCCAGTGACGCACAGTAAGTCCTCAGGTTTAACAGTTCTCTACAGTTTTGGGTTGCCAGCAGGTGCTTCAGGTTCTCAGCTTTGGTCTCGATTACTCACGAACCTTCGGTGACGTCCACCCTACCTTCAAACTCCTTTCAATTCAAGTCAGAGAACCAACCGGCCCTTTTTTTTTAAATTCCCACCTTGAGCCAGGCTGGTCAAGCTATCGGACAGGTTTCCATCGCGCCAAAAGACAAACTCTTTGGGTTTGCACTGCTCCCTTTCTCCATTCAGACAGGAAATCGAAAGAAGAAAAAAGCACCCACCACGCTTCAAACCCTCTTCCTGTCTTGAAATTCGGAACGTGAATTTCTCTCTCTCTCTCTCTCTCTCTCTCTCTCTCTCACTCTCTGCTAGGTTGCTCTATTCACAATCATTGAGGAAATGCTCTGGTGTATTTCTGCAAGTCCAGAAAACTCCTTTGTAGCGCTCCACCTGCCTTATAACAGCCAGCAATCAAGCAACGCACAGTCTAAGAGCCCAAGTCGACTTCTGCACATTAGTCTCTTTTGGTAGCCCTATCTTTCTTTTTTTTTTCTTTCTTTTCTTCTTCTGCTCTTTATCTCTCCGACAATTCTGCCCACCGACCGACTGGGTTTCAGCTGCACTGACTGAGATAAACCGATCGCACAGGATGTCGTGTGTTTGAAGACTCAAAAGTTCTGACAGATGTTTATCGAGTTTTGGGAGGTGGGGTTGGGGAGGATGGAGGGGGGTGGTGGGGGGGGTGGTTGTACGCTAGGCTAGAGAAGATATCCTAAACACACCCGATAAAGAAAACAACTGAAATTTGTGGTTTTCCCTTGAAAAGCCGGAGCCTGTGGCCATTTGTATTTTGAGTCACTGATTCCGTCTCTAGCAATGTGTTAAGTGACTGACAGGAGGGTGGAAGGCCAACTAGGTGGACCTTTGGTCTTCTTTCGCCGAGCAAATTCTTACGCTCTTAAGCCGTCGGAGCAGCAAACTCTACGTGATGTCTCTCTGGTCGTTTGCTGTTGCATTCGGTTTCCAATCGCGCCCCGCAGAGGGCTTGTCTCTCGAAATGGGAAGAACCTCGTAAAACCAGTTCATAAAGAAACAGATTCAAAATAAAAGACGCATCGAACGTGACACTTCCCATTAAAGGAGCGCTCAGCTTTACTTGTAAAGCTACTACGTCACTGTGCTGTCAAAAGCGTAGGGCTCGACCTAGCGTGGATTGCTGCTTGAATTTAGTTGAAAAGTTTAGCCAGTTCGGAAGCAACAACAATTTGCGTTTGCAACAACAACAACTTGCATTTATACAGCGCCCTTCACTTCACGCGGGGCGGCGTCTCGGAGCGCTTGACGGTGACGGAGCCTGACGTCGAGCCCGGGAGAGGTAGAGAGGAGGAGGTGACCTGTGTGTATGTGTACACTGTACTCTTGTAGGCAGCAGGTTGCAAAGCGCTTGAGCTGGAGGACAGGTGGCGTGGAGACAGAGGTGAGAAGATTTCAGGAGCAGGTTCCAAGTGACCAGTTGGTGTTTGTGTGCGTGTGTGTGTGTGTGTGTGTGTGGGGTGGGGGGTGTGGGGGGGAGGATGATGCAAACGGTTTTGAGCAAAGTGTTAACATATCACTCTTGACAGATTTTTGGGACCACCGCAGTTGCTTCCTTTCACTGGGCTGTACAGCGGGTTTCAGAAACCAACTGAACGGGTTCCTGGAAATGAAAAGCATTCAAGGAATGTGAGTGGGTGAAATTCTGTAGATGTATGAGAGGAATCTACTGGGGAGGTAGAACTGGTTGGGCCAAATAGACAGTTTCTGTGCTTGATACTCTGTATAAATCTATGTAGAAAGGGGAGCTAGATTAAGCAATGGCCAAACCCTGATTGTAAATGCTTAAACAATAATAATAATCATGTCCTGTGGTAAGGGAAGGTTTTTAATGCGAGGTGGCACGCTTCCACTTTGAGCGACTTTTATCTTGATTTGAGCAATCCCGTAAAAATTGCGAAAGTTGCACGTGTGAATCTTTTCACCCGCAAAACACACAGTCAATTCACTTTACAGTATATTCCGCGAAGCGCTTTGAGACGTCTCAGAGACGTGATAAGGCAAGGATTATTATTATTATTATTAATGCGTTCTAGGGTGGGTATCACACTGTTGAGTTGGCTGTATTGTGCCGTTATTTAATAATCCTTCAATTTGATAGGAAATCGTAGAGAAGTCTCAAAGCGCTTCTCAAAGCTTTATTCCTGAGTGACTGTGTGTTTTGTAGCCGGACTCTTGAGACGAGGTAGAGTAGCTGTTGGGTGCTTTGCTTTGAGAACTGGTTTGGGGCAAATGAAAGGCTGACCTGGGGATGGCTTTAAGGGGTGACAAACATTTGCACACGTTCCGAGTTGCGAGGATGAGTGTCCAATTTACGGAGCTCAGGTTGGCCCTTCACAAGAGCCCGGGGCAGAGCAAAAACACAAACACCGCAACACAAATTTCCAAAGAAAAATAACAACTTGCGTTTGCACAGAAGTCGCAGAGGTAGGGGGGGAGGTGAGACTAGGAAAATGGTCGAAGAGGAAGTTTCTTCAGGCACGACCTGAAGATGGGGAAGAAAGGGGCAAGGCGGAGGGTCGAAATAAGATCAGAACAAGACTGAGATGACATCTCTTTATTATTTCAAATTAGATTTACAAAAGAGGAGTGCAGATCTTACCCACTATGGTATTTATTGGGCAGCTGAGCATCAGCAGAACCTTGTTTTCCGATAACATGTTTTCAAGCCAGATCCAACTTTTGTAATTGCAACAAAACAAATCATTGACGGTCACACAACAACAACAACAACAAAATTCCATTTGTATAGCGCCTTTCACGTCGGGAGGATGTCCCAAGGCGTTGGACAGACAGAGTTACGGATCCGAGCTGGGGGTCGGGGTCGGGGTCGGGGAGGGAGTAGGGCACCGGGGGGATGGGGGGGAAGCAGGGAGATCGAAAGCACGGTCGAAGAGGAGGGTCTTGAAGATGGCGAGGGAGTGGGCGAGGTGGAATTTCAGGATTCTCATGTGTGCCACCATCCCCACAACGGAAAGATTGGGAGAAATGGGAAAAAGTTGGGTAAACAACATAATGGTTCAGATTCGACAAATTTGTGTTGGTTCCTGTGCATAATAAAGTTGAATTTAGCTCCCTCCCTCCTTACGTTGATAACGTGTTTATGCCCGAGTTCAAATATCCTGTTTAAAGAGTTTCAGGAAAAATAACAGAAGCATTCATAAGTGAGGTACATTTTGGGGGATGTTGTCCAGATTGTAATTCTTTCGAATGAAGGCATCTAAAAGCTCAGGCACCCAGTCTCTCAACAACAACACGTATTTTGTGAATTCGTACTTGTAGTAAACTTCCCGGTTCCTCAGAGCTCCTCCCTTAATAATCTCCAGGGCGCACTCATCCTTTGGGGCTGGGGGCTGCTGAATGATATGGGAAATGGCTTTTACTGCGGCTTCTGTGTGGTTAAGAAATCGCAGTCAGAAGATGTTACAACAACAACAGCAACAACAACAAATTACATTCACACATGGCCTTTCGTGTCGGGAGGAGCTGGACAGCCAGGGACTTGAACCCGAATGAACACAGCAGCCAATTTGGGCACAGCGATGCCCCACAAACAGACATGAAGTGAATGACGAGTTTTGTCCACAGATGTGTACTGCATCTTCTCTCTCTCTCTCTCTCTCTCTCTCGCTCTCAGACCTTCACAGTACTTACCGGTGTTGATATAGCTGATCACACACAGAGTGATGGACACATTGTAATTCAGCATAGCAAACTCTTGACGCAGTGAGCTGAAGAACCCGTCCAGGGCAAACTTGGTGGAGGAGTAAGGAACGACCAGAGGATTACCAATTTTTCCTGAAAAAAAATGTTTATGGCACATGTAAGAACATAATAAATAGGAGTAGGCCATTCGGCCCCTCGAGCCTGCCCCATCATTTAATAAGATCATGACTGATCTTCTAACCTAATTCCATTTACATGCCCTCTCTCCAAATTCCTTAATCCTTTTAGTTTTTAAAAATCTATCGATCTCAGTCTTGAATATATTCAATGACTGAATATCCACAGTCTTCTGAGTTAGAGAATTCCATAAATTCACTACCCTCTGAGTGAAGAAATGTTTTCTCAACTCAGTTCTAAAGAGCTGATCTTTAATCCTGAGACTATGACCCCTAGTTTTAGATTCTCCCACCAGGGGAAACAGCCTCACACTATCTACCTTGTCAAGACCCTTACGAATCTTATAGGTTTCTATAAGATCACCTCTAATTCTTCTATATTCTAGAGAATATAGGCTTAGTCTACTCAACCTCTCCTCATAGGTCAACCCCCTCATCCCAGGAACCAACCTCGTGAATCTACGTTGCACCCCCTCTAAGGCGAGTATATTCTTTCTTAGATAAGGAGACCAAAACTGCACCCAACATTCTAGGTGAGTCTCACCAAGGCCCTATACAATTGCAGTAAGACTTCCCTTCTCTTGTACTCTAACCCCTTTGCAATAAATGCTAACTTGCTATTAGCCTTCCTAATTGCTTGCTGTACCAGCATACTAACTTTCTGTGAAAGCTGGTTAGAGGCTTTGTTTGCATCCTAACTAGCTGCCTGCATAAAGATAAGTCTCCTCACATCTCTCTAAAGCTTTCCCAGTGACGGCCTTCATCTGAGTTACACTAGTTTCTGTAATGTTTGTTGAGGATGTCAAGCGATATGGGGCAAAGTTGGGTATTTGGAGTTGAGATACAGATAAGCCAAGATGTAATAGAATGGAGGAACAGGTTTGAGGGGCTGAATGACCTCCTCCTGTTCCTATGTGAGTTCCTATGCGAGGCTGACCTGCGATGGAGGAGACCACCACGATACTTCCATTGCTTTTCTTGAGCATCGGCATTGCCTCCACCGTCATCGTCACGTAGCTCAGGAAGTTTATCTCCAGCAAGGTCCGAATGTGATCCACATCTCCGTCGAAGTATCGGAAGTAGGCGGAGCCGATGTGGTTCAGGATGAGCATATCCAGGCCTCCTGCACAACCAGAAAAGACCCAGGAATGAGGACAGCAAAGAGGAGGAACACAGCGCGGTGCAAACAGGAAGTGACATCACGATGACCTGGTGATCAGGAAGTCGGGTTTTTTTTACCCGCGGGGCACGCCTAGTGACACCACAGGCGGATGTCATGATGTGTGAGTTCGGACCAGCGATCGTGCCCCATTATTAGGCTGAATTTGAATTTTAACTATCATGTTATAAAGCGGGGGAGGGTTTTTTTTACTGTAGTTTGTATCGTCGGGTACCAAACTGTTTCTCTGCCTCTTTCACCACGTGCTTAGCGAACTCCATGTCTTCCATGCTGCCAGCCACGTAATCCGCGGAGGCAGCCCCGAGCTTCAAACACTTAGCAACCACCTGAAAGAGAAAGTCCAAATGTTTGCAAATAAATAATAAGCCCCAAAGGGCAGGAACACCAGTAATATGGTGTACTGTCATTCAAAGTATTTGTAACAGAATTGTCAGTATTATCAGAGGTGTTGATTCCTTCAAACACGGATTAGATAGTTTTCTTCCAGGAAATAACATTATGGGATATAAGACATAGGTAGTTCGGGACACGTGCATGCGACCACCAGGAAGGTAGAAGGCGAACTAGATGGAACTTGGTCTTTTTTTACGCTTAGCATTTCTTATGCTCTTGTAACAAAAATCCTTGCCTTTGATATGGGTATTTGAGATGGATATTTGAAGAGAAGCAATACCATAGAATAAAAAGGTGAACTTTAGGATAATACTCATGTACTCACATACTTATATTCAGATACAAACCCTCGCCTTGGGATGTCCTCCCAGTGTGAAGGCACTATATATTGTAAATTATTATTATTAGAGTAGATAGCTTCAGTGAACGAGCTACCACCAATAGAGGTTGAATGGGTCACAAAGATTATTTATTGCTTGTAATTGATTACAGTACTGGTTACATAAGGAAGAGCTGAATCAGGAGGGTTTGGTTTGTACTTTCTGGCTAGGCTATACATGTGTGAGAGCACTATTCGATGAGTTCCTCTTTGCATTAATAACATTAATAAAGGTGCAGAAAAGCTGTAGTAAATATATGGAACAGGCACCTTAGGTGGAAGCAGAGGGTATAGATTCTTTCAAGAACAAATTAGATAGATTTCTGTTAGGAAATAATATCTCGGGATAATACAGGATATAGTTTGGTGCAAGCGACTGCCAGGATGGTGGAAGGCGAACTGGTTGGACCTTGGTCTTCTTTTGCCCAGCAAATTCTTATGGCCTTTTTGTGGTTTCTGTAGAAACCTTGAATGCGCTTTGAAAGGCCCAGAGGGAGGATTAATATTACAGAGGGGAATGGATGAATGGATGGATGAATGAAATACACGATGACCTACCGCTTCCAACCTCTGCTTTCTCCTCGCTGTAATCAGGATATGTGAACCCATTTCAGCCAGGTGATAGGCCATCTGCTCTCCAATGCCCGAACTGGCTCCTGTCACAATCACTCGCTTCCCTCGTAGCATCTCTGTTCAAAGTCAAACAGTTGCGTTCATTAGATAAAAATGGAAACACAGGAATTTTGCAGGGACCGGAAGCCAATTAGTTGAAGCTAAAAGCAATGGGGTACATTTATGCGCAACGGGAACATACCTTTGATCTGCAAGGTGCGTGTGAATCATGCCCGAGCCTTGGCTCTTGCCAACTTACACTTAATATTTCTCGGGGCTGGGTGAGTGGAGTACAAACCTGCGGGGTAACCACGCTCCCCACTCCGGAATTTGGCAACTTCTTAAAATGTCATCTTTCTTTCGAATTCAAATAATAACCCTTACCTTTGATGTAGCGCCCGCATTTCACATCAGGAAGGCATCTCAAAGGAGACTTCACAGGAGATACAGTGAACCTCACATAAGTTGTATCAGTTGGGACCGTACTTAATACAACTTGTGCAAAGTATGAGTTATATCAAACTTGCATAGAGTATGATCGCTTGAACAAACCGGGCAGATGGAAGACTTAGCCGATTGTATGATTAATGGGGAACTGGGACTTCAGGATTGACTTTGATGGTCAACTGGGCTGCGATACCTTTGACAATCGTCGAAATACATATTACTTAAGAAGAGAGGAAACAGGCTTAAGGCTTGGTGCAGATGGTGTCACTCACCAGGATCAAAACTGTCGCCACTGTTGAAGAAATAATACGCCAGTGCAATCCCCAGCAGAAATATCAGCATTTTCTTTACAAAACCCATTGCGTCTGAAAACAAAGACAAGCAAATGGAGAGGAAGAAGAAAGAGGAAACACCCAACAGTCAGGTTCCGTGGTGTGGGTCCAATGTTCCACACTGAACTCGAAAGTGTCCGCAGTAAAGGACCAAAGTTTAGTAACTGTCTCCCGAGAACCAATCACCAAAGCAGGGAGTTTACTCTGGAAGGCAACGAATCTGTGACTCGAGAGAGTATCCAAGGTTCATTGCCTGCTTTTATTTTTTTAAAAAACAAAGACCGAGAGCCATTAATTTAATGCTTCACAGACTACTGGGAATGTTGTAATCTTACAAACTGCCCGGGACCAGTGTTACGTTGGGTGGTGTTAAAGTGACAGTTGTTTGAATCGAGCCTGGCTTTCGGATACGTTCAGATACGGAGTGTAATTTGCATCTCGCTCTAAAAGGAGCCCTGCACAGCCGTTCCGCCTGAAAATTTAACCCTTTTTTTTCTCGCACAATCGGAGGAGCTCAGATGTCAGGTTTCACGTGACAGTTGCAATAAATCTGTTAGACAGCGAATGACCAGAGAAAGTCTAAAAAGCATTAGTCAGGGCCGAACGCATGTTTTTTACTGTAAGGGAATGTCACTGGACAGCTTCAGTAAATGAAATCTTCTTGTTGGTGTTGTTCAGAGAGCGTGTTTGGGCTTGACGGGAGGCAAAGGAAGGGAGGGAGGAGCAGGGTTTCTAGGGAAACACAACGTCAGGAAATGGCAAATTGAGGTCAATTTAAAACGTCAGTGGGTCACTTCACGGCGGGAAGGGTAGTTTAGTGCGAAACACTGCCACCTTGTGTGAACCAAGAACAGGGCAAACATCTGTCTTTCTTGAGATCGAGCTTTTGGTGACTTGTAATAATAATAATAATAATAATAATAATCCTTGCATTTGATAAAGCGCCTCATCACGTCGTTGAGACGTCTCAAAGCGCTTCGCGGTGTATACTGTAAAGTGGAGTGACTGTGTATTTTGTGGCCGAAGCTCAACTCTCATCTGGACTCAAACCCTGAACCAGGACACCTGGCTCGCACCCCTGACCTGACTGGGCTCAAGTCACTTGAGACTCTTTCTCTGACTGCTCAGCAAACCTTCGCTTTGCTGTTTATTTTNAAACTCTCCGTCGACTTACAAAACCCTCACACACTCCTTCATTACATCGAGGCTCGACTATGCAAACTCACTGCTTGTCGGCCTCCCCAACTCCTCCCTCCACAGGCTGCAGATCATCCAGAACTAACACTGCAGCCCGTGTCCTCTCCCACACCAGGCTCTGTGACCCCATCACCCTCATCTTTGCCCAACTTCATTAGCTTCCCATCACACAGAGGATACAGTTCAAGATCCTGGTCCTCACCTTCAAAGCCCTCCTTGCTCCCCCTTACCTCTGCCATCTCCTAAACCTCTACCACCCTGTCCGCTCCCTACGCTTAGCGGACTCCGGCGTGCTTCACGTCCCCCGCCTCGCTCGTCCCACTATCGGCGGGCCAACCTTTCACCACTCCGCACCCATCCTCTGGAACTCCATCCCGCAGTCCATCAGTCTCGCCCCCTCCCTCTCCACCTTCAAGACCCACCTCAAGACCATCCTCTTCAACCGTGCTTTCGATCTCCCTGCTTCCCCCCCCTACCCTCCCCCCTCCCCCACCCCGACCCCATCTCTGGTCCGTAACTCTGTCTGTCCAGCGCCTTGGGACGTCCTCCCAACGTGAAAGACACTATACAAATGTAATTTTGTTGTTGTTGTTAAGTCATCATCCTGTCAATATCCCAGCTGCACTTATTTGTGTATCTATATATATAGATATATATATATGCCTAACTCGACCCTCCAGATAACACGTCACTGAGCCCCTTTCTCTCTCTCTCTCTTTCTCTCTCGGAGTGATGAGCTATCAGTAGTTTACTGTGTTCTGTTACTCTTTGCATTAACTGGCGCTGGTGGAAACTGTGGAGGTTTGACCACAAGGTGACGCCAACAATCAGGTTGAGCTCTCGTGACATGTGGTATTTGTGTGTGTGTGTGTGTGTTTGTGTGTGTGTATTTGTGTGTGTGTGTGTGTATTTGTGTGTTTGTGTGTGTGGGTGGAGATTGTGTGTTGCTTCTTGAAGAAGAAGCTGTGACGGATCCAACCTCAAGCCCCGAAGACTTTCTCTTGAATACTTTCCTAGTTCGGTAGAGTTAAAGTGGCAGTTTGTTCGAGTTTGTTCGAGTTAATCTGGTTACTGGCAGTCTAGTGCGAATGAACCCGTGAAGTTTCCACGCTAGTTTAAAGGGTTTTGAACGTGAGACACTTTTTTAAAACAGGAAAGGACACCCGGATTGACATTTGCATGTCAGATTGGAATAAAATATTAGATAAATTCATGATGTATTGTTTGATCTCTTCTTGAATATGTCGTTGTGGTTGAATATAATTTGCACTGCGGGTGTGGAAATCCAGTCAGATCTACGTGGATACGACAGCCGCTGTTACATTATAAATAATCTTCTGAGGTCAATTGGTTTTGGTCCCACTCCGCGAGACATTAATTGTTGTGTTTGATATAGCGTCTAATCGCCTTCACCGACCATCAAAAAGTGCTTGACAGGATGTTGATGCTATCCTGCTTGAAGGGCACTATATAACCAACAATGCAAAGTTGGTCCATCTTTGCTTCGGAGTGTCAGCCTGGACTGTGAGCTCAACGTCCAAATGTGAGAGATAGTCACTTCTTGTTTCTTATGGTTGTGCCCATCTAATGCCATTCCACGAGAACATCATGTACTCAAAAGTTTCCGGTCAATTCTGGCATCCATTCCAATCGGATTCCTCTTTCAGTTCCTTATCAGTAGCAGTGAGGCTGTTTCACAGAAAGTGCTACACTGAGCAAGGCTGGAAGAAATCTTTGCCCGCTGCACTATTGTATTGTGAATCTCTGCGATAATCTCCCTGTGTTGGTAGAGAGCGGATCAGGAGTCGACTGAAGAATTTACAGTCAGTCAAGTCCTTAAAAGAAAGAGATTCAGGAGTTCAGAATGCACTGAGTCCTCCTTCACAAGGGCACAGAAATGGACACATGAGAAATCAGAGATAAGAGGGAAACTGGGTGAAACCTACTTTAAGTTATCAGTTTATTCCTGAGGCAAGTGCAGTACTGGACAAGCCAGCACTTCACAAGGGCAACCCAGCTGTCGACCCCACAAACGACCCCACAGCTACTCCAAATAGGATCGTAAATAGAATGGGTAAACTCCCAATGCAGTCTTACTAATGGGTTTACGAGGAGACTGCAAACTCACTCGCAAGAACAAGTCATCAATTGGGCTGTCAAGAAAATCCTCCCATCCTGAATATCGTAGAAGCCAGGAAAGAAAATCAGAAAATACATCAGACAAGTTTTATACAAGTTGCAAAGCTTTTTCCCTCCAGTGTTTGAATGGCAATTTAATGCATTTTCATGTATCAAACCATTTAATAATACTACTAATAATCCTTGTGTTTGATATAGTGCCCTCTCACGTCTTTGAGACGTCTCAAAGCGCTTCACGGAATATACTGTGAAGTGAATTGACTGTATTTTGTGGGCGAAACAATATTATAATATATATTATAATATTCATATTAAATTGTAATATTCAATATTGGAAGTGAGCCCTAGGAGGGGAAGTGGAGTAAGTACAGTGTAACCCTCCTGATTGGAAAGAAAGGGCAGTGTGGTATTATCCTGTTCTCCTGTTTCTCATCACTTTCCAACGCAGAATTCCCTTCCTCCTGTAGCTCAATCAATGCACAGCAGAGACTAACAAATGGCTATCTTACGATTAACATCTCATCTCCTCAATTCTCCAAGTTACAGTAAGGCACTGGGGACAAGGAAGTTTGTGAGTGACGAAATGAATTCCTCACTGACATGTGGTAAATCAACAAAAAACCAACCAACCAATCAATCATTCAATTTTTGTTGAGGCGTCAACAAGAAAGTCTGCACAACAACAACAACAACAACAAGATTCCATTTATAAAGCGCCTTTCACGTCAGGAGGACGTGAAAACATCCACTAGAAACTTCAACTCTGTTTTACTGCAACAATGACAACCAAGTTTTGGGATCAGGGAGGGTGGAGGGCAGAGAGGGTAGGAGGGTGGCTGAAGGCACACTGTTGAAGAGGAGGCTCTTGAGGTGTGCCTTGAAGGCGACAAGGGAGGGAACGAGGCAAAAGGAATGTGGGATGGAGTTCCAGAGGACGAAGAGGATGAAGGCCTGACCGATGATGGTGGGACCTGTTGGGCAGGGGGACATGGAGCAGGTCGGAGCTTGCTGAGTGGAGGGAACGGACAGGTTGATAAGGGGTTAGCGGGTCGGAGAGGTAGGAGGGGGAAAGGGCATGAGGGGCCTTGAAGGTGAGGACGAGGATTTTAAACTCGATCCTCTGAACCAGTGGAGCCGGGCTAGGGTGGGGGTGATGGGGTCACGGAGACTGGTGCGGGAGAGGGCACAAGCTGCAGAGTTCTGGATGAGATATCTCAACGACATGAGAAGGCACTACACCAAATGCAAGGATTATTATTGTATTGACTTTGTGAATTTTCACACATATAAGAATCCATATATCCTTATACTTGTTTCATGGTTAGGGTTTGAGACTCAACCACTAGAGCAACACGTTTGAGCTGGGAGCGGATGAGTTACCAGTTACGTGAAATGACAGAGGAGGATAATGCAATAATGAGTAAGTGGTGTCACAAGCGAGAAAACGTTGCCTTCTGAGAGACGTAATGAATAGTAGAAGCTCTTAGTAATACACGGTGAGCGAGTCACCACAGGCAAACATCTGACTGAATTCAGGACTTTCCTAATTGCTCAGTGGGAAAGTAAATGTCGCACTCGTCTATCCAAATCAGTGAGATGTGATCCCTGCTCAGGGCTGCCTGCCGATAATAATAATAATAATAATAATAATCCTTGATTTGATATAAAAATAATACTTGCATTTGATGTAGCGCCTTATCACATCTTCGAGACGTCTCAAAGCGTTTCACAGAACATACTGTAAGGTGAATTGACTGTATAATTGTGGGCGAAACGCGGCAGCCAATTGCGCACAGGAGCGTCCCACAAACAGCCGTGGATTGAGTGACCAAATTTTTATCTTTTTTTGAAGGAATTATTATCCCCCAAAAAGCAATCCACAAATCGACCAACAACCGGGTTCCTACTTGCTGCTGGGTAAACAGAGGTTTGTGGAGTAAGGAAACTTGCCCAATGTTTCGCCCCCTGCCTGGGAATCAAACTCAGGTCCT